ATGGAAACTACTCTTAACGTGTTTTCAAGGTCTATGAGGCTTAGGTGAGTTTAAAGAAGTTGTGATATATGTGTTTCTTACATTTAATTGATAGCTTACTAATTAATTTTAATGGTTCGTAAAATTACAGCTGAAAGAAAGACTTAATTGAAATATTTAAGAGTGATGTTTTTACATTCCATGAAGAGCACTACGGCAGCATTTTTCAAGAATTCTGCTGCTGTGAGTTTAATTGGGTGCTGTGCTTTAAAAATGAATGGATAGTATGAAGCTCTCAAAGCACTCTTCAGGACCAGTTTTAAATGAACACGGCGTAATTTTAAATTCACGAAATATTCTAGATGAACGTACGTGGCTTTGTTTGTTCTTATCATTGAATCCATGTGAGTGAAATATGCAGGTTTTTTTATTAATTAAAGAAAACACAGTGCAAAGTAATATTAGGGTTACTTTGGTCGAGCAACGATGACTACGCGTCTTTATTGACGCTTTGTTACCAGAAACATGACCCTCATCTCTTCCCCCTCTTGTAAGCAAATTTACATATTTGTGAATTGTTGATGTTCCCATGGCCTTGAACTTAAAATAAACTCGTCGATAGATGACCGTCTCTCTGCACATTTCATTTGGCTTTTGTTTCTCTGTGATAGTGAGGCGAGTTTTATTTTTATTTTTTGTTTTTCTAGTATTGGTGGAACTTATACGAAAAAGAAACATAGTTGATACTTCCTTAATCTTATTATGGTGACAAACCATATATTAGGATACTTGAATCAAAAGTGACTTAGTGTCGAAAGCCCTGAATTCCCTGTGGTTGAAGACCTGTTACAGTAGTTATGTATGTATCTAGACATAAGCGATTTAGTCGATATTCCCCCGATAACTTCGGCGGAGAATGATTGTTTAATTTGTTTTATTTAATCAAACTGATATCAGCGACGACGAATCCAGTGAAAATTTCATAACGTGGCCAAGTTCCAGAAACGTGACCAAACTAATTCTTTGAAATAATCTTTTCAGTTGTTCTTGCCAACCACTCCCTGTCTGACATATTAAATGTCCAAAAATGACTAGATTATTTTTATTTCTGCTAACATTCGTTTTCAAATAAATAAAAACAATAATAATAATAATAACAATAATAACAACGACAACACTCGCACACTTTTTAAGAGGACTCTCTAAGCCAAGCGCCATTCTGCTCGACCAATAGATAATGTGTTGTAGTGTCTGTAAGTGTTAAAGCAGCAGATGGCGGCGGATGCCACAAAACAAAAAAAGGTGATAATAATGCGGAAACAATGAAGATTTTTTGCATTTGAGTGCATTTCAGACCACATTTTAATCCCTTGTTTAGAAAGATCTGTACCTAGAAAGGATTAGTATGCTGGCATTTTTGACAGGACACGCATTACAACAAGACTAAGGTAAAGTGCAATTAACTGACTATCGCGTAGTCAGTTTTTTGGGGAAATTTCTGAATGGCCCAATTTTTGGCCAAATCTGGAGTATTTTGTATCCGTTTTGTAAACTCTTTGGGATTTGCTTTTGACCGCAAGAAAGAAGATTCTATTAACAATGGTCAGACTTTTAATTAGCAATGATTTTTGAGCAGAACCCCTTACGTGTGAAGTTTGTTATATTAAGATTTTAAAAAGTGGCTCTGTTCCAAAGGCTTGGCTTGACGAAAGCTTCTTTTTATCTTTCAAGTTGATTGTTCGGCTATGCAGACCACACAGGAACACATAAAACGACATTCCATTCCCATCAAAGGCTACTGGGACTCGATAAAAAAAAAAATTGAGTTTAAGAGTTAGATTCCTTCAGGCGAAACCTACTTCTCAGTTTCACAGACAAAACTGCCCGGTCATCACGCTTTCTATTAACATTTTTAAAGAGGCCAACTTACGATACAGCTAGATACGACTTGTTTGTTTGTTTGCTTGTTTTTTAATTCAGCGTTCAAGCCAATCAGTGAAGAAATTTCATCGCTATTTATTCGTGTTTACATACGTTTGGTTTTGAGTTACGCTTCAAAACAGAGTGACAGAGAATATTTTCATGTTGTCTGTTTTAGCTACACCCTACGTACCCTTCTTGGCGGTGGATAACTATTCTAGTTCAAACCAACTGTCGATTGTTAAGAGACTAGAGCATGATTTGTTATTGTTTTTTTTATTATTAGCGTTTGTTTATATCGGGTCTCGATGGTCGATAGTACGTCGAGGAAACAGACATGTATGACAAGTTTGAGAGCAATTTTGATCGCATTTCAATCCGTCTTATGTCAACTAAAAATATTTTTGAAAATAAAACAGGCTTAGTCAAGAATCTGGAAAACCACGAGGTTCTTAACTGCCTATAACGCAAAAATGTTTATTATCAATTAAGTACAAGATCTTCTTCGGAAAATTTGCGTTTTGAGGAAGTAACCTCCATTTTGTGCCCTCTCAGCTCTGCGTGAAAGTTCTCCTGCCTTTTTACTTTTTATACTCTCCAATGGTCAGCCTTTTTACGGTGTTTTCCTTTTCAATGTCTTAAGGATAATACTTTTGTAGCTGCTAGCATTGATGGACCCCATCCAGCCACAGCTTCAGAATTAGTGCTGCAACTGTAGCCGCACTTGCTGGTATCCCACATCATCTTACTCAAGCAATGAGGAGGTGGACAAGCAATGTCCACCACCAATAGAGGAGTTCACGCTCATAGTTGCATCATGGGTAATCAGGGCAAGATGGCGGGAAATTAGAAGATTTGTATTAGAATTCAAATTCATATTTGATGATTTCTAGTTGAAAAGAGTAACTTACGAGTTCAAAGAAACAATACACTAAATCTGGAGTGCAAAGAAGTCGGTGATCAGATTTTAGAAAGGTTTTCCTGTACATTTTCTGTCATTCGACAGTATCAAAAGTACAGAAAATGTATGGAAAAATTGAGGTTTTCTAAAAGCTGATCACAGACTTCTTTGCACTCCAAATTTCGTGTAGGGTAGGTTGTAGCTAAAACAGACCACATAAAAATATTCTCTGTCACGGTATGTTTTGAAGCGTAACTCAAAACCAAAAGTATGTAAATACGAATAAATAGCGATGAAATTTCTTCACTGATTGGCTTGAACGCTGAATTAAAAAACAAGCAAACAAACAAACAAGCTTTATCTAGCTGTATCTTAAGTTGGCCTGTTTAAAAATGTTAATAGAAAGCGTGATGACTGGGCATTTTTGTCTGTGAAACTGAGAAGTTTCGCCTGAAAGAATCTAACTTTTAAACTCAATTTTTTTATTGAGTCCCAGTAGCCTTTGGCACAGGTTAAGAAATACAAGAATGTTGAGAGACACATTTAGCAAAATCCCCTGAGTCGATGACAGTTCAAGCAGACTGACTTGGCGGGAAAGGGAATGCACCGGATCACATTTTGGTTTGTTTGTCTGTTTCTAATTATTTAACTTATAACTAAACTTATTTCTTTTGAATTAAAATGGAAGGAATTATTGATAAAACTGAAAATTAAAGTTTGTAAATGTAGTAAGGTTTAGTAATATATCCTCATTCAGTTTTTTTTTTTTTTACAACGTAATAATTATAATTATAATAATCATGATAATAATAATAATAATAATACCTCGAAGAGGGAAATCAGTACAAGTTCTTGAGTGTCTTAAGACGGTGAGGCAAGGGGAGAGGATGTCGCTGGAGTGCGCAGCTAAGGAGTTTCCTCGCAGAATGTCTATCATCTAGTCAAGTCCCCTGTCTGATCACAACCGATCAATCGATCGATCGAGGAGGAGTACAAAGTGACGAAGATAAAGGCGGCAGTGAAGTTATATAGAAATGGTGTCCCAGCGATGGCGATGGTACGTAAGTTTGAAGAGAGAGTGGAAGAGTTAGTTCATATATAGCTCGTTAGTTAAAGAGGCAGCAAGGTATGCAGATGAGAAGGACCTCCAGTTGCAGCTAAAGTACCCAAATCCAACCTGCATAAAGCATGATAGTGGAGAGGTGATAACTGCAGAGAAACTGAAGGCAGAGGTAAGAATGTGTTTGCAACAGAAGACATTGGAAGCGGAGCATGAACAGAACTGGCAGGGGGAACTAATCTCCGCGAGAAGTGAAGACGAGAGCCTTAACTTCGAGGGCTGTTTCTGGTGGCTAAGCGGTTGGAAACAATGCCCAACACATACAGTGGCTGGGATGTTTGAGCTCTACGAACAGTTATTTACCTACGAGGCTGTATGCCTGCCAGAAACGCATACGGATACGACGGGTGAGGTGATGTGAAGGCTATGTAATAAGGCTCCTGAAAGTGTCGTCCATGTCCTGGCTGGTTGTACTGCCCTTGCACAGATCAAGTATGTTACCCGACATAATGCAGCCCTGACTTCAAGATACTTTTCTTCAAGGTTCTGCAAGAGTTAGGCCTTGTAGACTTAGTGCCATCTTGGTGCTCGCCACTAAAACCGAAGCCAGTGTACGACGCGAACAATAGGCAAGCATTCTGGGATGTCCCTCTATTTGGGGAGCACCAAGAAGTTAGAGCCAACAGAGTAGATCCTCGCATTATCAACCACGAGTCAAAGCGAGTTATCACGCCGGAGATGAGGTGCCCATGGGTTACAAACCGGGAGAAAAAGGAGGAGGAGAAAACCACGCGGAAATACGGACCGCACCGTTGGGAATTGAAGTACTAAGGATATGAAGTGAAGCAATATAATATCACAACGGACGTACTAGGGGGATGGTGCCGAGACTTAGAAGTCAAACTGAAGGAGTTGGTCGGAGGAAAGAGTAATGGAGTTCTTCATGACATGCAGAAGGCTGTACTTTCGGGAACACTAAACATCGCTCGGACGTATAAAGTTGCAACATGAACATTGAATATCGCATGCTTTCGAATTTATTGCCTGTCTTCCTTCAACATCGTTTAGACTTTTAAAGCTATGAAGTAATCGTCGATGCTATTACAGCCGAATAAGTGATATGTTTGAGAGTATTATTAATGGTGCTAAATTTATATGTATTTTTAAATGTTAAATTTATATTTTTATTGCAAGTTTTTACTGTAGTCAACGGGCTACGCTCACGCGCCTCGTCATACGAGGCACAAGTTTTAACTGCTGCATAAAGATCTGCCGAAGTGTGCGCGGACCGCTTTGAACATTATACAGAAGGGTTTTTCTGGTCGATTCTGGAGTCGACTTAAAAATTAAAATAATGACGAAATGATTGATTTTCTTTAGTTATCACCGCTTAGAAATATGCAGTCGGGAATTTTTAACTTGCTCGCGCGAAAACTTCTTGATAATAGAGGGTAAGACAAAGGAAAATGCCCTCAGACGGGCTACCAGCACGCGCACGATGTGGCGGGTTTTCAAGCTAACTATGTTTCGTTTTAGTTGGCATATAACTCTTGTAGATAAGGTCTTAATGAGGGGAAGGAGATTTTACCCATGGAATTGATCTGCAGCTAAATAGAAAAATTAAAAAAAGTGAAATTGGTCGCAGTGTGCACGGGCCGTAACTAGCTGAATGATGTCGTTTACTTTATTCTTATTATGACTTGTGGCATCTTTTTCGGCTCTGTAAAAATGAATAGTTTGTGGTTGTCTTTAATGTAATTTTGTTAACCATGTTAACAAAATCCGCAAAATTCTATTATTTTATATTTAGATTAACAACAAACCTTCCTTGGAAAATATTGCAAATAAAGCTTTCGGCGAGATCGTTCTGAAGCTTAGAAAACACCTAAGTCTAATAATGCACCATGAAGAAACATACTTATAGAGAAAGTGTGAAAAATATTAAGTGCAGTAAAACATAACAAAATACCACTAATCTAGAAGAATGGAGAATTCTATAGGCAGCGTCAAGGATGAACTTTGGAATCCAATTTTTTTTTTTGGAAAAAATTAATGAATAAAGTCCCCCAACCAAACGCATCCAAAGACTCTTAAAAGAATCATGGTTAACAGAAAGACAGAATTCAGTTTTAAAAATGGACGAAATTGTATTTAAGATCAGACAGTCTCTTCACAGGTTATTAAAGTTATCTTATTAACATTATTTTTAGATGCTTCTACCATTACATAAACATATTCAATACGATCTAGACGTTTCGTTTTTTTAAAAAAAGGTGGCACAAACTGTGCAAAACTATTCGCCTGTTTTTAATTCGATGGCCGGGGACTGTGATTACGAAAATTTTAAAGTAATTTGTGTTCTGTCCCCACTGTTTGTCTATTTGTATTTCTTCATCAGCTGAATCCAACATGTTAAGGTGGAGGGACGGGGAACTCCTAGGGAGGTCTTTAAGTCTCCTTGCTGAGGACTGAATTTTAATCGTGTTTTAAGCGATACCAAAATTGCGAGGATTTTGATAAAATAGGGTGGTACGATAACAAACAAATCTGTATTGTTTATGACTGGACTAATAAGATGGGCTGATACAGGAAATATAGCCTTACAATTATAAGTCGCTTAGCTTTACGGTCAATTAATACGTTCAGTTGGTGCAAGAGAACTAGACGGTCAATTAATTACGTTGGTGCAAGAAAACAAATTCTTGACGGGTGATTCTCTAGCCCTTTCAAAAGACCTTTAAGCCAAATCAAATTCGCGTGTATTTTATTTTTGTCAGATACCTTCTACTTATTTCTTTAATGCCTCCGGACGTCTTTAAGTTTTGGGTTTAATATTATGTCCGCACAGGGTTTTCCTGATTATTAAAGTTTGGAGAGGTTCTTTTCGATTCGCATGGTACTTTAAAGTCTGCTAACTCAAAACAAAGACACAATCGCTAGAAAAAAGATTAAAATAGACAAAAATAATTGGCTTTTTCTTTATGTTGACAATGGCGAGGGTAAAGTATGACGTCGCTGAATCGACATCAAAAAGACGAACGCAGCCACAACTGCAAAAAGATTCAAAGAGACAAATATTCTCTGCAATCGTAAGAATTAGGCTCATGGTAATAAGACGTAAACAAGTTGGACGGAGCAAAGGTTACTTAACGGGCGATTCTCTAGCCTCTTAACCATAAGAACGAGTCGATTAAAAAATCGCCCGTATTATCTTATCAATAAGGAATATCCTACTAATCTTTCCTCTAGGCGTCTTTAGTGATGCAGGTTGGGGAAAGATTTGCACGCGTTTTCTGTACACTTGTAGACGTTTTTGCGCGTCATTATGGCGAAGTGCACGATTTTTAACTACTGAATCGCAAATATGGTAAAGATTGAAGATATCCACCTTTTTCAAAGGTTAATACATGTACAGAAGTGCTTAGAAAAAAAAGGGGTATAGCAACATTGGTGCGAGGAAAGATTAAAGGGACAAATCGCCCGTCAAGTGACTTGACGGGAGATTCGTCCCAATAATCTTGCTGATACCCTACTTATCTTTGCTATGAGTGTATATTGAAGGCTGAGGGTCCGTGAACTTAATAGTTGCGTTTTGCATGCCCTTGTTATAAGTTTCCACGTCATCATTCTCGATGTGTTTACCATAAAAGCTGCAAATTGTCGCAAATTGACGGTAAAAGTTGCGAAAACTGGAAAAAATAGACGACCATCATGATTTTTTAACGGATTAAAAGTTAGAATTTCCTTTACAATTTTAAGAATTACGCCTAACAGAAGACAGATATGTCATGTCAACAAACGTGATCAACTGGGAAATATCATTATATAGAATTTCTAAGATTTAGAAATAATTTGACAGTAATATAATGCCACAATTGCAGGTTTTAAAGTCTTGAGATAAAAATTTCAAACGGTGCACTTCTGCGTTGTTGGATACTACATCTTATATTTCACATTCAGTTCTTCTACTCCCGGATAATGAATTTGTACATTTCTTTCAGCTCAGTTCTTTACGGGGTTGCTCTGTTTAGTTTCGCAACGTTCTGCGCATGCGACGTCTTGAAGACAACGCCTCGAGGTGAGTGTGGATATAACCATAATGAACAAGCAAATTATAAAATCAGTAATAGTACTTCTGAGGTACTTCTCATGAAGTAATTCATTTAGTCAGTCACATTCTGAGTGTTTGTTATCATCATAATGAAAATGCAAATTATAAAATCGTTCAAAGCACTTCCGAAGTACCGCTGATGAAGTACTCTTAATTTGAACGGTCACACTCCAAGATTTTATCATCAGGGACGGCCTTGTACTGCATACGAAACCACTGGTCCCGGTTGTTCAAAGGTTGGATAACCCTATCAAACGGAAAAATATTAAGGAAAGCAATTGCGATATTCACTGAATAGAGATTTATCCCGAAGAAAGCATTATCTACCTTTCGAACAACTGCGTAATGGTCACATAATGCACGAGATTTCATTTACAGATTCAAAAGCTAGCAGAAATTTGTACAACAAAAACATTTGGACTGTTAGACGTAATCCACATTTGTAGATTTTTTCCACATGTGGTGTATGACGGAAAATATGATAAAAAACATCACTGATAAGGAGGAATAACTGAAGCCACGTAAAAGTAGCTACTACGTTAGAATCACATAATATACTTTTACACCAGCACTTTAAAAAAAAACAGCGTCAAAGACCATAGAAAACGCGCTCCTTAATAGTTTTGACCTTATTCAAAGGCCTGCACATTTTTAGATTATAATTAGAGACCTGTAGAATTGAAGAGGTTAACACCTTTTAGTCATCACGGATCAAGAAGTTGGGGAGATCTTTGTATTGTGTGGATGGGTGTGTGCCAATGAGAATCTGCAGAGACCCTTATTACCTTTTATTACCCTGTATTAGACTGGACAGTAAACTGAGCACCTATCCAGAACTGACTTAACCCTTATTCTTACTCTCACGTTTGTATAAATTACTCTACTTCGCCTTACAGGAGTTCATGCCCATATAAAAGGGATACAGGTTATTTAAGGATCAGTTCCTTTAATGAAAAAGAATCGTGAACAAGAAATTGCCATGCGGTGACGACACTGGGTGAAAATAAAACGAATGGCGTCGATTAGAACAAGGAAATCTTTTTATAAAATTTGTTCAAATTTTCCAAAATTTACTCTATTTTTAGCCAGACATTCCCAGGCATGAAATTATTCAATTCTTTTGCAAGTTGTTTTAACGTATTTTTGTCAATCTGTACAATCATCCATTGCATTGTAATGAAACCTAAACTTCATTTTCCTGGGCTTTTTCTGGTGGATGAGGGTCTCAAGCCTTGAAATTACTAATCGAAACTAAGCTTGCATCCATTTTAGGATCCCAGGTCAGGTTTTAAATTTAGACTGATACTGGATTTATTTTTAAAAGAAAGGTGGATATTTTGGGCAAATGGCCACGCGCTGACGCGCGTGACTCGCGGCTTCGCCGCTCCCGCGCGCGTTCAATGCTCGCCGTCTAGCGAAAGTTAGACCTTTGCAGAATTTTCAAACATGGCAATTCGCAAACAACAACGTAATGGCTTAAACTGAACCGTTAAAAGTTTAATCGTTTCCTTACCTGAGAAGAAAAGAAGAGCTTTGTTATTTTCTTTTAAACTTGCCAAGTTTATAGCCAAAAAGGTTTGTTGTGTCGTTCTTCGCATGAAGTGCTAACATGGCCGCTCGGTTGCTCTAGGTGAGGCGTCGTTTCCCTGTAGTATTGTTTGTCCTATTTTACAAGTATTTACTTGAAACGAAGAATTTCTGCAAAGATTCTTTTTCATTTTTGTTTGTTATGAAATAAACTTTGGGCAAAATTTTTCTTGTTAGGAAACGCTGAGTAACGGAAGTTGTAAGCCGTTCCATCGAACGAAAAATTCAGCTACAGTCGAATGGAGAAAACGCCGTTTGAATCCGTCTAAGTCTTTTGTTGCCTTAAAAAAAGATAGCCCTGGAATTTTGTCGACTTTTGAAAGGTCGTTCTCTAAAAAAATGGGAAAAACACCGAGCGCATTATCAACTGGCTCGGAGGTAAAAGAATAGTCCGAGATAGCGAACCATCAGATTGCTTAAATCATCAAGATCACTGAAATTGTATGTGAAATATATCTATCTACTCAAGAGATAAAACGGACTTTCGCATTAGTTTCTTTTCAGTAACAACGTAAATAAACTTCGAATAGGTGCCGCAAACATTGACCGCTTAGAATCCGGGGTAATACGATCAGTACTTCAAGAGTTTTCTTTGGCAGTAAAAATAGGATTCTCACATTTTCACTACATTTTAAATTGACGACTGAATTTTAGAAATAAATGCATTGGCTTGCACGCTACCTCGAAAAAGTGCTAAAAAAAGTATTTAACCCATTTGAATTTTAAGAATAAATTTTAAAAAAATAAAAAATACGTACCCTTACGACCAAGTTTAAAAGAAAATACCAAGTGGGCTGTAACCCATTTTATTATTCACTTTCGATTCTTAATTACTTGCTACCTAAACTGGTTCAAAATAATTTAAGGCACTCTATTTTTGAGAGGACGGCTGGTGATTTTTACAACTGAAAATTTTTTTTACTGACACAATTTTTAGTTCTTCTTCAAAAGACGTGAAACGATTTTTTTCTTTTGTTCTTCGCGGTAAGTTGTCCATCTTGATCCGGAACTCAAGATGGTCCTTTACGTTAATAAATGAATAACCTATTATCACCCTAAGGAAATCCCGTAAATTTTGACTTGGTGTCATTCATTGTCCTTCAGTAGTATTAGATAACGTTTATCAAGCTAATTGACCATTGATGACAAGGATTAATTTTTCAGGCTTGCATGATAAAGGAACTTAGTCACGTTGCTAAGCGGTAATTACAAGATTATTCAACTATTAGATTTGATTAATTATGTGACAGTGTTTGTTACGGATGTCGCAATGCCAAAAAGAATTCCATTCTCCACAAGTAAATGTTCTTTGGAAGTAGGTGAGATAATCTGGCATTAACTGAAATATTATCCTCATATCCTTTGGTGAACACATCTGAATATATCTGCTGCAAACGGACAGGCACTTCTTATAAGGGGTTGCTTTCTACTGACCTGTTAGCCTACGTGGTAGGCGTTCGAAAGGGAAGGGGAAGGGAATTGAGAGCTTCCCCGTTCCCCTTCCCCTTCCCCTTTTAGCGCCTGCCACGCAGGCTACTGACCTCTTCACCCTTCGCCGCGTCATCATGGTAAGCACCCGGCGCCGACGAGGGTGTGACAGGAACCGAAACAAATTTGGTTGCCGGCACGTAAAGGGAAAGAACGGTCGACTCCTAATCCTGGATTAACACACTAAAGGTCACTAAACCCTGATTAAGAGTCAGACAAGTAACTTTAAAACATATTTTCACCGTAGTGGTGTGTTGATACGCAGATTATTTAATCGTGGAGATGAATAGTTGGTATGTAGCTGACGTAATCATGGTACGAGAGGAATATTTTGTCACTGTTGAGAGTTTATTTGAAAGCATCTCTCTTTGCTGATCTTGTGACTTCATGCATTCTATTGAATCTGCATTTCACTACACTCTTTTTTTAAATATAAGAATGTTGTTTTTTTCCGGCCCAGGCTGAATATTGTTATTTTCCTGCCGTTTTTAGCCTGAAAATAATTTTGTATTATCTTTAAAAATGTAAAGAATTTATCATGATACTCTTTGCGGTTTTGTTCACTTCTTTTGTACTGTACAAAGGTTAGTATGTACGTAATATACCATTCATCGAACTGTCATTAGCATTGAACATTTGCTCATAGCTAGCGCGTATTCTTTTAATTTGTTTGCTAGTTTTGCTTTTTAGAGAAAGGAAAAATTTCAAGCGGTTAAAGTTAAAAACGTATGATTGTACGTTACACATGTATCGTACTTTTGTATTTACAGATTTTCAACACAAAAAATTATAACCTTTTCAAAATGTCAGCCTTCCGCTTATTCATTCTTAAAATACTCTTTAAATTTCGCAATAAAATAATATTCTTATGAAACATATCTTATAGAATGAAAAAAGTGGTCCCACTTCTTTAATTATCTGATTTAGTATTTTATTTCTAATAAAGATAATTAACTTGCACGAGATTTCCTCGGGCATTGAATAAAAAACTGACCCCGGCTTTTACTACAAAACAGTAGTAAACAGATACAAAACAGATACATTTGTTCACTTTTTGTTGTAGTCGTCACCGATACGCCGAAGCAATGCTCTTTTAAAGATGTCAAAAAAGATGTGGGAGAAAATTGGAATCCATTTCTGAGGCCACAAGGATACTTTCGCTGCATCAGGTGTACTTGCAAATTGGTAAGTACTTCGTTCATTCTTTCGTCCATCCCATTTTTGTTTTCTCGCTGACCGATTTTCATGTGCATTAGCAAAAACCCTGATTCAATGGGCTTATTTCTTTGGGACCTGTGAATCATCTTCTTATTGTCTCGGAGTGTCAATGAAGCTTTTCATATATTTTCTGAAAATTAAGCCACATCATGCAACTTTATCCTTATTTCTGATTTGCATATATATTTTTTTCGATGATTGGCTACTGTCCACATGCATCCAATGGTCACCGGAACCTACGTTATTTGAAAACGCTCTTGAGACTAGAAATATTAAAAAAACACCGATTTCACATAGCCCAGGGTTCGCACTGAATACGCCAAATTTGGCGTATTTTACGCCAAAATTGTTCAGATGACTGAGGTTACGGAGGGAGTCACTTCGACTCCAGAAATTTTCGGTAACAAACACAGTTTTGTGCTTACCTTTTTCAAAACAAATACAATTTACGATACGAGTAAGCGTTGTAAACCTTAATTAAATCAAATACTCAGAAGCACACTTTGAATTTCTTTTTTGATTGAAGGTTGCCTTAGTTCCCTCAAAGAACATGGTATCTCATTCCAGAGTTGTGTGTCTATTCTTGAAAAAGCTTTTTTTTTGTATTTCAAGCCTTGATCGTTTTACGTAAACATTTGTTTGAGGCAGCGGACCGAGTGTTGTATGAATGAATACTGGACGCATTCGTAAATAAATTACATAATTTAGGTTGTGCTGAGGCATTTCTAACGTCGTGCATCAATTCAGAAAAATTTTTATAATATAAAAAATTTAGCGTTAACGGGTTAGCGTTAATAAACAGAGGAATAGTATGCTCTTTTTTCTTCGTTTTTGTAAAATTAACAGTTTGTCTAGATAGGATTTGCAGGCCTGGCCCCAAAAAGGTAGTCCGTAAGTTAAAATAGGGAACAATTAATGGCTGATAAATATCTAGGAGTGTACCAAAAGGTACTAAGTGCCCTAGTTTTGCAAAGTATACCTTAGCTGTTTTGCTGGTTTTTAAAGTAGTACGCAGTCAATATGGTTTTTACGAGAAAGGTTACAACCAATCAACAATCCGAGATATTTTACAGAGTCTTTACAATCCAGTTGGACTTTCCTGTTTCTTTCGCTGTCGAATATGCTTATTTTAGGCTGAAATGTTAGTTTCTTTTGAAAGGGACGGAAAATAACAAAATTGATATTTTTGGGTTGTGTTAATTTGTTTGAAGTTAGCCAGACGTACAGTTTATGCGGTCCAGTATTAAGGACTTGTTCTAATGACTGAAGATTTTTATCGGCATATAAGATATTTGTATCATCAGCTAAAAGATAAAATTGAGTTTATTTGAGCAGTTACAAATATCATTAATGTGCAAGTCAATAAAAACAATCACGGTCCTAATACGGATCCTTGCGGAACCACAGAATGTACCAGTTCTCCTTTCCGGACTCTCCTACCCGGCTATTAATTCTTTGGGAGAGGCTGGCATACAGATGCCGTTTTTCTCCATCAGTAAAAATTTGGCTTTATCGACGTCAAACTACCAATCAAAGTAAATCTAAAATGACTGAACGCTACCCCTTCGTCCGAACGAATCAATAGATTTTAGACTTGTGGTCGTAGAATTAAATTCCTTGTTACGGCTTTCTTATAACTACGTTTTTTATCTCTCTAGGCAAAAGATGGCTCACTCGCGATAATAGATTGCACACGCTGCGTGAAGTTGACAAAAGAAGGTTTGCAAACGTCGGTTTTAATTTAGGAGTAGGACCAGATAAAAACGTTTGAGTGATTAGCTTATTGCCTGCTGATATTATTTAAGATTGTGGAACTAACAGTTGATAGCTGTAGGGTCTACGATTTTAGGACCCTGTCCACATGGAGTGGGGGACCCCGGTTTAGTGGGGTAAGTTTCTTTTGTTTTGTGTGCCCCAGAGCGTGAAAACAAAAGAAACCAACCCCACTAGACCGGGGTCCCCCACTCCATGTAAACAGGCCCTAAGTCTAACATTTGCATCTAAAGAGTTCAGAGTCACCTCAAATATGCGAATGATTAAGATAGCTCTGAATGCTTTCGGCCGAAAATTTTTAGAAGAGAAATTCCAAACAATGCTAATGCAAACGTTGGAGGGATAACAAAGAATATAATGGTCTATCTTTCTTTTATGGGTTCTAAGAGTTAAAAAGTGAATTTAATGGTGGTTTATCGTGTTTTAACGTTGCTTTGGTAACTCGTAACATAAAAGGAAACATACCCTAATAAACGTGTTCATGATAATAATTAATGTTTAAATTTTGTACATTAGGACAGGCTTAATTAAAAAATCTATTTAGTATTTATCAATCCATTATTGTTGAAGTGTTCAGAAAATGCTCAAACTTTTATGAGCCACCCTAATTACCGATCTTGTTCTAGGGCAACATCCTGAAGAAGGAGAAAAGAATTGTAAAAGTGAAAATGTAACCCGAAAACATGGCACAGTATGGGCAGTGGCTGCTATGGGATCCGTACCTTTACGTAAAAACCAGTGTACGGAATGTAGCTGCACGGTAAGATATTTTAAAATAACGTTCATCAATGACCACTTGGTTTTGCTACAAATATCCCCAACTGTATGAAAATTAAATAAATTCATTTGGTGGCATGGAAGTTGAACCGAAATAAATTTTCTTTGCCTAAGTTTGTTGGGATTCCGATTGTGCACATGCTTCTTCTTCCCCCTTCCATAAGCTCTTGCCACGCAAGCTAATAAAGTCGAATCTACTAAAAAAAAAATCTAACAGGATACGATGGTTTTTTTCTTCCAACTGGAAACAAAAGACCAAGGAATTCGCAACAAGGATTTCACTTAAAACCAGTCTTATTTGTGTTGTAGGATGGGTTTGTCACGTGCTCAGTCAGATCGTGCCCTGTTCTGTCATGCAAAAAACAACGGAATGGAACACAATCGTGCTGTCCTGTTTGCGAAGGTAAGAACTGTAAAATTTCCAAAAAAAGTTCGGAAGTCTTCAATTATTTTTTTTATAAGTTTTTGACGGTGATACAAACAATTGTAACGTGTGGTAAAACAAAGTTAGGACGCACCTAGTACAAAGTCAAAAGAAGTAGCACTTACACATATAAAGCCCCGTACAAACTGGCCCAACATCAGACATTTTGCTGGCCACCAACTCCCTACATAGTTGGATGTTACATGTTGCTTTCTTTTTTACACCCCGGTGCATGTTGTTGCGTGTTGTTGGGAGATGTTGCGCAGATTTTGAGACCGGTCAAACATTTAGCCAATGCAGACGGACGCAACAACTCTCATGATTGCTGCGCCGTCCCTTTGCACGTAGCTTAATAAACACTTAACGAGATGCTGAATTCTTGAATTATTAATATCTGCTTTAATTTAATTCTAGGGGATTTACAAACAACACGCGATCCAGCAGGTAGGTATAAGACGCACCAATTTCATTCACGACAATAAGTATTGCTAGTTTTAATGACATTTTATTTTCTCTTTTCCGTAGGCTGCAAAACTATGGGTAGATACTATGGAAATTTGGAAAAGTGGTTTCCCTTATTATCTCCAAAAAACGACTTATGTGTAAGCTGCGTTTGCAAGGTACAATATTTTGTAAAAACTTTAATTATTATTATTATTATTATTATTATTATTATTATTATTATTATTACTATTAAAGTATCTAAAGCTTCGAGTTTAACCCTTAAAATAATTTGATCAAAAAGGGTTAGCTTTTTCATCTTTCTTCGGTGCCGCATATTAATGCGACGAAGTCACGGTTCGAGGTTGTCCGCTATAGTGAGAAGTGATTCCATTTGCTGTTATTGAACCGAATGGATGAAAGTTGATCGCTCTTTTTAATATACAAATCATGAAAAAGAGATAGTAAAATCAACTACTACAGCTGATTCTTAAGTCATGGCGCAAACCGATTAATTAAATTGATTTACCAAGAGAGCTACTAATTGCTCTTACTGAAAAGAAAACAGCAACTTAATAACAGCCTGTAAACCATTAAGCTGAAACTTACCTCATGTTAGGCCCCTTTCAAACGTGGAATTTCTTATGAGTGTTTTAGTCGATGAAAGAATATATTAATTAAATACGGCAATTGATTCAGACGTCGGATATGATGGTGCCGAATTTAACTACGTTTGTTGTAAATATTTCCAGTCTCCAGAAATTTTTTTTATCCAATATTGATAAGGGTTTCTACAATTAATGCATTATATTCGGCACATGTGAAATGCGACTTTTAAATCAAATGTTGAACCTGAGTCGAATTTTCGACTTAGCAGATTCGACAAAAATTTGAATCGAATTTAGTTGATTCAGACGTCCAATCTCAAAGCAGTTACCTCTCGAATTAAACTAGGCACATGTGAAAATAGACGATTGAGCTGGGTAACGATAACATTGTCCAGTATTACAAAAAGTACCGGAAGATACGCTATGCGATACGTACCGCATTTTTTATATTCCTGTAAATCTTGCTTCCAATTTTACCACATTATGCTATAGCTACATGCACCACACAGGTAAAAAAAGAGAGTAAGCAAGAGATTAAAAAAAAAAGAAATAATATAAGGTTACGAAAAATTTCGTTCAAGGGGATTCGAACTCGGATCCTCAGAATCGGTTAGAACTAAAACAGGGTTCGTACAGGTCATGGAAACCTGGAAGGTCATGGAATTTAAGAATTTCCTTTTTCCAGGCCTGGAAAGTCATTGAATTTAATTATCGGTCCTTGAAAGTCATGGAAAATTAAAGTTTTGTTTTGTAGTTTAGTTACTGCAGATGACAAAGCAAGGACAATGTAAGATAGACAGAAGTAATCAAACAGCGAAAACGCCACGCATTTTGGTGAACACCAGAGTTTGTTTCTGTTGAACTGTTTAAGGTCGATCAAAAATACCCCAAAACAAGCAAAATTTTGAAACTTTTTGAAAGGACCACTAAACCAGAGGTCTTGAAAGACTTGAAAAAGTCATGGGAGGTCATGGAATTTGAAGAGCGCAAAAGAGTACGAACTCTGTAAAAGTTAACGCCTCCACTTCGGTAAACGCTGACAGTTTAAGTTTAATAGAGGTATATATTCCTAAGCTCACAATATACCCATTAACATTCTTTCAGGATTGGTCCATGCCGCGGAACGTTTAAGAAATTTCTGAACTATCGATCGCGCGGCTACTGACTGAACCGTATGTCCGTACGATTCTCTCCCTGCTCGTAAAGTGTCTTTTCATCGGTCGGAGAAAACATTAACACAACATTGTTCATTATTATTTCCATTGTTCTAGGTTAGGGTAGCAACCCATTTGGCTTTTAGGGTTAGAAGAGCTGCTAAATGACCTCTCTCCCCGGAATGAAGAAAAACAATGTGGCCGCCGAATACATCGTTTTAGTTTTTAAAGGTCTTCTTTATTAACAAACGTTGAACATATATTTCGGCAAACAAACAGTTAAGTTGAAAAAGGATTTTACAAAACTCTCAAGAGTGGGTCTCCTGTTCGTTTTTAACTGCAATAACGGCCAATTTACACAACTTTTAAACTTCTGGATCAGTTTTCGTTTGGTTCTGCTTTGAAAACGGAATAATGATTACTCAGAGACAATACTATACAAGAATTATTGAGAAAAACAGCAAAAACTTGCCAATTTATGCCAAAAAAAGGTACTTTAAAAACGGAAGAAAACATTCAAAACGCTTTGATCACGTGATTCAAGACGTCATGTCCCTCTTTTTGGTCATGAAAAAAATTATCAGGTAAAACATTACTTTCCCGCAAATTTTCTCTGCCTTCTGATAAAAGGTTGACTCTCTACAGCCCTCGGCCTAATCTCTCGACCTTTTTGCTCATGTTCATAAGCCCGTTAAATTTTAAATGCCGGACGTCAACTGGTTATTTTTAAATGCCCCACACAACAAAAAACGTCAAACATGCTATTTGTTTTTAACTCGTTAATAAAATCTTGTCACAGCAACAAACCTAATTCGGAAATAGTCACGTGACTGACGACGTCATTACTTAGATGTGACATGGGAAGATATTTTATGGCAAATGTTTTATTGTCGTGGTCTGACAGTCTTCTACGTATAAAACTGTCAAAGTTATAAAGCTTTGTAAAAAATTACCTCAAAGAAGTTTACATTTTTCCTCATTAACATATGCTTATCATTAGCTGATGAAACTCATTAAATAGAATCTCTGAATATTGAAAGAGCAGAACACTTTCAGTTATCTCTGAAATTTTGAACCCGATATACCGTTTCGGAGAAATTCTCTTTGAAAAAGCCCCAAACCAAGATTGAAAAGATTGTACGAGCTCATTACCGTTTTTGCCACCAAGCAATTTCGCAGTTTTTGATTCCTATTTCCTTTGTCGGCGACGTCTTGTTGAGGTGGCTCGATACAGTTTTCCAAGGTCAATACCTCCCAAGTTTGAGCATAAACAACGTCTCCATGCATAAACAAAGATTTGGAAATTAAAATTGCCCCCACGGTTGTACTGGATAACGATGAAAATTTGTTATGATCAGGGTTGCAAGGACATCGGAGTTGTCATGGCAACGAAATGGTGTCACTACCTATTTTACTTGCAGCAGTATTTCTCAACACTTGGAACTGTTCTTCCAAAATCGTTCACGGAAGTTTTAGCGAAATCTGTAACAGCGTCATCGCAATATTTTGAGATGAAGTTTTTATAGTTATAAATACAGTAAAAAATGGACCATCTTGAAGGATGGCCGTTATATGTAGGAAACGAAGCCCTTTTAACATGCAATTTCACCTTGTAGTAGTTTCAATCTTTTTAAAAACGTATGCGAAAGATCATGGAGATAGCTCCAGCCGATTGCTAGAAAGAAGGATTTGATTAGTATGCATCGAGGCGCTCTTGTTCGAGGTTTTGTAAACATTTCGTTGCTATGACAACTCCGATGTCATTGCGGCCCAGATCATAACAAATTTTCATCTTTATCTAATACAATTGTGGTGGCAATTTTTCCAAATCGTTGTTTATGACGACGTAGTTTATGCTCAAACTTGGGAGGTATTGACCCTGAAAAATGTATCGAGCCACCTTACCTTAGAGCAAAAATGTAAACATTGACGTTAGCACAAGGATTCGCTTGTCCTAAAGCTGGGCACTCTCGAGCGCTCGATAAGGCGATCAAGTTCAGTGATTTAGAATTGAGTTGGTTTAACAATAAGAAGTTGACGCTGGGAACATTCAGTATTCTATGACATTAATCAACGCTTAATGTCACAGCAGTATTTCAAATTAATTAGCAATTAATGAATGAGGCTGAGTAGGATATGAAGAATTAAGCAGATCGAGGACGGTGTTATCTACCAAGGCCAAACTTTATTATTCATTCAAAATAATTCCTAGTTGAAAAACATAACTAAAACATGCTTACGTGCATCGATAATAAGTTCGTCTTCGACAGTGTACGTTTAGGTTTGTCCAGCTCCGCAAATATTCTCCAAATAGGAGATGTCGCCCTACGAGTTGTCTTCTTGCTGTTTTTGCCATGTTTTTGGCTATTATTTCGTCTAGTTCCAGCTGTAGTTCTTACTCTTGAAACGAGTGAAATGTCCTCCATTTTTTTTCACAACCAAAACAACTCAACCTCGTCCCCAGTCTTCTCGTTAACGGTGCCTTAACTAGTAGCGGGGTGCATTTTTGACGTCATTTCCTCGTTAAACACAAACTTTTTCCAAATTTGGTCATCACTAATTGGTTATGGTGAATTATGCGTGTGCTTTTAGCCATTCAGAATTGGGGAAATATTTTGAATTAATAATAATATAATTTATCGTGATTCATGTTTCCTATGTAAAGCTGTCTTAAATAATATTGCCTACACCACTGGAAGGAAGTGGAATTGGTTCTACTTTTCCATCTTAGAACACTTCGGTGGTGTGTCAAAGACCTACCTGCCCGACGCTATCCTGTGTCAGCCCTGTACGGAAACCTGGAGCCTGCTGCGACACCTGCCCAGGTAAACGACTTGTTAGCACGGGCCAGTTTTGCCCAATATTATGTATGCAAATCCAAGACAGTCTTTGATTCTGGATTCCACGCCTTGGATTCTAGATTCCACGCCTTGGATTCCGGATTCCTGGTACTGGATCCCAGTCTTTGTCAACGGAACTGAATTCCAATCTTTATGGGATCCGGACTCCTTGAGCTGTATTCCAGATTCCGAAGCCCAGGGTTCCGGATTCCACAAGCAAAAATCTCCCGGATTCCCTTACATGGGGCGACGTTTTCCTTCAGTGTTTATCTTCTCGTAGTTTCTAAAAAATATAGCGGATTACATTTATTTTACCGTTATACACTGTAGCACTTAATTTTGAGGCGTGAACTATTACGTCAACTTCATTCAAGAGTTCTCCTTTGTTGTGCAGTTGTTAAGTTTTGGGTGCTGATGGAAAGAAAACTTCGAATTAGTAAACAAAAACATTTTAAGGCAGCGCTCGAAATCTTGCCTTGTTGTCGAACTTGTAAAGTCCAGTTGCGGGTAGGGCTTGACGCCAAGATGAACACAGAAGGTAAACAGCATGTGATTTCTAGTGCTTGCCTGATAACCTCCTGATTTTTTGTTTATCTTTTTATGTATTGATTTTTATTTTTTAATTGCCTCCTGATTGGGCTTGACGCCAGGATGAACACAGAAGGTAAAAGTTATTTACCCATGAGTACAGTGACTTGCTTGGACTCAGCTTTCCAAGACAGTACTTAGGTATTTAGTCAACACGAACTTTTTTAAGGCACCGATTCTACCCAGAGTCATGCTGCTTGATTTTTAAGGAACATCCCCTTTTCATTTAATTTCTGTCCTTTTCTATATTGTCAACGTTAAATTTTCAATTTGGATCTGACAGGAAAATGAAACTGCAGCTCCTGACGAAACGAATTAGTGAAATGCTGCACTAACGGACTTCCTTATTGTCGAATGAATTTATTGTGCGGCTGCTCCAGCTCGGTATCTTCTGGGATAAAGAGTCGGGCGTCTCTTTCACTCGATTTCAAGTAATTGTAATTCCAATCGCGCAAATACTTCGATGAAATAAATTTGATCTTCTAGTCGCCTTACACCCTATTTTTCAGGACTGAAGAACAGCACTATATCAAAAATTAAAGGGTAACAGCTAATAATAAATAATGCATAATGTAACGCAACTGATTAATACTAATAACTACAAAACAATATATTATGCTGGGTTGAGTGCAATCGCTTTGTCATCTTTTTCCCTCTGTTCGGCGTTAATTTATTTCAGCCAACTCACCGACAAAGAAACCCCCTAAACGTGGCAGAAAAATATTTGGAGGCTTTATTACAGAAATCTTCCGAGGTATGCGTTCTGCGACTCTGGTACCACACCTTAGAAGTAAGACTCAAATTTCAGTGATATCTTTCGAAGATAGGCTGCTTGTGCAGAAGGTAACATTCTGCTGTGACGCCATCAAAGGATTAAGACACTTGTTTATTAAGCTAGAGACTACGTCAGATTTAATTGCCCTCTAGTGGAAAAGTGAAAGATCAGCTCTTTTCTGATTCTTTATCTCGTACAAACCAATAGTTTGTAAAATAATTAGATCGTCAGTAAAAGGAGGTAAAGTTTCTGAAAACAATTCAATGTAACAGATCTAGTAGAAACTGATGCGATTGCGACGTTATTTGTTACGTTTTCTTTCTTTATACATGTACCATGTGCTGTGGACTCTTTCACATTTTATGAGAAAAGAAACACATAAAATCGTATCTCCTTTTTTATTTATATATCAAAATCGTTTGATGTTTTAATATTTTTTAACATTTTTAGTTCGGAAGGAATAATTCCCCTACAGCTATCCATCCACCAGGAAATAAGTTCTTTATTTCTGTTTTTGTCTGTTTTACATTATGTCGCACAATACCCTTGCACGTTGAAGCTAATGCTATGTATGTTCTAATGCACCAGAAATAGGCACTGCTTGCTAAGCTCTTCAGTCACTTCTATCTAACGTAAACTCTTCTAAAGTAACCATCATTAAATCTTTTAACTTCTTTCAGTCCGTAAGTCTTCTAGAAATGCTGGATTGAATTCCAAATCTCGAGTGGGACGAAAAGGTATGCAAAACAAACTGAACTTTGGCGTGGACCTTTTGGGGATCTAGCCTCAACTGTCATCATTACACGAAAAGACGATTTAATTTTAAACAATCTACCAAACCCATAGAAGCAGATGCCATTACGTGGGTATTGATTCTTGGTGCTAGTGCAGTTTAGGGGGACAAAAAGGTGACTTAAGGTGACCCGAACCTATTTATATGCGTGTTGGTTATGTTTGTGAATTGCGTTTTTCAACAGGAACAATTTAACGGAATTTCTATATATGATTTCCCTACAAGTACAAAGTAATTTTGATGAATAGAAGTTCCTTAATAATAATCTCACCCCGTATTCAGCATAAAGTTATTCCTCATGTAGTGTAAACTGTATTCGCCGTAGGTTTCTGATTACTCAGTTTCTTGCAATAAAGCTTGGGTAAGAATACCCGTTCAGATAGGAGATAGTCAGCACCCTTCCTCTATTTGTACGTCAGCTTTCACGAATGTGTTAGCGTAGCATTTTAAGGTTACATTTGCCCAGCATTCTCAGTGCAGCGAGTTGTATGGTCACGATTGACTTCAAACTTGCAGATATAAAACTAGAAGAGCTCTTAGGCTTAATTGCTGAAGTTAGGGAAAAGTCTGTCGTAAGATTTCGAAGTTATTCACATTTTTTGTAAAAATGCGGTTAAAAATATATGCCGATATCTCAAACGTTTTTATACTTACAAGAAAATTAAATAACATTTAACAGTTCCACCGTTCTTTATTAAGGACACCAAAATGTATAGAAATCGGTTAGTAATTCCTTCTAAAAAACCCGATTCAAAAACATAACCAACACGCCTATAAGTAGATTCGGGCCACTTTCAATCAAACATGCTGGTATAGTCAAAATACGCAGGATTTTTAGTGAGCTAAGGAAAATGATTAAGCAATGCAATTTTGATTGTTCTTAAAACTGCTCACTGCATGTGAGGAATTGTTCGAGGAACTGAGTCTATCGGTAAGTTGTTCTACACGTGATGTGGCGGTCAGACTCGAGTTACTGCTTATAGTCCCACGGATGGTCGGCAAGGGGAAGGTACGTCCTTGTTGGCGATAGGCTAGCGGAGTCAGCCAGGAGATCTAAACCGTTTCATGGAAAACGTCGTGACCCTCCAACTTCTTCAAACAATAAAGGCTAACCCTTTACAAACATCCAAACAAAAACACCTTACCGTCCTCCCTTTCTACTTCACCTTTTTGTACTCTATTTGCTTCAGTAGCCATGTCTAAACCCTCGTTGCTGCCACTGTTTGCCTCTGGACAACTTCAAAGATGGATAGCGACTTTGAAACATTCTTCAATGTTTAGTTATACTGCTTAGTCGCTCAGTACATCTGCGGAAACAAACGGCAGGCTTTTTGAGCTGACTTTGCCACCATACCTCCTTTACTTTTTATAGATTAATAAAAAACCAGGGGGGTACTTAACAAATTTTTATATGGGAAGGTTCCGCCCCGGGGTCCGACCCCTTGCCCTTTTATATACACTTTTTCACGAAAAAGGTTTCCCCTTCGTATACCTTTTATTGACGAATGGTACCCCTTTCACTTACCCTGTTTAAAAATTTGCATCAGTCCCTTTTAACTGCTGTAAATGCATCGTCTTTCAAATAGGAATCGATCACAAAAACAGAACGTTTTCTCGTCTTTATAAAGTCATAAAATTTATCTGTTAGCTCTTTTGGGCCCTTTCACAGATCCAAATGACAGATTTCCCTACCCTTTGATATACTTCAGCTAGTCAAATACCAACCTTTTTTATATGCCTGAAGCCTGGAAAAGGTACCCCTTTCGGATGGAGCCTTCCCGTATAGGCCATCATAGGGAGTACCCCCCGGGAGTGAAAATCCCATAGGTGAGCCCCTGCCTTTGAGGAAGTCCGTATTTAACTTCCGTCTATGGTAAAAAAGCTGAGCATTCCATCTTTATTTTGCATTTCAGTCACCCCTGAAAGTGGATGTTTGTTGCCGGACAATCAAAGAGTTCCTTATAATTACTCTTACCATCCAAACGTTGTCCCTTTTGGTATTACCTATTGCATCCTATGCGTCTGCATTGTAAGTTCATTCTAGATAAGAGTATGTGTTTTAAATTGTTTGTATTGCAGTTCTAATAGAAATCTGACGTTGAATTCTCTTGGCGTTAAAAGGTCAATATCTCTTATTTAGGAAGGCACTCTTTCTTAGATGATACCCAGATATTTCAAAGATTTCCTGCACTTGGGTTTTAACCACGCAGATGGGGACAGAGTGATCTCGTACTCAGATCTCGAAGGTCACGTAGCAAAGAAAGATCTCCCATTTCTACTGACAAACAAACGCCGGTGAGATCTGGGTACAAGACTGCTTAGTGACAGAAGCAATTTAAATAAGTGCTCCTTGTGGAGTCGTGCATGGAGAACACAAGCTTGTTGACCTTTTCTAGATATTTAAAAAGGGTAGTACAGTCAATTTGCCCTTAATTGCAAGCAGATGGGCAAACTACTCGGCTATTAGAAAGTTTTGACCAAGTTACCATGTCGTGTAAACTCGGAACACAACAGACCTGTGCAGTCTTCGCATAGGATTCTTGTGCTAATGATTGATACGGACTGTTGATAGATTGACTTTTTTGATTTATTCTGTTTCTTCATACATCAAGCATTGCACTAATCAAACTTTGTAGCCTGCGAGAAAGCTCTCCAATAATGGCTAGCGAAGCGAGCCTCGAGAGAGCATGCCCCTCGCACTCGCGTGTCCTTGCGCGTGAGGCTGTCGCGTGATTCTCTCACGACTCCCAAAATCGCAGGGTACGAACTTTGTTGACGTGACACTGTCCTATATTTTAGCCACCCAATATAGATTGCAGTCCTGTGCATTGTCCGTCCAATTACTCTTGCGCACAGCCGGTAACCGTTCCCGGGAAATGTTGTAAGGAATGTAAAGGTAAGATGCTGTTCTGATGTTCATAGTATTCTATAGAAATTTAAAAATTTCGAAAAAATAAAGGTGTTGAGTCAGTCATCCCAAATAATATTGAGCTTATGTGAATTGCACGCATGTATTCAAGAAAACAAATCAAGAGCAAGACAGTTGCTGCCTTCCCACTAGAAGCGAAGTTAGTTTCAAGTAAGCACTTGATTCAAGTGCTCTTGGAAATCTTAAGTGGCTTTTAGAAAACATGGCTTCACACTAGTTGACAAAGTATATTACTTAAAATAAAAGCTGTCAATCTCTCAGTTCGTGAGAATCTTGGAACCGCCTCATGTGCATATCTTGCACATGGCTTCCATTTCTTATTGGTCAAGTGTGTTCTCATGAGTGGTGTAGCCTATACTTAGCGACGAACTTCGGCTTCTTTGAACTACGAACGTTTCCATGGTCACCAAGTAAAGCTGAAGTACCTAAATTTTACTCCTTCACACTCAAAGTAGGTTCCACACTTACATTACATTATACTTGAAGCTCTAGCGTGAAGCCAACAAGTTATTTCCTTTACATTACTATTAAAGTTGTTTTCGGTACTTCAAACCAGTCTAAAGTTAAAACTTTACAGATACGGTTCTCGGAATACTTGTTGGCTTCACACTAGAGCTTCAAGTACATATATAAGGTAAGTGTACTTGGAACTTATTTTGAGTGTGAAGGGGTAAAGAAAATTTACCTCCTTAAACTTTACTTGGTGACGTGGAAATGTTCGTAGTTCAAAGAAACCGAAGTTTGCCGCCAAGTATGGGCTATACACACTTGACCAATAAGAAATGGAAGCCACGTGCACGATGTTCACTACCCAAATTTGGGTAGTTATTCTGATTTTACTTCAACTTTACTTGGTGACGTGGAAATGTTCGTAGTTCAAAGAAACCGAAGTTTGCCGCCAAGTATGGGCTATACACACTTGACCAATAAGAAATGGAAGCCACGTGCACGATGTTCACTACCCAAATTTGGGTAGTTATTCTGATTGATCGTGCCGCGTGGGAAATGTGTCTCAACCAATCAGAAGTGCTACCCAGATCTGGGTAGTGACGCGTCATCAGTGTGGAACCTCTCCGCTAGTTTCTCAGACATCATTTCGTGAGGAAACCAGTGGTGACGTCGCGACATGTCGGCTGTTTTCTCAGGCTAATGTCTGCTCAAACAGTTCTAAATATTTAGAAACTGAAACTGGTTATATGTTTTCAGCGCCATTTGTCAACTTAAATTTACGCGAGCGTGGAGCGCTTTCAACGAAAAAAAGCTAATTATCTTGAGAAACAGGCTAGAAGATCAGAGCTTGTGATTAAAGAAGTAACTGACCATTTCCAACAACAGGTACCAACACCACCATGAAACCAGCTGTTAGGAGATACTGCCAAGGAAAGCACTGGCGGGTCTATGAATATAAGATGATCCAACGCAGAAATCAAAACTTAAGGACCGAAATCCGAGTACACTTTGCATTTGTGGACGGAGAGCGAAACTTTGTGGAAATACACAGCCTTGTTGCTAATACAACAAACAAAACAGTTACCGTAACGAACACTACCAAGAGGAATTTCGATCAAATTAACCAGAACAGTAATTACATTCTCCTTGGAAAGATTCGTGAAGGTAGGTGTAAAATTTCCGTTCAAAGAAAATAATACATGAGCAACAAAAATAAGTTACACTCTAATGTTACACCAAGAGTTTTAAGTGTATCGGTAGTGTCCTCTGCATTGTTATCTACACTGAGGTTATAGCGATAGGGTACTGGACCTACGGTCATTGCCTGCGTCTTGGATGCATTGATCTGTAGACAGTTTTGCCGAAGCCATGTTGTTAATATTTGAAGATCAGAATTAATAACATATTCTAAAATTGGAGGGCAAACGTCCGATGAATATTCATACAACCATAGAGAGATGTTTGTAACTTGAAGGTTCAAATCATTAATATAAATATTAAAAAGCAAAGGGCCCAACAGGGTCCCCTGAGGAACCCCAACTTTATGTTTCCAGTCAGAGTAAACGCCGTCCATTTTGACCCTCTGCCTCCTATCTTGCAAGTAATTCCTCATCAACTCCAATGCTTGATCTGTGAAGCCATAAGCTCTGAGTTTTGCAAGCAGTAGGCTGTGGCATACTGAGTCAAACGCCTTACTCAGATAAATTGAAAGCGTAGCAACAGCCTCTCTGTTGTCAAGGCTCAACCTCCGATCTTCTACCATTTTCAACAATGCAGTACAACAAGAGTATTCCTTAAGTTAACCGGAAAGGTTAGGCGAAAGACTTGGAGCAAATGCTGAGTACACTTGATCTGCAACTATCTTCTCTTAAATCTTAGCGCAGGGAGGATCGGCACCGGACGATAGCAAGTCTTATTAGTCTCAGAAGCTTTTTTAAATACTGAAGTGGTGTTGCTACTCTTCCATACCCTAGGCCATAACCTGTTAGTGATAAAATGATTGATCAGTTTGGTCGGTGGTTGCGTTATGACAGGAGCTGATAAGCGAAAAAGCCGCTGGGACATGAAATCACAAGCAACTGCCTTCACTGGAGTTAGCTTTTCTATGATACCTTTCATGTAACTCTTGCTCGCACTACATCCGATTATAAGTCCCCCTTCACCCCCCCACCTCACCTGATATAAGCCTTCCTCTAGCTTGCATTGAAATGAATTCGATTTATAATGGGGTTTTGAAGCCTATAATAGCAAGTAAATGCAAAGCGTATTTTGATCGGCATTGCCATAGCTTGTTTCGAAGCGCTTTTTCAGGTCCGATTATAAGCCCTCTCGGATAAGCCCCTCCGTTTATAAGCCCTCCTTAAACCCCTTACAAAGATGTATAAGCCCAGGGCTTATAAGCGGCAGTTTCAGGTATCGAATCGTGTTCTTAAGTAATTCCATGCGGGATAAAACCCTCCGCGAACGTTACTCTCTAAGGCATTGTGTGTGTGTGTTTTTTTTTTGTTGTTGTTATTTTCCTGAAGTTACACTTTACAAGTAGCTTCGCTTGTAAGTATCCCTAATCCTTCTCTGGAATTTTAGAGGCTTGATATTGTGTTTAGGGTTACTGTCAATCTCAAGAATATTTCTGTCAACAAGAAACGCCATCAATCATTAATTAACTTTTTATACTTTGTTTTCTAGTGCAGATAGTTAAACTGAGGGACAACGAGAAACGCCCATGCCACAATAGCCACGGATGTGTTCACACTGTACGTAAAATAGCGAACAGGCTTAGAGGCCGTGTCAGCAACTGTGTCAGTCGGGGCCCACCTGATATACTTAAGATGCTAGAAAGCACGCCGACCGAGCCTGGAACTTAAGAATCTAATCAACGTTATGTTGAACACGTAGAGTTCTTTTTACTGGGCTAGCCTGCGGACGGCAGACGTTTCCCCTCGCTCTGAGGGACGTTTCGCGAGGAGGAACGTCTGCGACTCAGCGACGGAAATTCCATACTGTTGACGTAAATCAATGTTTACTTGATAAATGCGGTAGTCATGGGGTTCCAAATGCAAATTTGCTCAATTTTACGTTTCTCCTGGTCGATTTTGGAAAAGTCCTGTGTTCATCTACGAATGAGCTCCAGCAAAATTCAAATGCTTCTTCTAGAGAAGACTATATTCCACAAACATTGGCTGTTTTGTTAGAGATTCATCGCGTTTAAATTTGACCTTTTCCGCCTTTTGTCTTTAGTCGGTCATTCGTAAACAATAGCTAAAACAATGAAACTACTCCGTCGACCAATTAGCCCTTCTGACCGGATTCCGGACAGATTTTGCGTCATCAGTGTGGAATTTCTGTCGCTGAGTCGCAGACGTTCCACCTCGCGAAACTTCCCTCAGCGGGGAAGAGCGAGAAGAGAATCGTCTGCCGTTCGCAGGCTATTACTGGGAAAGATGCAGGTGACTCGGACTAAAGTTATAAAACATTTGTTGTTAGAGGTATCAATTTTAAAAAAAACTCTTCATGAAAGCATTTGACAACGACTAGAGATTTAGTTTACAATTGTGCCAGATTGCTTTATAAAGACCAAACTCACATAATTTGCTGTTTCTACATGTCTTCAAATATAAGTGGGAACGTTTCAGAGGCTATAAATTCCATAAAGTGTTCATATAAGACGACTATCCCGATGACCACCTTCGCATTAACACTTTCAACTGATATTGGGAGGCCCATTTTTTTACTCCCTTTTGAGGACTCAGTATTGTTTTACCATGGATGTCTGGATGCTTCTGCGATTTTCAACTTCTACCCTCCAAAATTTTCGATTCTAAGAAGTTTCAGCATGTTATGGGAACATCATCGTTGACCTTTCTGAATCTCCTTTTGCCGAGGTCATCCCCAAACGTAAACTTGGAAACACTTGCCAGAATCAGAGAAAACAGTGACTTTTAAGTGGTGTAAACTGAGAAATTGCGGGAAAACGTCATGCTTAATAGCTTTCTTAGATCTTAAATAGTACTTTTCTAATTCTCTTTCCGTCCACACTTAGAGTACGGGCAAGCTCTCCGGGACGCTCTGGCGGCGGGGAGAAAAAAAGCGCCCCAGAGAGCTTGCTCGCAGGCTGGTTCACAGTATATAATCAAGCTAAAATATTTAGAGGCTAAGTTTAAGTTCTATTTCAGATAAATAGGGAATCGAACTCCTGGTGTTTTCTCGCTGCAAAAACGGACAGGAACTGTATAACGTTAACGAAGTGTCCTTGATTTCGCACAGTAAGAAGCATCTTCAATAAAGTCCTTTTTAGTTGTGTAGGTGCGTTCCTTTAGAATGATCCGGATGGCTCGTCGCTGTGGTATGATCCGTGTGATTTCGGATCCGGATCATCCCAAAAGAACTGACTCTTTCGAAAATAGGTACTGCGGGACACTGAATAAACCGCTGCTTTTTAATAGACAAGCAGTGCCTTGTAGGAGCTGTGAGATTAATTTAAAAATAAATTGACAAATTAGTTTATTATTCATGAGTCCAGATAGCATTATTTTATCTTAAGACATGTACAGCTCACACGTGTTGACTTCGTAGATGAGGTAAAGGCCGCTGAGCGAGATTGTAATTTCTCCTTACAGTTCTAAGAATATACAATGAGGTATGACACCAAGATTACTTTTTCGTAGGATTCAGGAGACATATAAGTAGAAAATAAATAGATAGAAATCTTAATCAAATTCAGAATTTGTCCAGAAATGCTTTCCAAGCTACAGCCCGCACCTCTAAAACCTTTTCTGGAACCGGACGTGCCCCAGTTGTTTAAAGCGTGGATAATGCTTTTCACTGGATAAATTTCTATTCTGTGGATAACGCAATTCGTTTCCCTTTTATCTATCCAGTGGATAGTGATTTATCCGCTGGATAGCGCAATCTAACGTTTGAACAACCCAGCGCCAGGTTGAACCTTATAAATTGGGTCCTAAATAGCTTTTGGGGCATCTAAGATTTTTGCTTTTCCCGAAAAGCGTTCTAGAAGATCCATATTATCGCTCTGGTGAGTGTAGTATTTTAGCAGTTTTCTTCGCTCTGGTCACTTTCAAAGGTGATAAGTCACAAAGATAGATCAAACTTAAGGTAATTCCCTTGTTTTGCAATGCGCATCACCTACTGCGCATAAAATAAAAGGTGGGGTGATATTCATCGGTTGCCTTAAGAGAGGATACCAAGGCCCCTTTTTCACGTACAAATGGTTTCAAAGGTGACTAGGTAATTCCCCCGATTGAAAAAGTGTTGGTCCTTAAACTCGCCCATCTTTTGATTGCAGTTATTAATGCCCTATACATGGCTCACGGCTTCCTCCTAAATACTTTGAAAACACTTTATAGGCTATCTAGAATACTTTAGAATGCATTCTAAGCGGCGCTATAAAATTCATATCTGTTCGGTGAACGTAGGGCACTTTGAGTCTTTTCGAAATTAAAAGGGCCGCATAATTATTTTCCCGAAAATTTTAAATGCAATTTAACCTAGATTACGAAAGCTAATGAGAATTTTTCTGTTTCCTCTCTTCATTACGTTTTTGAATCCGAAAATTTTAGGTTTTCTTTTTTTTACGAAAACAAGCCTAACCTGGGGGGTGAAATGTGGAAAATTCTAAAAATTTCTCCTCAAGTAATACAAAATTCTAGGCAATATTTGCTTCTCCGAACAGATGTTGTACAGAAAACAGTCGTTGGGTGCCCCTGATGGCTGGCAATTGCCGAAAGTTTGAAAAACATCTGGACAGTATATCCTTTTCATTATTTTCTTTATTTTTTTTTTATAAACACCTGATTAAGCTGTTCCCTTTGCGTCTCATCCTTCCCAAACAAGACAAAAAGAACGACAGTCAACTCATAGAGCAGGTGTGCGGTTTGAGATAATCATATACATATAATCTGTAAAGAAAAATAAATAAAACTTATTTGGTTGTTATTTAACTTGATGTGATTTAAATTCGCTAATAATTAAAAATTACCTACTGTATAGTAAGCACTTGCAAGGCTAGATTTGTTACTTCAAGGATGTTTTAAACTTGAGGTTAGCAAATGAAGTTTCGTATCCAGTGGGCAAAAAACATGATACTTTTTAAACAGAAAACAATGGTAGTTGAAGTGGCCTACTGTTAATTAATATACTTTTTTATCTTGTTGCGTGTAGTGCAATAATTACAAAAATAAAGGGAGAAAGTAGTCTCTTAAGTTTCAGATAAAGCTAATCGGCAGGTAAAGAGAGTTTTCCTTTGAGATACGAAAAATTTGACGACTGTACGTGAAATCCCTCTTGGAACTTTGCGTCTAGCCCTTTCGGCACTCACCCTTTTTGTTTTTTTTATTTTTATTTTTTTTTTCTGTCTTATTTCCCGCAGCGGATCCTGATCCAAGGCTACTTTGCGTGAATTGTGAATTAAAATAGGATTGTTTTTCAAGATGATTACAAATGGTACTTCTTCACTTGTTCAAACCACGCGCAATTACAAAGTACGCTTATTACTTATTATGAAATGCGTGATGATTGTTATCGGACTCAGTGAGTTCATGGTATGAATTCCATGCACGCTACAAACGGTCCTGACGTAGTACTCTCCGAGCAAAACATAATACTAAAACAAAAAAATAATAAATTATAAATAATGAAGTCTCCTTTGCAGCAATAATCTACAACTCCCTTAGATAAGCGCGCCTGAGACAAACTTCATTTGTTTATTTTAACGCCCACTCAAGGACCACGAGGTTATTGCTTATGCCTTCTTTACAGAAGCACTTGAGAGGAAGGAATCATTGTTAAAACCAACAGCTATCAGAACAAAACATCTCAAACCTTCGAAAAGGCAGAGTTTAAAGCGGATAAGGATAACTGTATTCAGTAAGCGCTTTCAAGTTGAAACAAGTTTGAGATTAATCGTTTTGGGTTAATTGAACTTAAAATCAACCACAATTCTCTTTTCGACTCTTTTTAACGTTCGTACATCTTCCTGTTTTTTCATCGTTCCTTATTTACGTATTTAGTTGTGATCTTAATTGAGCTATAATTTTTTTTTGCGTGAAATCGTCTTTAACATTTATAGTCCATGATTTAGTTTATCAAAAATACCGAGCTTAGCAAATCACATGTTAAAATCAATTGCTTTTTATCGAAACAAAACATTCATGTATCTTTATCTAGCAGCTTGATATCAACAGAATGATTATAACTACGCAAGTATTTACGTGTTGAATCGTCTAAGATATCATTAGAAATTGTTTGCAAAATTATTGTATTGATGACGACATTTTATTATGAAAATACAAGTAATTATTATAATTCATTTAAAGGCCTAAAACGTGGGAGAAAACATTCCTAAATTTTGTTGGAAGTGAATGGATCATTGAATCACATCTTTCCTGTGTTTCGATAAAGACAACAATAATATTTTGCTCAAAGTCGTCAATTATTCATAAACGGAAAACTTGTACATCTTATCAGTTAATCAGCCAATAAGAGAGCTTGCTTCGGAGCGTAAATACGAGATAAATACAATTTTGTATCTTACAACTGTGATTAAAGTTCATGTTTTTACAAATGAGAGACACTAACATTCTCAAAATTACTGCTGAGGAAATGACAGCCTCAAGTTCTGAGCAGTACATCATATTGTCTGGCGAGGTGCCTTGATGTATGACATAGCAGTGTTGACGCTACTGAGAAGGGTTCCCAGTTTCCCTTCGTGAACGATTTGTTGGGCTTTCTTGTTTAGCTTGCCAGGCTAAACCTATGAAGAATTTAAGATCGAAACAAAAATTAAGGAAGGAAGAAAAAAGGCTTAGCCTTATTCCTGGTGAACACTTTGTTTAAATTCTAATGAAGTCCTTGGGATGAAGACGTCAGCAAAGAACCCTAATAGATCATCTGGCTCGGTGTCAAAAGTAAGAAAAAATTCACAGCTTTCCGTTTGCTCAGATGATCAGGGATTTGAAACAGATTTAGAGGACGATCTTGAGAAACTTCATATTGAAAAAGAAAGAAAGAAATTCATCAAGACAACGGCGGAGCGTTACTTTGAAGCTTGCGAGAGCCTAAACGCTGTTCCCGTTGCCAAATTTCTACGCCAATGTCAAACAGGTTTAGTAGATCTCAAACACTATGGCATTCAAGATATCGGGGTGCAGGCGATCGCTATGGCCCTGGAACAAGACATAACAGTTACATCGCTTTGTTTGTGTGATAATGGCATTGGAGATCTGGGTTCTATTGCCTTGTCAAGGATGCTCAAAGACAACTGCTTTGTCACACACTTAGATATCTCTGCGAATAAAATTGGCAAGAAAGGTGCCATCGCGATTGGTTGTATGTTAATCGAGAATGCCTCCTTGCAAGAATTAAACTTGAGTGGTTGCGGGATCCAAGGCAAAGACTTCAAGCATTTCTTAAATGCCTTGTCTTCCAATCCACACTTACGAAGGCTAGACTTTGGTTACAACGACCTTGGAGAAGAAGGCGCGATTTATTTGGGTAGATCTCTGGCGAAAAACCGGAAACTGGAACTTCTTGATATAAGCTGGAATAACATTAGGGCGTCCGGAATCGAAGAGATGGCAAGGGACCTTGAGACAAACGAGAAACTGAAGGAACTTAACCTTTCTTGCAATTGTTTCTCTGATGATGGAGCAAGCCATCTTGGAACAGCGCTTATCCGTAACCATTACCTTAAGGTGCTAGAAATGCAGAGTTGTGGTAAGTAATTATAAAAAGTCCACCAAGAGGAAACCCTTAATAAGTTGAGCGGGGAAAGGTTACACAACTCAAGCTAAGTTTGGCCATGTTTGCGCCCAGGGGATACTCCCATGATTGGTTTTGGGTTTCATTCCTTCATCCCCCTACTCCCCCTCCCCCCAGCAATGTTGTGCCCCCCCCCCGAAAAAAGGACTCATTTACCATTTCCGCATAGACCATACTGCACCTTGTTTACCCCCCAAATTTTGCATAACCATTGTCTTCGATTTCTCTTGAGAGACTGTAATACCCAGGAGAAATCGGAAACAATGGCTATCTATACAAAATTTGGGGTGGGGGGTGCGTGGAGGAGGGAGGTAAACAAGGTGCATTGTGGTCAATGGGAATTTCCACCCATTGTGCTCAAAATTCAACATTGCTTGGGGTGGTAGGGGGAGGAGGGGGGGGGGGGGGAAGGTCACCAGTTTTACTTATATCTTATCACCGGAAAGGTCTCAACACTTTTCATCTCCTCCTGACCTCCATTCTGGTCTTACGCACCTCGACATGGCATCTTTTTTCAGGAATCCATATTGATGGAGCCTTTGAAATCGCTGACGCGCTAAAGAAAAACAACACGCTGGAGGTACTAAGGATAGGAAAGAACTCATTCCAAAGTTTTGGTGCTTGTTTACTTCTTCGTGGGCTCAGATACAACCAGACAAGTGCTTTACGAGAACTTATTCTAGACGATGTGGCGTTTGATAGGTAAGGAAAAAAATTCCTTTAATGGCCAAACTATACTATGGAAGTAAGGAATTAAAAGAACAACACACAAACAGAAAAAACTGCCGTGCAGGTTGTCGAAACGTCAGTCAATGTTTACAACAGTCCTATTCAGAACTCTAACCCCGATGCATCATACTCCACCTACTTGTGAAACGAGGGTGAACTTATTAAGGCCTCTTCACATGAGACCGGTTGACCGGGCTGGTCCGGTTACCGGGATGAAAGCAGGATGAATTCTGACGGCCTGGATGGCATTGTCTGAACTTGCATTGCCTGCTGTATTTTACCGTCATAAGAATCCAATGAACTGCAGTGATACAGCTTTCAGAGTTGCCGAAGTTATGATGGGCGCGAAAGTCAAAATTAGTGTGTTTTGCCATGTTTGCCTTGTTTCTCGAATTTGGTGCCAGATCTAGTCCCCAGAAAATTTGACCTTTTCTCATCTCTGGGCTGAAACTAGGAAATTCATCCCGAAATTTCCCATTTCTCGAAAGTCCCGAACCCAAATCAAATATTCAAATCCCGGTAAAGAATAAGAGCTCCTGGCTAGCAAACTACTCCATTTTGTTTCATTAACTGACAGTTTTATCGTGTTAGATGCAAACTATTGCCTCATTATTAATGTAAACAGAGACAGCTTATCGGGCCCTTAATTTGTGGTTTTTCAAACGGGCTCATTTCTTCTTGTTTTTTAATTTCTTCTTTAAAAGTAATGACCAAGAACGAGAAGTCCAAAGACTACTGCAAAGCTGATTTAAAACAACGTGTATTGTTTTTTATAACAATATTTCGTTTGCCATACCAGCCTTCTTCAGGTTTACAGATGTTACTGAACTTATGTAGCAATCACAACATTATATAGATGGAGAATGTCGCAATAAAAATTGTTTAAAAGGGAGAGGCGGAAATGACGTACAACACAAAAACTGGAAAGGAAAATACTAAAGAGATGGGTTACAATAATTCGTCAGGGCGGTTTAGGCCACGAGGTTCAAGGGTCATGCCTTATCTATCAAATGCGACTCCCTGGCCTTTGATCAGCACTGCTATAGCTTGCTTCAGTTCATTTCAGTTTATTGCTTTGCTACGATGACGTAAAGAAAAAAAAAAAACAAGAAAATCTCATTGAAAAGCTTATGGCGAGGAAGCCCAAGGGAAGCCACCGGGTTTATAAGGAATTAATGAGTTCCCTCAGTAAAATCATTTTAACAAAATATTAACAGAATTATCCATGCAAAAATCAGTGGCAGAGCTACAATAAACCTTAAATATATTAGAAAGCCGTAATAATCATAGTTAGGCTACAAAAATGCGAAAGGAAGAAAAACTGAGAGAAAAAAAGTGAAAGTGACAAGCAGAGGTAAAGACAAAAAAATAAACTTTTATTATAAGAGGAAGGCTTTCTACTTACAGCAAAAGGAAGCAGCAGGTACTTGTTGTACTGTAAAATTCCGAAAATAAGCCCCTCCATGTGTAAGCCCCTCCAAATATAAGCCCCCCAAAGCGGTAACGCAAAAAACACTCCATTAAATAGCCCCTCCAAACATAAGCCCCCCAGGGGCTTGTACTTGGAAAATTGCCCTCAGGTACAAAGTAAAACAAAGCAAAGACGATAAATTTACTTGCAACAATAAGGCTAGCCCAATCGATTTTGAAACGCAAAGTTTCCCTCCGTAGATAAGCCCCTTCGAATATGAACCCTTCCAAAAATAAGCCCCTCAAAAAGGGCCTTTGATAAATATAAGCCCCGGGGCTTATTTTCGGAATTTTACGGTTTCAAATTTCAAAATTAGGAGAGTTAAAGAATTTAGGACCTTGGAACTGACGTCGAAGTGCTTTTTCTATTCCGGTTTTTAAGCCCCCTCTGATATAAGCCCTTCCCTCTATAAACCCTTAGAAAACCCTTTAAAAAGATGTAAAAGCGGTAGTTTACGGTATAGCAAAGGTTACGGTACAGCTTGCTATCTTAGGTATGTTTTATCATCTTGTCGTTTTATATTCAGGGAATGTGAAAATGAGTTGGAAGCTCTTTTGGAGGAACGACCCAACTTCAACTGTTCCTGGGATGTGAGCATAAAAGGAGGACATGTAGGAAAAGCAGGGATCAAAACTAAGAAGCCCGACGCGGTGGAACTATTCCAAACCTTTGTACGCACCCGAGGCCTTCGTCTCATCGACTTGTTCAGATTCTTGGCAAAAGACGTTAACGCTACACACCTCACAAAGACCCAGTTTATTAATGGTCTGAAAAAACTGAATGTTCCGTTGAAGGATCACCAGCTAAGAGCACTGTTCAGTAGTCTGGATGTTAATGGAGATGATGAGGTTCAGTTTCACGAGTTGCTAAGCTCGAGGAGCCACTACCTAAAAACGACGCGGAAATAATTTCTCAAAAAAAATTGTGTTTAAACTGACAGTCTCCCAAATTTAGAAATTTAGGCAGTAGAAACGCCTAAATTAGTGAGATGATCTGTTTGTGTCGTTTGTGCCACTGTTTTACGCAAAAGGCACGGAATACTACGTCTTCGAAGCCACCAATCATCGGGGAATGTCATTTTATGACGTAATACGTTACTATAACAACAGCAACAACAATAGCATATCCTCATGAATAAACTTAAGTTTATTGTTTAGTGCTTATAACTCAAAACACATTCGATAACCTTCCTTACTATCTTCAAAAGATCAAGAAAAAAAGTCTGTTTGTTGAAGAATTGAAAGCCATCTGAAGTCTTGAACGTTTAAAAAGATTCTGCAAGCCCTTCCACAAATTATTTAAAATCACAAAAGCTGCAACCTGACGTTTAAACCGGCAAAATCTGAAAATGTTTGAGTTATAAACACTTCACTGGTTGTATTGCTACTTTGCAACCTGTTACCCCACAAAAATGACTGCAACTTCTTCCTCAAGGTGTTTATCTCATCACATTTAGAGAGGGGTCATTATTGTAGCACCAACTTGACATGGGTATTACAGCACGAAATTTTGCCGCGCTACTAATTCTTATCAATTTATTCTCTTGGCACCGCCTGTTACTGGTCCTAGGGGACCGTAGTTTATCTATTTTAAGTAGTTTTCTCGGATTTCTTACCCTCTTTTTGCCAGGTTTTTCAAGCGGGAACTGGAAGCAAAAAAAATTGTCCCCACCCTTCTCCCCTTCAGTATGGGAATTCGTCTGCTGGTGTATTTTAGAAACTCATTGCCTGGGCAGATTTTTTTCCCATAACTTTAGGGGAGCAAGGGTGGCGCAGTGGTGAGAGCGCTCGCCTCCCACCAATGTGGCCCCGCCCGGTTTCAAATCCCGGCGTCGACGCCATGTGTGGGTTGAGTTTGTTGTTGGTTCTCTCCATTGCTCCGAGAGGTTTTTCTCCGGGTACTCCGGTTTTCCGCTCTCCTCAAAAACCAACACTTCTAAATTCCAATTCGATCTGGAACGCACGGACACGTTTAAACGAGTTCATATAAACTCTTAAGTGCTTCGTGGGTAAAAAAGCAATTTACAATTTTTGTTGTTGTTTTTTTTTTATCATAGCTCGGCTATCAACAACTTTGCTGTCACAAACAATTGTTACCCATTCCCTCTCCCTTTCTAAACGTTCGTTTGCGCAGAACATCTGTAGAAACACAGCACTTAGAAGCTAATGGACAAAACGTTTTATTGTGTAGTCAAGACCAGCATAATTATATTACACTGTATTTACGCACTGAAGAGAACTGAAGAAGAGGTGGCTCGTCGTTTTTACGTCGGGAATGTTTCAATGACCTGTAGCCCCCGTAAACTCAGGTTCTTCCTTAAGGCTGTAATGCAGCATTGAATAAGTATCGAATTATGAAGTATAATAGTTGACGTGGAAGCGCAGTACTGTGTGACAATCTCCGGAGTACTCTTACTTTTTCAAAATTTCTGAACTACCAATTTTAGCAGGAGAAAAGGTCACAGTAAAACAGAGATTGCAAAGTACATATGTAAAACAGCCGCTCATTAATCCTCGTCGACGTATTCGAAAGGCTCAGGCGGTTCTGGCTCGTCCTCTTCTTCTTCGGCGCCAATACCCATCGGAGAGGAAGCTTGGGGAAGCAAAAAAATGTCATAATTTATTACACTTTTCACAACGTACGACCGGAGACTCTTCGGCTGAAAGCCGGATTAAAAAACAAGTTCGGTACACGTTGTCTAGACCAATTTGCTTTAATAAGAGAAGGAATCACTCTGGGCGAAAGCTTAAAAAAAATTCAGAGGCACTGTTCACGTAAAGGCAAATAAATGAGCCATCGTCTATTTTAAACTTTCTGTTGCTCACCAATGACAACGAAGATGACCAACCAATAGAAATGAAACCGAAATGACGGCGCACGCGAAACATTTGGTTTACTCTCTGTAAATCGCCTTTGCAGTTCTTAGGAAAAAAGAATTTATATTTGACTATCTTCGAAAATTTTAACACAAATCTCTAGTAAGATAGCAGCAGAGGTTTACTTTAATTACCCTTAGATTACCATGAGATCAAGCTTCACCAGTTAACCTAGTTTCAATCTAGGCCCCGTCTACAAGTCGACAGGGCCTTAAAACAATCTGGAGCGCCCTTTTCAAAAGATGGTGTTTCGATGAGCGGATTCGCTGGCGAATAACCCACCTTCGATGTATAACACGAGTTCGAAACTTTAGGAACAAAATTGCAAATTTTTCACGATTCCATTGTCTGGCAATTCCCAGAAGAGACTTGAGCACAAAGAAAACCAAACTAAATACAGCTATTTCGAGAAAGGTTGTCGAAAAAAGTGCACGCGGCAATCCCGAAAGGCATTGTGGGTGGTTTTAAATTCACTGTTCTTCAAAGAAATTTGAAAGAATTGTCACGAAAGGCTACGAAAATGTGTTTGCGAGTGCTAAAGGAAAGCAACAAAAGTAGGTTCGACAGCTAAAGTCGTCAGAAACAGTGTATCGATCATATCCCATATTACCTTTCGGGATTGTCGCGTGCACAATTTTCCGACAACCTTTCTCGAAATAGCTGTATACAAATATTACCAGAAAGCCTCGAAGTCATGATAGAATTTAAAACTATCGAACGTGGGCTATTTCGTGTGGACGAAAGGCCGATTCGTGTAAAAAATATATGCGGTTTCAAAAATATCCGGATTAGTGTGGGCGTGACCTTAGTGTATGTCTTTACTTAAGCCTAATGCATCATAAAATACCAATTACTTTTCACTAACTGATTATTGATTATATTATTTACCTGGAAGAGGTTCAATTAGGTCTTCTGGTTCATCGGATTTGGAATCCGTCATCATAATAATACCTCCTATGTTAACCTAAAGTTTAATAAAAGATAATCACACAAGGGACAATTGATAAATCTACTCTGACGCTCACAAAAGCTCAAATTCGGCGCCACGAAGATCGTTACAAAGTACATCATTGGCCAAAGTGAGAACAACTTCCCAACAATTTTTAGCTGCCCCGTTGGCCCGTAAGTTCAGGTCAACAACATCCTCTGTCTCACTCCATATTCTCATGGTAAATGAATCTCTATGAGATTCCGGGAATCTGTGAGACAAAAATATGCCGGTTCATGAGGGAGCCGCTTGTTCAAAACTTCACGACAAGAAGGCTAATCAAAATTAAAATTATAGCTGTAGGAAATTCATAGCGAACATAACTGAGACAGAATATTGGGACTGTTTTAGACATCGAACTTCACATGTGCCGAATCGACAGAAAATGAGCAAGAAGGATAGATTTGGCTCGTTAGCATTAGAACCAGCATATTGAAAGTTCGACGTTTAAAACAGGCCTCACAAATAAATGGGGTACATACAGGCTTTAGAGGCATGTAACGGCTGTCTTCTGGTAACGAAAGAACTTTAAGCTGCAAAAGAAAGTACTAGTAAGCATTTTAGAAGATATGTCACTATAACAGTTTTGAATACAGTAAGATCTACACAGAGAACTTTCCAAGCCGAAACTATAGAGTGGTTACTAGTGCTAAACATTAAATATCATAAGACAGCAGCAGCCACGGATTTAAGTCAAACCAGCGCCTAATGCAGGAAAGGAGATACAACAGGCAATAAACGCGCGATAACACACGGATAATAACAAACGCAGGGAAACATTTAACAGGTAACAATCACTTTAAATACGGGACTGAGGAATCAACAAGGCAAACGTGGAAAGAGCCGCGGAAAGCAACGGAGATAACTCGACTGCGGCGAAACATGACAGAAAACAAAATTCCCACTCGCTTTAGGCCGTATTCACACGAACAACGAAAACAAGTTAAACTCGCTCGTGTTGAGGCAGCTTTAGTTTCTCGGCAAATTTTGTAAAATCACAATGCACCTGTGCAGGGAGTACTCGAGCGGGATTCTCTAACAATTCAAAGTCGGGTTCCTCTTCCTCCATTTTTTCGCTGCTTTCTTTTTCGCTCTTTTCAACAGTCGATTCTTCGCCCGTCTTGACTTTTTCATCTTCCTTTTCCTACGAAATATAAAAATTCTCTTTAATGTCACATACAGCAATCATAACATTAAGAAAAAGGGACTATTACAAAGGAGACGGCAACGATATCACAAAGCTTAAAGATGCAGAATCCGAAAACATTTCCCGATAATTATAACACATGATAAAAATGACCTGTATTAAGTATTTCAAGTTTCATCTAGCCATTCAGAGTATCAAAAACACTATCCTGACAGTATTTTGATATCATTATACTAAATAAGGGTATTGCCTTTAAAGGTTAGAGTCTGTCTTGCAACCTGAATGGTCGTGTCTCTTATTTAGAGAGAGGCAGCGTGGCCGAGTGGTCAGCGCGTCGGACTCGCAATCCGGCGGTCCCGGGTTCGAGTCCCGCTCTGGCCACTTGTTGGATTTGTGCTCGGTCGTCCCGAGTTTAAATTCTCGGCCACGCTTGTAAATAGCCAACTGGTTGCCTTCTGCCAGTTGGGGTTTTTAATCCTGTTATGTTGTATTTGAATTATTTGTTTCTAAATATTTGAGTGGAGTGCCTGTAAATTAGCTGACTAGCTAAGTGCACCTTCCACTATAAACATGCCTTTAACCTTTTTTTTTTTTTAAGGCCTTGCCTTAGACGACAGAAAAAACCTCTTCAATGCTTTTTTTTAGTTGCGTCTATACTTTTAAGAAATATCTCACTTAATGAACTCTTCATCACACACGCGATTTCCCATTTTATTCTTTTCCGCTTTCGACTCAGAGTTTAGGCATATTCAAGAGCTGCCAGTTTCTATTTACTGCTTGAAAAATCACAGCAATTAACGTTAAACTTCAACTGTATTTTAACTGACCTTCTTAGTTGCTACTTTTTCTTTGCTGCCTTCTTGATCCTGTGAAAAACAACAAGCATAAAAATAACAAGGTAAAATATGAGTACTTCTCTCCTAAGAGAGTACACGGTTTATAGTGCGTCTTGTGATTCTGTCCTAGTCATCCGTTTTCTATGACTCATCAGGGCTATATCGAACATTGTTGGCTAGCTATTGTGTTGTCTGCTAGATATTGACTGGTCATGGTCAGTGCTACGATCGGTGTTTTGAAGGTAAAAGTTTCCTCGAACGCTGATTTAAGGCCGGAGGAGTGATAAACTCTTTTCGGGACGACTGTCCTGCTATCATCATTGAAATGAGTCGTTGTAAATGGTAAAGGCGATGGTTAAAGTGCCCATCACCTAAACTTTTTTATTTTCTTATCTGAAACTACACCTTATTAAAATAACTTCTGCGATTGCGATTTTTTTACAATTTTTTGAAGTCTACATTTTTGCGGTACGCCCGCGCTGCTGATCAAGCAAACTACCAGGCTCGGATATGACGTCATGTGACGTAAACTAAGGAACTCGCTTTACGTTGCCTTCACCAGCTGTACACAAAAAAAGATCGATTACAAGTAAGGATTGAATCGATATGTTGACTGATAGTAAGACAATAGTTTACAAAATGTGCAAGTTTACCTCAACGGACCTAATCTAAGCCTGAACATAACTTTGCCTTCAAACAAGCAAGCCATCGAAATATGCACTAAGAAAATGTGTAAACTGACCGAAAGCTAATAAGCTTGACATAATCTAGCAAGCTGAATAAGAAAGCATAGTAATACAAAAATATAAGCGTAAAGTTACCTCTGATACTTCATGAAAGGAACTCCAGCAATAAAACCACAAATACCAAGACACGGAAAAGAGAAAAACTCACCACGTCCATCTTTTCCTCAGATGCCTCGGATTTTTTAGCTCTTGATTTTATTTTGTTGGTAATCGATAACACTGCTGTAGTGACCTAATAGAAAGATAGGGAGGGACTGTTTCACATGTTACAACACATTGTCTCAGCCCGAAAAACTGTACAGTCGCTGCCTCGTTCCCAGACCAGTTTGTGCTATCCGAGAGAGCAGAAGAGGACTGGAACCTAGTGCAACCGAAATCGCCTCAGTTGATTGGGAACGAGGCTGGTACAGTCGGTAGTGCGTGAGAGTGTTCCGGGGATTACGAGAGGTTCACGTAACGCAACACACGGAGGTATGACGTGGGTGGGGATGCTGATGCAAATGCACCCTTTAACCCTTTCAGTCCCAAAAGTGATCAACATCAATTTTCTCCAAAAAATATCAATACATACTGAAGAGAAAAAGTTACTAGAATTAATAAAATGATCAACTAAGGGATAATGGCTATCACGCCACTGTTTCGCTCGCATGATCGCCAAATCCCTCACTGGCTAAATTAGTCGGGGGAAAAATTTTTTCCTCACAGACTGGACCCTCATACCTTTTCTTTCTCCTCTTTCTTGGGGGGTTTGAGTGGTTCAGGATAAGCGTACAGAGATGGTTTAGCATTTGACCGGAATTGCATTTTGGGCATCTGAAACAACACACAAAAAAATAATAAATAAAATAAATACTGTCAGACGTCAGCGTTGTTCATCACCTCGTAACCAATGGGAGCAAGAAGAGTAAAAATGCAACGATAGGCAAGATATCTTTGAAAATGTGACCATTCTAATGGAAAATGTTGGCAGTACCGGACAAGACTAGCAGTACGGGGCGGTAGAAAGTTTTCTGTCGATGGATAAATCCAAACTGTAAACTGCAAGTCAGGCGCACGGAAAATATGGGCCGCAAAAAAGAGCACACGCGCTAGGGAGGAGAACACGCGTGTCCTCCTCACTCGCGTGCAAAGCTTATCTCGTACCCCGTGTTACAACTACACTAATTTGGGACCCGCCATAAAGCCTTAACAAAAGTCGTCTTAACTGCTACTTACCTTTAAGTCTGAATTAAGCCCAATAATGCAGGCAGGTGTAAACGCTAGGGATATGAAGTGAGACAGTGGAAACCAAAACCAAACGTGGGTGAACACAAATAGGCCCACCACTGTAGCCATGTGCGTGTGGCCCGCGCGTGACTGCAACGAAATTGTCACGTTCCGTCCACCTATCACAACAAAATGAAACGACGAAGTCAGTTAGGTAAGGAGATGAATAACACTCACGCACAAAACGAAAGAAAAAAAAAGCGAAAACTAATCTGGGTTACATCAGAAGTGGTAAACCGGGCAACAGCATACGCATCAGTCGAGTATTCGTGACGGAAGGGGGGCGAGGGGTACGCGATTTGTTTCGAAGATACAACATTGACTACTGCGGAAGACTAGTAGATTGCAAACTAAATACACTGTTACGTGTATATCACTAAGATAATACTTAGAGTTTTTTTGTCAATAAAAAAGGGCCGACAAGGAGGAAGGGAAACAACAGCTTAAGGCAAAGAACATCTCTTTCATGCGGATCTTCAGTTCGGGAAATACCCCCGCCCCAGTCAGGCGGAAACCCCTTTATTTCAGACATCCTTATGCGAAGAACATCTCTGTAATAGGGATTCCCATGTTGGCAAATACCCCAGTAAGGTAAACACCTTAGTAAGACAGACACCCCTTTGAGGCAGATACCCTTATAATGAGGGACATCTATATACTGCGCACACAGCAGTGGGGCAATACTCCCGCAAGGAGTAAAATACTCCCTGAAAATTGATTTGTATTCTTAGAAACGACAGCCTGCGAATCCAGCCGTCTCTCCTTTCTCCTCGCCGCTAGAGAGACGGCTGTATTTGCAGGCTTAGGATCCATTGTACTGATAACCACACTTTGCCCGCTGTTTTGATCCTGCAAGAACTTACCAGCATCCAGAATGCCTTGAGCCAGTGTGGCACCGAACTTGGCAATAACATCTTCATGTTTGTCTGAGATCACTTTGGCGAAAATCTCACGGAACTTGGCTACCTTGGGACACGAGAGCTCCGTTTGTTGAATGAGAACCAAAGAACTGGCGATTAAAGCACCCTAAAAAAAATTAAAAGAAAAGGGAATGGAAAAAAAATCCCTTTCACAGTGAAAGTCAGATTTTCTATTTTGAGCGAGTCGAGTATGTGACAAGTTTTGTTTTACCTGTCGAACGTAGTTTACAGGATCATTGGTCATAGGCTCCAGAAGACCAATCGCTTCCTAAAAATAAACAAAACCAATATTTCTTAGATACACTGTTGACTGTTGACTGTGAAAAAGGGGTGGGGGAGGGGCAAATCTTTTTAACCGACAAGCCGAAATTTTGACATTTTTTAAAAATGTCTCGTTTTCGCACGACGTCACGGCGGCCATATTAGTGTACCATACAATGAAACGGCGGCCATGTTGGTGAACCAAATAAATCATGTGGGATCGAACTCTTTCCTTATGTAAAAACTTTCTCTTGTTTAAAGACATTTGTATAGCCGCAAATAATGTGAGTGGAAACGATCTATATCTTGTAATACGGAAAAGAAATAGAGAATTAAACTGTTCTCCTACGTTGTTACTGGTACTCAGGTACAGTAAGTGTGTAAAACATTACAGCAAGAAAACAACATCCTCACATCCTCATTAATGAAGAACAATATTCTCAAAAAGAGGGAGCTAAGCAGCCACGACGGCGACGCAACGGATTAAAACGTCACTAAAAAGTAAATTTGCCTACTATTTTAAAAACTAACGAACCCTACCAACAATGAACAACAATATGAAAGTCACCATGTGGATTTACCACAGCGAGAAGATTTTATTGCCAAGAATTGTTTTCAGTGGAGTTTTTAAGGTCTTGTCATGTCTTACCTTGAGCCCAGTGCCTGCGCAGGCAATACCTAGAGCCATGGCAGCTCCGTATCGCACGTGAGGGTTATAACTCTCCGATAACAGCGACACGACACTAGGGCATTGCTCCGGAGTTCTAAAACAAGAACAAAAGACATTTAAGTGTTTTGCAACATAGGCTTCTATAGGCTGTGTTTGGACTAAGTTAAGCACTTAAAAATGGCCACTTCCTTAACCCTTTCACTCGCAAGGGTGGCCAAAGTCATAATTCAACAACATTTCCCAACGTCATTCTGTAAAATGCTGAAAAACAAGTAGTACCATGTGAAAGTACTGCTGAAGAGGTTTCATTTGAATGGTAACATCATAAGATTTCATCCACAGACTCAAAAATTAGAACTACATACTAAATAAATAGTACCATGTGAAAGTACTGCGGAAGAGGTTTCATTTGAATGGTAACACCACAGGATTTCATCCACAGACTCAAAAGTTAGAACTACATACTAAATAAAAAGTACCATGTGAAAGTACTGCGGAAGAGGTTTCATTTCAATGGTAACACCATAGGATTTCATCCACAGACTCAAAAGTTAAACCACCTTTCAAGTTTCCATTATTCACTCTGGCAGTGAAAGGGCGTAAGTTCCACTGGGGTTTTAAATGGACATAACCATCAAACAAAGAAGAAGAATTTGAGAACGGACCTGTTGGCCTGTTTACCTTCATACAAGCATAACTGACATACCTAAAAAGAAGGAAGCCCAGTGACGTTACTGCTGCTCTTCTTACATCATCACTGACATCACTCACCTAAAATTTGGATTAAAGAAACAAACAGTTATCCAACTTCTGAACAATGATTGTAACGAAAGAAACAGATTCCTCGCTCTCTGACACGCAAATAAGGGGCGGGCATAACTTCCTGTTCTTTACGCGTTACTACCCAAAATAGACACCATTACTTCAACGTACCATACAAGCGCGTGTTTTTATAGAAAATTAGTTTTCATGCCATCCCTTATTCCTTGATGTGAAGTCTTATTTGTTATTGTACTGTCCATAATAAGTAGAATCTATTAAAAGGTCACTTATTTCAGATCTTAGAGTCACAACAATAGGAATGACACCAGTTTAAAAACTGCACGAAAATATTGTGGCCGAATTTCATGAGATGCCTTATTACAAGACACTATTGTTAAGCAGCATGAAAAAGATTGCGTGACAGTAGTTTGACGGTATTGTGTGACAAGCCAGTGTATCTTATTATCATAACTTACAGCTACATGCAGTAATCTCTTGATAGCCCTGTTGTTACCAGTCCCACAGTAGGCCATAGCCACGGTATACATGCCACTTTGACGCAGATTAGGATCTTTATCCTGCATCAGACTTTCAATTAGTGCATCGGCCTCTTCCATGCGAGCATACATCACCTAGAGAATAAAGACACGAAAAATTAAATAAAATAAATAAAAATTAATTAATGATTTGGAGGTAGCACAGCCACAAAGTGGTTCTTCGTCTACCTGATTCCTGGTCGAATTGGAATTTGGAAATGTTGGTTTTTGAGGAGAGGGGAAAACCGGAGTACTCGGAGAAAACCCTCACGGAGCAAAGGAGAGAACCAACAACACACTCAACCTACATATGGTGTCGACGCCGGGATTTGAAACCGGGCGGGGCCACATTGGTGGGAGGCGAGCGCTCTCACCACTGCGCCATCCCTTGCTCCCCAAAAAGCCATCCCTTGCTCCCAAAAGCAATCCAGTCCAATTCAATCCCTCCATCATAAGTCAATCAATCAATCAATCCTACACCTGCTATTAAAATACATTGGGCCGAGGCAGCTAGTAAAGATTAGTACAGCCTGCGTAGCTTAACAAGCTAGTACATGAGTTCCATACTCCAGGAGGCTTCCCTGCTTGATTACGTTCTGCTACCCTACAAAACTGCCAGCTATGCAAGCTACGATTAACACTACCGAAGGCCGGGGCATACGTCTTGTTGGAAAGCCTTACAAGTTCGGAAGAACACCAAGTGCTACGCTGACAAAATGTAAAATGAGAAATACACATAAATTCGCCATAAAACCAAAGGAGTGACTTTAACTCTATTTCGTACCTGGAGTTATCCCGGTTGAACAAAACATTATCAAATGCTTACTGTCAAAAGGATTTCACACGGCGATGTATGATAATGATTTTGAAACAAGGAAAAATGAAACTAATTTTCTTTTGAGTCAAAGTAGAAAGAAGGATGACCGCTCGCAGTCTATACACTGTGTGTAGGTCCCTAACAATCTTTGAATAAGCCTGTAGTTAATATACACTGTACGTCTAAAATGTACATAAAACATCGCGTGCAACTTACCAATGCAATTCCTAATGAGAGACCACGTAGGATTTTCTCGTGTTGTGTTTCTTGTGCATACTGAATGTATAAACAGAAAGGTGCAAAAAGAAATATCATTTACACCTGAATTGTCATTTAAGGTGATATACTGCTATCACTGCCTGTACTGCAGTAAGATAAAATTAACTCATTAAAATTTTCTTCGTGTTGAAAACTTGTACTTTTTCTGCACCGTTTAATGGATCATATCTAACACAATGTAATTCAGACAATTCGTTTATCAAAAAAAAAAAAAAAATGTGGATTTGTAGGGTGATACCCTATGGCGCGACTAATATTCAATCGAATCCTTTTCAGCAGTACTGTATTACTGGGGTGAAAATGTAACAAGACTTACCCCGACCATCTCCTCTATAGCAGTAGCAGACTTTGATCCTAACATAACCAAACCCATGGCAAGACCACAAGCTTCCCCTACAAAAGTTGAGAGGGAGGGGAGGGTGAAAATGATGAACAACAAGGAAAAAGTTTCACAAGCAAGAATCAAAGAAGCTAAACAGATAGCATGGATGACTAATCATTTTTTATTCTTGAATACAAGCTTAACTCTAGGCATGTATAGTTATTTTATTTTAGCTTGTAGTTCTTTCCCTTAAGACAAATAGTAGAGAGAAAAACTTTTGCATTAGAAAAACAACAACAACAACAACAACTCCTATATGTACCCTGGAACTTGTCACTGTTACAGACAAAACATTAATAAGCCAGAATTTAAACATCCCTTTCTTACATGTAGTTTATGTCCAACAATTGCTCAATGAAACAGGGGGATGATACATTTCACCATGATATTTTATGCAAATGACATCACCTAAATGGACTTGCTTCAATGAGCTAAGTGTGGTTTTGAGGAATACTTATTAAAGTCATTGACACAAACCTGTAACAGCATCATCTTCCCAAAGTTGTGTCTTCAGCTGCTCATAGACATCTAAAAACCAAAGAAAAAAACATTACAGCAATAAATAAAAGAGAGACGAGCATTAGAAGCTTCACAAATGTAGCAGGCGTTCAGAAGGGGATTTAAGGCACGAGAGAAGCTTCCCTTTCGAATGCCTGCTATGTAGCCTACACAAATGCAGTAATATCAATATCATTTTTTTAGAGGGTAAAATGTCTTTTTTTTACTTTTTCACAATTCAGACTAATATAGAATAAAATTAATGTTAGTTCTGAAGATTTCCTGAATGTATTGGCATTGGAGTACAATTATTATGCATGTAGATGTTAGCAGAGTTTAATCCCTGAGAAATATTGTTGGCTAATGAGTGTCTTAGATAGGCCCCTTCCATCATCACTACTGCCATGTGTCTTCTCAGGAGGTTCTATAACATTATTTTACAGCTAAGCTGTTGACTGAAATACCAACAGTAATTCATTGCTCAGATTATTTCTCACTGAAATTAGACATAGTGGTTTATCGTTTTCGGATCCTTTGGTTACCTGGATCTAGTGATGTGAGTGATTTTCAAAACAAGTAACTGCAGTGGAAGCCCTCTTAGTGGACACTCTCTTAGAGGGACAACTCTACTTATGGCAGCCAGGCTTTACTGAAACCCCTTTTAATTCCAAAACAAACTCTGTATTTTTCCATTCTGATAAGTGGACCTTCCCGTAAGCATCCTCAGACACTTTCATGGATTTTTGGGTTTGCTTGTAAGATCTCATTGGCAGACACCAAAAATGAAATCTCATCCTCTTCTGAATATTGCATTTTACATGTAATAATTATTGTTTAATAAATCAACTTCAATTCGCTGTTAGGTACTATGAATTTATAGGCGTTTCCGTGTTAGTTAGTTTGTTTGCTTGTTTGTTTGTCTCCTTCACATCCACAACTGAATTGTATGCTTGTGACTTAATTACAAAGTTGGCATAACTAAACAGTATAGCCAAACACTATCAAACAGTTTTTTTTCGATTTCCAAATTATGTTTATTTGTAGCTGGGCCTGCAAACGCAAGTGGCCACCTAACTCTTACACCTCTAGTGGCCACAATACAAGAACCATTCTCGTAAGTGGCCAGCTCCAGTAAAAGACACCTCTTTCACATCCTGAGTGTCCACATATGAGAGCTTCTACTGAAGTAAATTTGTACTCAAAATTCCTACCTTGTCTTGCAGAGCCCATTGCTGCTAATCCAAGACCTAAACATCCTCCATGACGGACCATCTAAAAAAATAATAATGAAATAAAACAAATTTCAATATCATTCAACAGCATTGTGTTTAGCTATGCAATGGAAACAAACAGCAACAAGAGGATTCTATGGAATTTGATCAACAAAAACTACAAAAATTGATACAACACTACTTAATTAGCACTGTAATTATATTTTTTAGTTACATAACATTGTTTTTATGCAAGATAACATTTCCTTTTTTTTTTTTAAATTTCAAGGCAACAACAACAAAAAATATAAGTATTGATGACAGAAACGTCCCTAGAGAGCCCTTAATGCACCATGGGATTTCAAGTAAGTCTCTAAAATTTGCAATATACAATCGGCATGGGGATTTCTATCAAAAAAAGAGGAACCAACCTTTACATTAAAGTGAACGTTATGAATGGATCATGGATCATACTACTTACATGTACAAAAGTTATACTGAGGGTGGGTTTTCTTTGTCAGTATGATCAAAATAATGACAATTTGTTGTATCGACTTTTATGAAAAGACAGGGAAACTGATATTTTTATAGAGGTTAAGTTTACTATTTCAGTACTTATAGTAGGTTACTTGGAATATTCAAGCAGAGGTAAAACTTACATCTGAAGTTGCATTTTTCAGCTGTTGTAAAAGGTACTCAATTATTTTTCCTCCATGGTTAGCATGAATTAAACCTGCAACAAACAAAGAGAATGAAACTATAAACATCACACAGAATTTGTTTAAATGTGTGATGTAGGAGTATAATGATAGTCTTGTTATTTTTATACCCCAAAAACTAAAGATTTCCTGACATTGTAATACAGAAAGGCATGTAATGATAATTATAAGATTATCCACTTCATTGACCACATCATTAACGGGCCCAGGATATCTGACACAACTTTACTTTCTTTACAGACTGACTGAGGAAAATACTCAATCCACTGCAGCCTTAACAGCATTTCTTACGAATTTTTCAGTCCACAGCAATGGGATGGAGTGAGGGATATCCTTGTCTGAAGTTAACTATGATGCTTGAAGTTCAATCCATATAGTTGACAAAAGTTTTACCTAGAGCAAAGAGCCCTCCTCCTTCCTGATAAGCACTACCACTACTGCCATCTTTAGGCAGATAGGTGGACATTAGCTTCAAAGCATCTTGTTCATGACCCTTTGAAAAGACAAATCACAGAGAGCATTAGTAAGGGTATAAATCAAAATGCTATAATTTTACTCTGTCAGCTATACTGAGTACAGATGTACCTGGCCCAGTGGGGAGGGGCACAAATAGGACTCATAGGTCCCATGCAAGGTACCCTCCCCTCCTCTCCCATTCTTACAACCCATGGCAGATAGAACCTATGGGTGATTACCTCCCTAGTGGCTCTCTAGGGTCCAACAGCAGAGTCAGACCAGAGAATTGCAGTGAGATGGCCAGGGCCCCAGCATTTTTCTTACAAGACTAGAATGTCTAACCATTTTGTATTTGAAACAAGTTAGGCAGCACATTCTCCTCAGTTGTTTGAAGAACAAGAGTGTTGGTCCAGCCAGGAATCCAATGTCAAGTCTGGTACCAAATCCGTAGGCCTCTGTTTCAAAGCGAGGCTAAGTGGGAGGCCATTAATACGAAAATGATTTTGCATTTAGCCTGTTTTTGAAAGTGACAGTTTTTGGAACTTTGAAATGGCCCATTGAACTAACCAGTCAGCAATAAAATTGCAATGACCTGATAACCAATTCTTGGCCCCATAACTCAACCCTTTTTTTTTGCTTACAGACATACCCTACATAAGTTACACAAACCTTGTGAATGACACCTAGGCTTGCTGTAGCTGTGAATTTTGCCCAGTTGGTTGCTCTTCCAAGCCACTCTAAGTTATTTCTGTTGATAAAGAACAACAACCAACATTTTACATGTACACATGGTAAATACTGGAATACAAAAAAAGGAATTTAAAATAATTATAATACAATAAAAATCTTTCTCTGTCTTCAATAATGAAATATTCATCCATGACTTGAGTTAATTTTCATTAAGCAAAGCTGCTGTAAAGGAAGTCCTTTCACCGTCAAATTAAAAAATTCCCTGCCTTTTAGTTATTTCATTACTGATCATGATTTAATGGACTGGGTTGGAACAATATACTGATTTGGCACAGCAGACAAAATTTATCCACAGCAATTCAAGAACACATAAAAGAGGTGAAGCTCAGAACCCTGCCCTCATTAATATTTTTCACTACATGTACACCGTACATGTAGCACAGGAGATATTTTTTTAAAAAACAGCAAGAAGCATACCGAAGGAAAGTGTCACTTGTTGTTCCACAGTGCATGTAGGAGTTAGATATGACAGTAGCCGAGTGGCAAACAGAACTTCTTGACACATCCTACATGGAGACAAAAACAATCGATTTAATTAAATGCACAGGGTGAGTGAAGGTATTGATTGTGAATCAAATTCTCAGTACCATGGGAAACATAAAGAAAGCAGTCTGGGAATTATGCATGTACATGCAGATATTATATTGGGGCTTTAAATGCAAGGCTATGCTCTAGCAGAGCCTGGTTGCCCCTGGCCCTTGACTTTTATTTCTGGGTGACCACAAAATATTAGATTTTTCATAGAAATCCAATGCTGGGAACCCTGGATTTTACAGGTTCAGAGCCCTGGGCCCCCTTCAATGTTTTGTAATGCACAGCCTTGAAGGGTTATTAATATTTAGCCACATGCACACTAATGGTATCTTTATTGTGCCTTAATCTTCATAAGAAGTTATCGGTCTTTTTACAGTAAAGGTCATTTAAAAGAAAAATAACAATAACGGCTACCTAATGATTCATGCACAAAGTAATCAAGGGTTTTCTATTATGATATTATGCTTTCAATAATTTTTTTATCTTTTTAAACATAAGCTTTAATATCAATAAATATTTGCCTATACCACTAACCAGTAATTTTACAGGTATTGATATAATTGTCTGATGTTAATGCACAATGTATATATTTTATTTTTATCTTTTCATGGACATTACGCTTTAAAAGAGAAACATCCTTAAGTCAAATTCATGTACCAGTAAAATTGTTGCAATAAAAGAGTGGCCTTTAAATTTGCCCTCCTATAACATTCACATTAATTCACAACATCAAAGACTATACAGATTTGATAAGTACATGTAACACAATTCTTAAAGCTAAATGTACCTTGGTGTTTTTTAGTATCAGAAGATCAGCATGGTTATTTCTGATGAGAAACTCAAGGTGAAGGGCGATTGTAGTCTCACCACCAAGGATGGCCATGAGCTTATTCACTTTATCCACAAGCTTCTTATCGCTTTCACTCTGAAATAAATAAAATTAATTTTAGTTATAATGAGAATAAAATTAATTGATTAAAGTATACAGGGAAAGAAAATATGGATGGTGTTTATGATGTTGTTGACGACAAGAATGATATCAATGAAGAAGAATGATGATGATGATGATGATTATCATCATGTTGCATACCATCGCTGCTGTTAATGCTACTGTTGCAGCTGCTACTTCTGATGATGATGACCAGTGTGTCAATGCTAGTGACCATGATAATGATAGTGGTGATGGTGTACGCAGTTGTTGCTGTCTGCTGCTGCTGCTTCGTATTGAAGATGATGATCATGATGATTACAGTGAAGGATGATCATGATAATGAAGATTGTTTGTTATTATTATCATCATTTCACATGGAAAACTTACAGAACAGATTAAACATCCCAATATCAAAGCTACACATGCCTGTACCACAAGCCCATTCTAACAGTACCATTACAGCTGTAGCTCAGCACTGATTCTTTAACTAGTAATTACCAACAGCCATAACAAAAAAATTCCACATTCTTTAATTAGGTAACACTATGATTTTACAGTTAATGTACTAAAATCAAATGATGGCCTCACCAGGACAGGTTCTGTTTTGGGTTTCTTAGCTGGAACTTCTTTTTCTCCTTCATCGGTCTCCATTGCTGCATCCCTAATAAACAAAAATTGTATATGATAAAAATAAAGGACAAAGAGGATCCTTTGGAGTGGAGGGAAAGGAAATCAACAGGTCACGTCACACAATCAAAATGATAATTACATGAAGTATCAATTGTGCAATAAAATTGTAAAAATGACCATTGATCATTGTATGTGTTTTATACAAAAAATACCAACTAAAAATCAATGTTTGCTAAAACAAAAACATCCTAATGACAAGTGACTCGAACTCTGAATCTTGAACTCTGTCCTTCTGATAGGGTGCAAGATATCTTGGTCAATTATGGGAAATTTCTAGCATGTTACATTATAAATAATTTTGACAAAAAATTGTTTCTTAATTACACTGTAAAACCCCTCCTTGTCACTAACCCTGACTTATCTGCAGTTCCATTCTTGTCTGTTTTAGCCTCTGCAGAGCCATCTGAGCTTGCTGTCTCATTGCCAGACACAAAGGGCACTGTTGCTTTTAATACAGAAATTACTGATGAGAGAAACTGCTGAGTCGCTCCTTCATATAGATCAAAAGCAATCTGATAGGCCATTAATGTCTGGTCCTTCTATGAATGTAAAAGTTAAAACAAATAAGTACAGGGCTGTAAGCATATCCAATAATTACAGTGCAACCAGGAAAACCCTGAACAATTGAAATATCTCAGGAATGTTTATTGTGTTATGACCAATCACAGCAAAGGTCAAGACATGTGAACTGGCCACAAAACCACAAACTAATTAAAGAACAATCGAAAAAATATCTCACTGAGGTTACGGAATGTTTTCGGTAACAAACAGGGAGCCACTTCGACTCAAGAAATTTTCGTGTTTTATCCTGACCAATCACAATTGCGTTGTAAGGTTATACAAAGAGGGTAAATTACATCATGGATTTGAGCTTTCCAGGTCAGAACCCTCACGATAGCCAAAAACCACAAAATATTCCAAAATGACTAAAATTAAAGACCACTTCCACTCATCAATAAAATTTGCTAACCCTGACCTTGCTTGCAGTTTAGTTTTCTCACACCTTATTGGCCTTTTCCGTGGAACACAATAACATTTCAGAAATATTTCAAGTGTTCATGGTTTTCCCGGTCACACTGTAATACATGTATTTTTGTGGTACTTCAAAGAACACATTCTTAGTCATCTGAATTATCACTTAACTGGTGTAATCATGTTTACAGTGTACATAACCTGAACAATCATGGGATTGGTCTATTTTGTTTTAATTTTTCTTCAGGTTTAATTTTTTAATTTACGTTGATTCTCATAAATTTGTCTCAAACACGTCATTGCACTTGCCTCGTTGTCCTTTATAAGTTTTTCAAGAATATCAGCCACACCTTGAGCATCATCAAGAAAAATGAAGCACTAAAAATACAAAAAAAAAAATAATCCTAAATAATATGTCTGATGCAAAGTCCATTCAATACAGTATGACTTGATTATAAATTCTAACATTCATACCAAGGATACTCAATCAATAAAGCAGTTTGTATATACTCACATGGCAAACACTAATAAAGTCTGGTGTTGCTAAGTTCAGGTATAGTTGTACTAAGACTCTAAGAACCTATGAGATTTAAAAATGCACATACATGTACCATTAATTTATTATACAGTACCGTGTAAGGCAGCAAAGTGTCTAATTCTTGACTTGTAGTGGTAATTTCAATTTATCATTGCATTATGTGCAACTGCAGCCATACGTATCCTTATTCATTCTAGAAAAACTTCGAAATAGTACTTCTCAGAGAAGACAGATACAGAATTTGGCTGTACAAGCAAGGCAAGATGAAGGTAGACAGGTTAAGACTTGTTTACAACTGTATCTGGTAACCGATTAAAAATTATTCTGTTTTAAAACATCACTAGTTGTACTGAGTGTTTTGCTTAATATCATTCTTGATGCAGCCAGTTCTTATAGCAGGCTTCTACAGTTACCTGCTAATCTGTGCTTCATTAATAATATCAAAATATAAGATTTATTTATATTGAACCTGGTCAACGACAGAAAAATTTTTTCCAAAGCCCCTGACTCTTCATCAAGCTGATCATTATCAATCCACTTTCATGTAATGTACACTGTACATGTATATAGGTGAATTATCAGTTGACCATGCAGCAACAACTGTCTAGGGCACTGTATCTTTGTTTATCTGCTGCAGTCACATTCAAAAAATTTCATCATTTGATACAGGTGCACATGTGTACCTAACATGATCATTCACTGTCAACATCACACTATAAACAGTTATCCTTTTTTTCAAGGACTTAGAAGTTGTATTTGACCTCCAGCTATTCGAGGCCCAATCCCAGATTTTATCCCCTTTTAAAAACGTAAAATTTGTCTTTGGTTAGGGGCACAAAAGAAAAAAAGGAAATCAAGCCTATTATTCAAAAGTGTAAATTAAAACAACTCACCTTATTTCTAAACTGTCTACTCTGGAGAAGTGACATGCAGACATTAAGACTATAGGACAACATCCCAGGCACATCATCCTGGCAAAACAATATTATTGTTCATTAACTACCATAATTATCTACACTCATGAAAAAGTACTGTCTAATATAATAATCATTCTATAATGTATGTTATATAAAAGTGGCCTTGTGATTTTGCATTAGGACCAGGAGATTTTCATCCAGAAGGCTTGTTACAGGTCAAAATTATGTTCAGGTTGAATTTTTTTAACCTTGGTCGACTCTCAGTTTCCTCTGTCTGGCCTAGCCCTAATTCATGAAAAATTAGGGCTAGGAGACAGAGGAATTAATAGAGAATCAACCTAGGTGAAAACATTTTAACCTTCAGGAACTGAATTTTGACCTGTGGCATGGATGTAATTATCGTTGCAGGTCAAAACTGAATTCTAGTTTGAGTTTTCAATTGTCTTTTATCTCACTCTCACTCATGAATAACAGGAGCCTGCAATCCTAGTCCTATTTACTATTATGTATGCACAGCACATACAGTATGTAGCCTATAAAATTATTCATCTCACAGGACTTCCACTAAGAATGAATGAAATGAAAAAAAAATGCCATCTGATCACGCATGTTTTGACCTTCTATCAAGTGAAACTCACACAAAGCACAGAGTTGGAGTAAGAGGGTTTGCACTGGTCTTCAATGCACTCCCTTACACTATACCTTTGGTAAAAATTTAAACTGCACGTGTACCTACCGATTTTAAAATTGCTTGCTCAAATACATCTAATCTTCTGGTTTCTAATGCAATTCCAACAGCCTACAATAAAATAATATGTTTCAACAATTATTGTATCATCTCCTGCTACACTTATTTTCAGAGGAATTGCAGTCAACGCTTTAGAAGATGGACCCCGTTGGAACCATGCACAGAATAAAACTGATAAGGAATTTCTCTTTCAGTGTTGCAAAATATTGGACATGAGAGGAGAAATTAATTGTATCTCCAAGCAGCCAGGGTGTCACTTAGGGCTGTGGGCCATGGTCGGGTTGCAAAAAACATCTTAAGATTAAGGGAACCCGTAATTACTATTATTTCAAAACAATAGGTTATTGTTCTAGAACAAAAGTTACCGGTAAGAGCCCTCTGAAGGTTTTACGTAACCTGGCCAAGGAATCCCTCTTTCCCCCTCAGAAAATATATTAAAGCTTGATCTTTCGATACTTTCATACGAAATAAATAGACCACATGAAATACCAAACCATTTGAGTTAAATATTCTTGCTGCGAAGGATGTGATTTATCATGTAGGCATAGCAACAGTGATTATTGTTTTATGCAAAATTTTCTTACTTTTCATTGGCCAAACGCCCACCACGTGATCTACAAATAACTGCCTAGAAATAATGGTCTGCTCATGTGCAATGTTGTTCAACTGTGTTTGGCTGCAAATAATGTTCTGCTCATGTGTAAACAAAACCACGCTTTCTCCTTCTTGCCATTGCTCTTGCATGAAAAATGGCAGATTGCTTCGCTTCCCGAAGATATGCAAATCAATTATTTGCCTCAGCCTTCAGCTTTGGCAAAATAATTGATCTGCTTGCTACTGGCAAATTGTTAATTATATTTCTCACGTTTGAAGATAACATGTTATTTTCACATGTGAAAATATCACGTTTTCCCGTGCAACTCAGCTGGTATTTCATTAGAGGTTACAGTGTTTATTAAAAAAAGGTCTCTATTCAATCAAAATCAAATCAATGACCTGTTTGTATTTGCCATCATCAAAGCATCGCTTAAACATTCTATCCACAATGGCCTCAAGCCGAGGATCAATGGTGACATTCTCATCTGGTTTCTCTACTTTAAGGACTCTTTGTTCAGTGTAAGAATCAATGCACTTGGCTGTGAAAATACAAAAATGATACAATAGCAAAAAATGAGCAAAATAATTATCTTGAGGTTAATTCTTTCAAGCAGAGAAACTGAACAAAAAACAAAACAATTTTCACTTTCCTTTCACTTTGTTACACGTATATAAAACAAAGATTATCTATCGCAAGCTAGTCCGCTTCTACTAGGAAATCTTGTGTTAATCTTAGTTACCTATAATAGTTTCAACGTATTCTGAGTGTCCGTTCACATCAAAAAGGTCTCCTGCTCCAAGTGCATACGTTAATGAATCTTCATAAGCTCCAAGATGGTAATAAACCTTTAAAGAAAACAAATCAGCGTCATTCATTTTTTCCTAAGGATTATTGTAACTATGCATGTCTCCAAAAAGGACAGGTTTGTTTACCCAGCATACACCCATGAAAAGTGTAGCTCGCCATTACAAAAATTACAAACACATGACAAAGCCGAAAATAACAGTTGGTCATTAGACAGTGGCCAACCAAAATTTGCTAATGCCGACGAAATCCCACCTGTGTTCAGACATTATGTCCAGATAATTTTTTTACTGTTAATCGTTTTATTGTAAGGAAGAATAAAAATCTACTTTGAGTGAATCTTACTTAATTGTGTTAGGACAATCTCAAAGTCATGAAACAACATTGACTTGGGTAATGAAGTTTTCTTTTACATTAGTGTACAACGTCCTCTGTTTTACCCGATATACATGTAAACTTCAACCTTTTTTTAGTGATGTACATGTACGACCAAAATTTTCTTTTGCTCGACCAAGATGGTGTCTTGGTAGGAAATACAGTGTATGTCCTTTCAAGAGAAAAAAATTGTTTGCAGCTCTGCATAAACATTGGAATACTTTCAATAACACATTGTACATGTATACTATCACAAACCTTTGATGCCAACAGAGCTGAAAGCTGTCTATGCTTGAAGGCTTCATCTTCATACAGTACTTCACTAAACATCAGGAAAATTAAAAAAATAAAAACATAAAGGGATGCAGCCTTTTCACATGATGTCACATCCAGCATGTTGGTGGCCCAAAACAATTAAAAAGGGGCCATGTTGGTGTCCGAAACCAGTCCTATGGAAGTTGAACTCTTTTCTTATTTAAAACCTTTCCTTTGTCGCATTATTAAAATTAGCTACTGGCCAATTGAGTGAAAATGCTATACAGTGTATATGGTAGTATTCTATTGTTTACTTTTTGCTGCTGTTGTTTTCGTTGTTGTTTGCAGTTTTTTCATACAGAAACAAGGCCAAGATAGGGTTACTTCAGCAATAAGATTGGTGTGACAATAAGCACTCAAATTTAATTTGAAACAAAAAATCCACACTTGCCTTATACCCAATAACCTTTATGTCAGTGTAATAAACAATTTCAAGTTTCCCATTTCTTATTAAAACCCTTTTCTGCAAAATCAATTAACGAAACTTACATTTTGCCCACTGATTCTGAGATTTCAGCCCAGAACACATCAACTATGTGATGAAGACTTTTAAGTGCAAAGACCTGTTAAAAAAAATTAATATAAACCATAAATTTCATATAACTACACCTGTACACAATGAAGGTACATGTATGGTATGACTACGTAAGTAACACTGATCATTTTGACAAAGAACAACAGAGTACATGTAGTACATTTTGTAGTTACATGAACATGAAAGCAACAAATCATTGCAGTACAATGACAACAAACCTTCAAATCCTGTTCACCTTCATCAAGCAAAGCTAGCAGACCAGCTGTTCAAGTGTAAATATAGGATAAAAAAAATTAATAATATTATTTAGTAGAAATGACAGGACTTTAATTTAAATGGAAAGCTTATCATGCTGTCATGTGAGATTCTATTGAATACAAAAAGTTATAAATTTCCCAGTATGATACATTCTACAAGGGAAAGGAAGGATGACGGAGGGAATATCCAGTATTTAACGGTGTCACAATGGTTTTTATAAAGACAAGGATAGGATGGAAGTAAACAGTAATTCTTTTTTCATCTACATGCAGCAACAAAGTTTGTCACTTTTGAGTATTGATTTCCAGCATACCATTAATAATTTTTATTATTATTGAGATGCTTGATTATCAAGTCACCCAAAATCAACAAGATTACAATAAAGACTTCTAAATTCTTAGTTATGTTGCCTGTAATTTTATCATGGTTATCAACACCTGAAAATCCTATTACACATTTATAACAGTTTGAAGAATGAGATATACATATTTAGTATATACCCATTTATTGTTTAAGCTTGATTTCCTCACTGTCTCGCTATTCAACAATATTCACCTCCTAGAGAAAAATTGGGTAGGGCTGTGTTTTTCCCGCTTTTTTTAGAGAACGATCCCAAAACCCTGACTTTTTTTTAAGGCAAGAAAAGACTTGGAAGGATTCAATACTATTTATGACCAAAATTTGAGATTTTTACAACCCTATTTATGACCTAATCAAAATTTGATAAAAATATTTTTTATGAAGGGCAAATTTAAAAGGAAATGTTTGCTTGTATTTTCTAGCCTACAGGAAAAAGAATGATACAGGAAGTGGAGAGGAAGGCAAAGCAGCACTTCATGATGGAAGGACATGGGGACAAACTGATAACAGAAAACAACACAGTAGCTTTTTTTCTAAAAAACAGTTCAAACTTTTAGCATTCAAGACTACAGTTGTTTGCAAAAATCGTAAACCTATTTTGACCAAAATCTATTTTTAAACTTACGCATATTTGCCAAAATCAAATCCTACTTTTGAATTTTCCTTTCTGATTTTGACCAAATCACTTACGGCTGAAAATACCCTACCCTTTGGGGCTCAATCTCGGTGAATAGTGGCTTTGGGATTTACCTATATAGCCCAAATATTTTGCCACTATTCACCTTGATTTCAAAGAATAATTGTTAAGTATTGCCCATTTATTGTGCTTGTTTCCTCACTGTGCTTTACAGAACAAGATATATTACACATACCGTATTTATTTGATTTAACACGGTGGCGTTTAATAAATTTTCCACATTTCCGATGAGGCATTTATTGAAGGGCAGAATTTATTTTGAAATCACTTTACTTAAACCACAGACAACAGTTATTGTAAATTGTTTGTATATAATAATTATGTAATTTAAGGTTCTAATGTCTTTCTTATCTAGCTGAGATTAAATCATAAAATGTCTGAATGGTGTAAATTACCACATTGTACCGAGTTTTTCTTATTATCCTCAAATAAAAGCCACATTCTTTCGATTAGGTGCGGCGTTTCATTGAGGAGAGCGTTTATTGGTAGCTTTGCTTCCATCTGCAATGTTTAATCACGAGCAGCATTTAATCAAATAAAGTAATACGGTACTGGTTTATTCAACTTTTCTTCTCAATGTGGATCACACCTAATAAAACTTAGGGAAAAATAACATAACTGTAAAAATCTGGGGTGTCATCACTTGGAGGCTTAATGAATTTAGGGCAACTTGACTGGTTGGTTATCAGTCATTTTGATACAACGTCATTTGATACAAGTCACATACAAGTTGATTCAGTCGACGTGTAAACAGGTCCATGTGCTTGGAATATTCATTCAAAATGTTTCTCTCGTTCACTTGCAAACTATACTTAAAGTGACCAATACTGCTTGAGTTTGTATTGGAACGACTAGTATCAAAACAACCAATTTGTGATTGGTTACCTTGGCAACCTGTCAGTTAACCTTTGGCCAACAGTTGACCAATGGTCAGATTATATGTACCACTAATAACATGACTGTTCCACTAGTAAGCTCATTACTTATATTTAGTAAACTAATTAAATTTGGGTCATACCAAGTAGATACACAAAACTAATTGCAACATTTTTGCAAGCAAGAAACATAATCATCTTTTTGTTTGATACATGTAAGTCTGTACTGTAGTCTACTTGTGTTAACTTCCTACACGTACAATCCATGTCAATTTCTTTCGCCTCAAGCTGGCTTGATACAACTTCGACAAAAGACGTCGATCTTCAAGCAGAAGTGAACAGTAGCTACCCCTCAATACGGCATTCACAACAAAAAATAAGGACCTGAAATTTCACTAAGTTTAACGAAACCTATTAAAGCTGAGAGTGAAGTTATTTCAAAGTTTTTGGTCAATTTCGCTTAGTCATAAAAAACTTCATAGCCACGCCGGTAGATTAGTTAAAGTTTAGGGGCTACGGGAGACTGAAATATAACCAAATATTTTCAAAACAAATGCAAGATACAAACCTGCTGAAGTCAGACTCATAGTTTTGGTCTACGTTATTCCACAATCGTTCAAATCTTTCAATAAATGTCACTTTCCTTTCACATGGGCACGAAAACTCTTTCTTTCTTCACTGGCAGCTTGCTTGGTAACCAAGCCACACGGGCTTTACAAGGGCTAGGTTGCTTGGCTCTACTTCCCAGGCTGCTCTACGTGCTACGAGAGTTAGGGTAAATAAACATGGCGGACAGCTGACACCCGGAATGTTTTAAATATTCTAATAGCAACTCAGATCTGTCGTGATATATCTTGAACATCTGTCCCCAGAAAAACCACCGTGATGAGAGTTTACGGTACTAATTTCGCTTCAAAAGTGTTAGGAGTTCATTGCAGTGAGAGTACTCCATGATGACAGACAAAGTGTTCACTACCCGAAACTTTGAAGGAGAAAGACGATCTATTCCTTTGCCCATTCAGACATACTTCTGGCGGCAAACAAGGTATTATTTCATAAAGCAATTTACTTTCAACGCAGGCGACCTTCCCTGTGAATACAAAAGCAGCACTTTTCAAGAAGTGCCTGATCTATTATCTCCTTAAAGCTAACCCAATTTTCTCAGCTAAGCGTTTTCGGGCACGATTCAAGCGAAAATGTCTTGACCACCGCCTGCTAGATTAAGTACATACTTTAATAATTCACATGAAACTTTACCTCAAATGTTCTTTTGCTAATTGATCTTTTGCGTATAGCTTAATATTCTTCTCACAATATTCACTGAAACGTTTTGACATAATAGTCATTTTGAGAGCAGCGTAACTACAATTTACAGATGTCAATCAAGAAACCTTCACCAGTCGTGACTCTTTTACTACCAAACCACTTGAAGTGTTCCTTTCTAGTCCTTTAAACTTTAACCTAAACTAATCAATTAGCCACCAAGCTGTCAACAGTCAAGCCACTAAAACTATCTTGCATTCTCTCAAAACTTTAATAATTTAAATCTAAAATATTAAATATTTATCTTTCTGGTTCTTTGAATACTCAGCATCAATGAGCTACTTAGACACTTCTCTCAAACCCCTTATCCCCCTGTACTGTTGCTCCAAGTTAAAGGCCTCATGTTCCTACCTGGTACACCTTTAATGAAATCATACCTTTAAAAAAAAAACCTTTAAACTGAAATGTTTGACGGTGCCTCTTGTGAGGTAGAAAAAGAAACAGTGTTATAGCTCACTCAATACGAGGTATGCCCCAAAGAAAGTTATGACTTGTAATCCACTAATAATACTCACACGATAGCAATTCATGAACATTGAAAACAATGTTACACCTGTATCTAATTATTGAATTTATGGCAGTTGAACTTCTGGTTACTCTGGTTTCTGATATCTTGCAATGATACAAAGGCCAGTTGACTTCCAAATCACATTCGGTCGCATAATCAATGAGAAATCTCATCATCATATGAAATTTATAATCTGGACAAAATAAACTGTGCTTTTGAAACGTCATGCAGAGTGCATGAAATTTCTAATGTTGTTCCAAATCTAATAATGATAAGTTTCCTCTGCAAAATATACTCCGAGGTCTACTGATAGGGTGCCAAAAATATTGGGAAATTATGCGGAATTTCCAGGAAGTATCATTACAAGGCAGAAAAGTTTCATTATGTAGTAAACTGTGTGAATTCTCTGGAAAAGATTAGGCAGGCATAAAAAAAAATTATAACTCGATTAGATGCACAATAACATTGCAGATTTCAGTGTCTATACTTGATGTTTCCAGTCCTAAAAAGCCTTAAATTAGTATTTAAGTTTGTGAGTTTTTGGACAATAAATGCATTTAGTATCAATCATTAGATTTCTTATAAACTACTGCAATCAGGGACCAATTTAATAAGTATAGTTTACAATTGTGGCTTTTGTTTTCACACTCCAAAACAATAGCTACGCTTGTATTAGTTGTAAACATTTTATTAAAATGATCCCAGATTAGATTTGAGATCAAATATTATTGCATAATATCAAAGTGTTGACAGCAGTGTTTTTTAATGCTTGTTTTAGTCAACTTCTGAAGCCAAAGCTTGTCAGGAGAAATTATGAGTCAGCCTGTGTGGTAAGTATGGCAAGCAAGTTATGCTTAAGTTGACAGACAAATTTATTGCAGATCAGTGATTTTAATCAAAATAACCAGTAGTAAAAAATGTAACCCTGTGATGAACCAGTAGGTCATCTAGAAGGGAGAAGAAATTATCGTAGTTCCTTCATAAATCCAGAAATCCAAACACTTTCTCCATATACGTACTTGCATAATTATCTTATGGTTACAAAGATAAGATGTGGATCAGAAGATCCCTTTTTATTCTGATCTTGCTAAATTGATTCCATCCCTCATCACTCAAAGCTGATTTCAGGACAGAAATGTCTCACAATCCACATGAACACTATAATTATAAACATTATATACATTAACCTGCTATGAATCTGCTAGAACATTTTATTACAATAATCTTTTAATATTCCATTTTAATTGTTTCATTTTCTTATTCTGTGAATAATTACATGTATTTTATTTTACCTATGTGCATCAAAACCAAGAATCCCCTTGTGGGGCAGCACAGGGTCAGGGAAGAAAGGGGCCAGAAGCTAGTTTAAGGTGCACCTAAGCAATCAGACTCAAATGGCCTGATCTTATTGATTAGGTTTCTGTCACATGGAGTATTTAGGAGTATTGTTACTGATCCCCGTGACACGTGTTAGTCCATCACCGGGTTACCCTGACCAACAGCATGCCAATTCTGGTACCTATTTATACACTTACTGTAGTTTTAAAGAGAGACAAAGTGGAGAAAAGTTTCTTGTTAAAGAAAACAACACAATGGTAAGACTTGTAAACCCTCACTTACGGATTAAAAGTTTGAGGTGTTAACAACTTGGCTGCTACTACACTTTGTCTGGGGCAGGTATGAGGGGAGAGGGCAAAGGAGCTTTCTCTCCTTAATTCCTCTAAGGTGAATGAAGATAAAAATACTAGTACAGTTGAACGCCTACATATAAGTGTGACCAGCAGTCATAAGCGACCACTTACACTATCCAAAATACCAAAATCAGTTTTCTAGTCAAAGCATTGTTAACCCTTTGCGTCAGTTATTCAAACCGAGTTCAGCCAGTGTTTAACAAATTTGTGTTCTAAGCCAGTAGTTTACTAAATGCCTATATCTAAACACAAGTTATTGTGAACAGTTTCATGGAAGAATCATGGCGGACTGGAGAAACATTTTTCTTCCTTAAGTAACCCACTTAAAAAGAGATCTGGAGGTCCAATGATTTCTTAAATCACGGTCCAAGTCAGATTTTGTCTAATAAACTGACCCTTTAAGGCCCTAATTGTCCTGACTGAAGTCCATACATTTCCGCAAATCCAGCATTTGATAAAAGATCAAAGCACTTTTCTATTGGTGACCATTTTAGTAATCCTCATGATGATATATGGATTTTGTCAGGAGAAAATTGATTCTTGGGAACTACAGGGTTGATAGCTGGATCCTCTTGTAAGCAACCACCCCATAAGGGATCACCAAATGTTGATGTTTAACCCATTTGCTCCTGGAGATTTTGCCGAAAAACGCATTTTGAAGCTAGTCGAGTGGTTTTCTGGTCACTGTCGTGCTATAAAGAGCTAAAACTTACCACAAACTGGTTTACAGGTCGAACACTTTGCAGCCTTCTGATCCAGATGCAAAATATCAGCTTGCAAAGTTCGGGCATGCGCAGAAAGCAAAATTTCGAGATAGTTTTTGGGTTTAAAAGTGACACAGCAGTCTTGACTTTTACTTTTCGCTTTCTCTCCTCCCTTCTTTTTTCGCTTTTCTTGCCTCATTTTTTTTTTCTCTTGCTGGGCATTTAGTAGGCTTCATTTTGGTGGGAAGAGTTTTTAGGAAAGCTTTTAGGATCTTAGGATTAGGTGAAAGGAAAGGTAGGTGGGTAATGGAACAAGATTTTCATGGAGATTTTCAGGTCAATGTCACGTGGTTTTTTGCTTGTTTATCCGGTGTCCTTGACTAAATTGTGCTCATTCTGGTATGGTTTGAAAGATCTGTTCACTCTGCACAAGTTAGCAAAGAAAGTTGTCCTTGACCGTTAAAACTGATGACGTCACAATGGGTAGAAAGGACCTGGATCCGCACGGGCGGTTACGGGCGGTTCAGGGGCGAATGGGTTAATCAAAAAACCTAAAAATGGCCTTTTACCAACTTTTTCACCTGATTTTACATGAAATAGACAGATTTGGTTGCTTTATGCTGAAAAGTGGATTTTTTTCAAAAATCTTGGTACTTTGCTTAAGTGGCTGCTCAGTGGCGGATCCAGACCTCAGATGACAGGGGGTTTGGTCATCCAGACCCTGAGATAATGGGGAGGGGACAGTCTCAAAAGAATTTTTTTTCAGCCCTTTGGGCCTCAGTTTGGTCTAAAAAATAAGGGGGTGCCCAAGTCCCCCGGGCCCCTCCCCTAGGTCCGCCACAGCTGTTTATGAGAGATCCCACTAAACCAGCAAAAAATTAAGAAGAAATAAATCATTATCTTACGTCTTGAATTTTGTTGACATAAGAAGGTGGCTTACACTTCAGCTTCTATTGTTTTGATTTACAGTAGGTTTGAAGCTCTTTTCTTAGGCTAAGCAGAAAATTATGTGAGAAGAGGTAGGGGGGGCTCAGGAAGTTGGCAGGTTTGTGGGCTATCGTGTGTTTTCAAGACTTCAAGACTTAATTATAAATTTTCTAAAGAATATTTTTACAAGTGTCCTGGCGCTGCAAATAGTTGTAGCTGCTTGGTTAAGATTGCTCTGCTACCTTAATTTAAGTTAATTGGAATACTTAATTATCCTCACCCTTTACGGGGCTTTTCAGGGATAACAAAGCAAATAATTTAAAATAATGGAACTTAATAAGGTTAAAAATCCCAAATGCTAGAAAGCGAACCAGTTGGCTATTTTACAAGTGTGGCCGAGGATATGAAATCAGGACTACCGTGAACAACTCCAACTAGGGTCAGGGTGGGACTTGAACTCCGGGCCTCCGAATTACAAGTTCCAGTGCTCTAACACCACTTGGCCATTTGCCTCCACACAGGACGCCTACCATCCAAAGTGTTCTTTTGGCTTAGAGTTTAACTTATTTCAATTCCAATTGTGATTTTACTTCAGTCTTTTGCTTTCCATTGCTAAAGAGTACCCAGCCTAAGTTATCTATTTCAATTCATTTAAGCATTTTTTTGTTTCCTTTTTATGCAGTCATTTGAACGGATTATCTGTGAGAACAGGATCCAAGACCTACAACCCAGTTTAGCGAGTGCCGTTAAGAGCATCAACCGATGGCATCTGATTCAGTCTTCAGTGCCTTATATCCTGCAATGCTGCTCCAAGCTTCTTTCAAACAGATGTCGCATGGGAAATGTAGAGAGACTTGGAAATGCCGAACGCGAACTTTTGTACACCCTCCACTGGATCTTGCTTGAGGGGCCTCGTGTTTGCTGTGTTGTGGACTCTGAAAGCTTGCTTTACCCTCAAACGATAATAGAGCAGTTTGTGCACGTGTTGATTCCACATGTCTACAGCATGCGCGAAAATGACCTGACGTTTAGGTTAGAAAATGGCATGGCAATCTGGGGACCTCTTTGGAAGCACGAAACGCCACTTCTGGTGCCATTTACAAGCAAGGTGTTAAAGAAAGATACTGGCAATCAGGCGGGTTCCTTGGTGGGGCAGAGTCAGTCGGGTGCAGAATCAGATCCAGATTTTACAAGTTCTACCTTCTTTGATGTTGCTGTTCTGAAGTGTCTGTCATCAAGCGGTTGGGCAGAGGATGGTGTTGTCTGGGCTCTCCGTTACCTTGCTCTGTACCTTAAGCGCGAGTTTGACCTTCCAGATGATATTGTTAGCAGAGAATCCTCGGTCTCCAATATTCCTGTTTATGTTTCTCCGGGGCAAAGCATCTGTACGGATGGTACACCTTTGGATGTTGTTGTTAAGAAGTCAAGTTCTCATAAAGAACCGACAGATAATGGGTTACTGAGAAACACTGATGAAGCCTTGAATAATGACAAAGCTGAGAGTCTGAATGAAGGTGGTGAGCAATCAGTATCTGTGTGCCAAACTACAGATAAAAACAGCGAGAGTACAGCCAAACAAGGGCTTGGTATTAGCAAAGGTGTTGAAAAAGTAGATGCAGCAGCCTCTTTTGGTGTGACTGATGCTGGAAACGAAAGTTTTAGAGTAACAAGCAATGGAATCTCTGGTTCTTATAAGCGAACTTCTGAAGATAGGGATACAATGGAAACTGATCGTAGTTCTGATGAGAGAACTGGAAAATCCGGACTGGAGCGAAGTGGTTCCATTAAGCTGAGAATAAGGTTGCAGTCCTCCCCTCTTTTATCACAAGGAGGAAGAGTGATAACAGCTGTAGCATGCCCATCCACGAGTCCAGTCCAATACGACAGTGGTGATATGAAGGGTGGTGATAGTCTCCAGAACACGAGCAATGTAGGAACATTTCAAAACACTAAAGTTTACATACAACCATCTAGTACACTTCAGTCACCTCCAGCTGAAAAAAGTAGTTTGACTACTCAAGGCAGGGATGGGTTGTCACTTGATGTTAAACCCGATGAAGGCAAGCCTGACACTGGTTTGAAGTCAGAGCCTAAATTAAATTTACTTGGTGGAGTACCCGATGGACAAGCAATGACAGTGCTTGAAGGTGATGGTGATGCTCAAGAAAGTACTCGAAACTCGGACACTTCTTCCAGTGCATTTGAGAGTGCAGGAGGCGAGGAAAGTACTCATGCAGAAGCCTCTGTGAATGAAGGCAATGCAGGGAGTGTCTTAAATGCGATGGCATACAAGCATCTTTCGGAGAGACCAAGCTCTAGTCAAGCTAGCAGTAGCTCAGGAGAAAGTGAAAGCCAACCATTGTTGAACTCCTCAAAAACGGCAACTTCTGCACCCGTTTCTGTCTTGGAGCCCTTTGATACTCCTCGCAGCAGTATCGGCAACCAACAAGATTCAGTGATGAAAGTGGAAAGGTACTTTGTCTTCCCTGGAACTGCGGACTACATCACAACAGACGGCAGACTCAGCATTTTGATGATTCTAAAAGCGCTCAACAGTCTCTTGCGCGACAACCCCACATCCCGGATATGCCAGGCCAGCCTGACCATCTTACGCTATTTGTTAACAATTCATGAAGGCAATAAATCCCAGCAAAGTGGGAGCTCCGAAGGATATGATGATAGAACAGTCGCCGAGACTCAAGCTGTGGGTTTTAGGAGTCCTCACAGTGAAAATGTCCTGGGTAGACTGCGTGCAAGCTTTTATGGACGACCTCCAAGCTTCCTCAGTCTTGCAATGGGCTGCCTGGTTAGCCTTGTCAAATCGCTGGGCTGTCCTTTAGGTAAAGTATATACTTGGCGTTAACTTGTTATTCCTTAGCTAACATGCGTGTGTGGTAATCTATTAAACATTGGCTCAGGCGAGGGGTAGTGTCCAGTCAAACCTGGGGAGGCCTATATTTGTTTAGTGGGTGGTACACCACTGAAGAGACCCATCAATATGGTTTTCAGGGATTTAGCGAAATTTAAAGCTCAGGATGTTTCGATGTATATGTATATCCCTACCCTGGTAATCAGAGGATCTTTTCTGCCCATGGAAAGTCTCCGGCACCCAGGGTAGTGTAACCTTATTAGGAAAATTTTTGAGATAACTTTTTATGTATTACTCGTAAAGCTGAGGAGAGTTTGTTCTTGGTGTCAGGTTGTGGAGAAGGCTGTCGTGGGATCACAGGTGATCGCCTCAGAAATCTTTCCAACGATCTCCTCTCACAACTCTTTCGCACCGATCAAAGGGAGTTCAAGTCATGGCTTCAGCAGTTTGCCCGATTGGAACCTCATGAAGACTTGGTTGACTTCCTTCACGCTTTAGTTGGATTCTGTGAAGATGATCAGGAACAATCTGATGACGAGATGACACTTGAACCAAAGCACAAGAAGCAGAAGAATTTATTCAACGTCCCCGAAGGAGTAAACAGCGTCATTATTGGAGGAGTTTTTAAGACTCTGCTTACTAGAGTGGCGGAGATGAATTTTCGTGATCTTAAAAATTTGGTAAGTGCTGGAGATGTACCCTTGCTTCTGATTCGCACAGTCGGTTAGTGCGTGGCCTCCCGTGCGGGAGGTCCCGAGTTCGAATCCCCGGTGTAACCTTAAATCCTTGTTTTGATTTGCGTTCTTTCCTTTCCGTGTGCTGGTGAAGGGAGGGGGTAAAATGTGCTCACCGTTTGCCTCAGGATTGTAAGTTTAAGCGGATCATCATCATACGTTTCTGGGAAACTGCCAACCTACCCCTCCCCTTAGCCAACATTAACACTTAGTTCTCACTTAGGGTAAAATGTTGGCCTAGGGGAGGGGAAGGTAGGCAGTTTCCCAGAAACGTACTATGATCCCAAATATTTATCCACTTCAGAGATCCAGGCGCAGCAAAACGCTGGTTTCCACTAGCGCGGGGTCGCGCGGAGTTTTGAACTAGTGAGGAAAACAGCTTTCTGATTTCGTTTACGACTCCGTCGCTTACAGTACGATATAGACAAAACTAGCGGTGTGTCGGAGTCGGAAGAAGAAGCGGATAAGCTAAACCAATCACAGCGCGTGGGATCGATTATTTGGTGTAGTTGATTCTTCCACTTCCGCTTCCGACTCCGATAGTCCCCTAGGATGGACGCTCGAATGAGGAAATCGTCCAAAGCTAGCGAAGAAAAAAAAATTGGCCAGTCGAGGGGAAACCTGTATAGAAAAAGGCGTCCTCTTTTCGGCCATTTCGCTCTCCCCAGTCCTGCCGAGCCTCGACATGACTGACTGATTTTAATTTTTCCGAGTCCGATTCCGTGGGCCCGTACGACTCTTATTCTTTTTATTTTCACTCGGTCATAAGACCTATTAGGACCCCGCTTACAATTCCGTCGCTAGTTCAAAAAAGCCTGTTAAAAAAGTTCCTGTTTCATTCGCCATTTGTACTCCCTGGTTCTAGAGGTTTTTCGTGATATTTTTCTTCGCAAGCCGCGAAGCGGTAGACTACGAGTTGTCTCCATTTTTCCTCCGGGATAGTAGAGCGAGCGAAACGTGAGCGCGCGTGAAAATCACCCCAAGTAGGGGTGGTTTTCACGCTCGCTCGCGTTTCACTCGCTCTACTATCCCGGAGGAAAAATGGAGACAACTCGTATTCAACGAAGCGGCGACAACGGAAAATTTTCAAGAAAAACCTCTGGGACAAGGGTACCATTTGCTCGTCTCCTTAATGATTTCTGCGGTATTGTGCCTTTTAAACGTAAATCAACAAAGTAGGAAGTAAATGTCATTTTAATTTATTTTTACCACAGACTTTTTACGGTGAACTACGCCAACTTTTGAGGTTTGTCAAGGAGAACTATGGAGGCGTGTTCTGGAAAGTTGCCTTGAGTGGACTTCTTGATTCAGCCTTCAAAGAACCAAAAGACCAGACTGATGCAAACAAAGTCCCAGAGCAAGACACCTTGACGAGAGGGGCAGTGGGAAAAGTACAGAGAAAGGAGACGAAAATCGCAAAAGTTGAGAGGACGATAACTTATCGGACCAAGCGAAAGTTCCTACAGAAGTTTAGCAGGGTTACAACTGAGAGTTCAGATAGCGGGAGTACCAGCTCGTCGAAATTATCGTCTGTTGTCGATTCCCCTTCTGTGGAAATGGCTTTATCTCCTAGAAGCAAAAGAAAGGTAGATGCCCGTTTTCCCGGGCGATTTTGTCGGGATTTTTGTTGCAATGGTGAAACGATTTTAGGTGCAAACGGTGATTTGTTGCTGTGAAATGCCGCCGTTGTTTCGAACCTGCGCGAAATGTGACACGTTTCATTTGGGAATTTCCGCCCGAGAGTAGCCAAAACCTTACAAAAAAAATGAACCAAATGCATCAATAAGTGTAGTGTAAAGGAGAGTTGTTGTTTTGCTAGTTTCCAATACCATTCTGTCTCTAGAGCTTCAAATCTTACCCCAGGGCTTAGCCTTTGGGTAGTCCTTTTGAAACAAACCGTCAGAAGACACGCTGGTGAGCGAACGGCAACAAGGGACAAGAAATAAAAAAAGCACACAAAGGGCTTTTACAAGATTCCATCGTGTTACTAATTGTTTACTCACATTTCTGACTATTTTGTACCACAATATGACAGTTTGTTGCAAAAAGCTAACTACTTACTTAACGATGGCTTGTTCTGTAACTGCAGATTTTCACTCTTGGTACGTGGAGAAAACAAAAGACCGTTGGAACACCATTTGGCAGTGTTGAGGATCTCTTAGATTCAGAATCCACAACCGAGCAGACTTCAACCGCGAAGCGAAAGCATCTCAAGACTAAATCTGCCAGCAGGAAAAAACTAGAGGACATCTTCCCTATATCACGGAAAATACCAGACGGAACTCCATCAGAGCAGTCGCTGCCTATAGATATTGTGGTGCAGGAGTTTGAGACAAAGCCTGTTGATATAGAAGCCTTACGAGCTGGGATGGTAAGGTTTAGGTTTCTTCTCCATGGATGTCAGCCGGGATCTGTTCCTGATCCTAAGATTGTAGCCTCAATGTTGGACTTGGTGAGTTTGAACTTATATTTAGAGACTGTGTATCCCCTTTAACCATTTACCCCTTTTCGCTTGGCTTCCAAAGCCAGTTTGGAGAAATTAAAAGGTCTTACAACCTTTGGATTTGTGGAAGAGATTCTAAAATGTGACCTCGGAGCAACACTTTCCTGTAGTGCTATTTTAGTGACTGGAAATTTTGTTTTTGTGAAAGGAATCCTAAAGTGTAACCATTTGAAGGGAACGAAATCTGTCCCGCAATTGTTTATGGGATCGTTACTGAGGAGGCGCCGGTCAGTTTTTGGCCATTTTCTCCCTCTCCTTGGTAAACGTCCCAGAGGTCTTTGCGGAAGTTTGCTCTGCCTATTTTCCCTCTAAAGTGGTGAATTCAAACGAGAGCTTCCGATCTTTGGTACTAGGGACCTTACGAAACCACGAGGACGATGGCAACGGGAACTTCAAAAAAACCAATAGGTTTAATGAGCAAAACAACAACTCTGCACGTACATCACGCTTTTTTGTACATTTATTTGCCTTCAATGCACAACTACGACGTGAAATGACCAAATTTTAAGTTTACTTGGGAACGGGAACGGCAAGGCCATGAATTCTACCATCTCTGTCCGAACTTGAGGGCGTTCCCCTCTCTTCAGCTCCAGCCAAAATTCCCTTCTTTTAAGTAACACGGCGAACTGGGATTATCGCGAAAAAGTTTAAAATGATGCGAAGTCTGTTTTTCAGCGACGTTTTCATGGACGTCGCCGTTGTCGGATCATAAGGTCCCTATTATCTGTTATTCGCTAACTGGGAGTTCTGGACCACTCTCCCACTCCAGTACCTGATATGAAGTCATGTCCTAGCTAATGTTAATGCTGTGATAACATACAGGAAGCACCAGCAATAGCCAGAGCATCGCTTCTACTTGAATGTTGTCTCTTAGTCAACATGTGTAACCAAGGTGAATGGCCTCAGTGGTTAAGAGCCAGCCTGCCATCGTTAGCCCATCGTCGAGGGGGACACTCACCATCCGGTGCTTCTCCCTTCATGTTTGCTCAGCGCCGTAACCTCGTAGCCATGCATGAGGCTGGAGTCTTGTTCCGGGCTTGGGGCGTAGCGTTAGGGAAGAAACTGGAGCAGGTGCTGGCAAAACATAGGAGGAATATTTTGCCATCTATTGAAGAGGAAGGAGGAAAGCCAGTCGTAGGGGATGAAGAAGACATCGAGGAAGACTTCCTTGATGAAGGTTAGTAACTCATGGCTCACCATTGTATTGTTCGCCTCGTTCTTCTTGCCGTCCCCTGACGCGCGAGAGAGTACGAGAAGAGGAGTGATGCTGCAAACAAGGTTGTAATGATTGCAAGTCCTTAAGACCTTTAAGTTCCAGCCTTTTTCCTTAGAGGTACCGATTTGGAACCCTCAAAAAAATGGTAGATCGTTTCCAAAAAAACAACGACAACAAAGAACAAAAAACCAAGAAGTTAGGACTGGAAATCATCTTTGAAGAAAACATGCAAATTTCGTGGAATGCTTTTTTTGGTAGATGAACGTTTATCTGGATGTGGTATGAAGTTGTTCTGTAAATTAGGCTTCTTATTATTTTTATTGTACAATTAACCATCTAATTATGTATATTTTCTTTTGGCTGCTTTTCTTAATTTATTTAAATGGCCTTCTCCCATTTTTTTTTGAAGCAACTTTGAGTGAATCCGTCAAGGTATGTCCTTATCCTTTGCTGATGATAGCATGCCAGCTTCTTCTGGAGATAACGTCTTTTTTGCGTGAGAGCCATGGTCTCTACTCCGTCACCAAACCCACCTATAGACCCCTGCATCGTTATATTGTACCTAGAAGAAGACAGAGTGTTACAAGTCATCGACGATCTATCGTACTTTCACCCGAGACACAACAGCGTCGTTTGAGTAGTTTATTCGGTGGTGGGGGAGAGAGAATTCGGCGAGCGAGCGTTTTGAGCCAAGCATCGGTGCAAACCGAGTTCAATTCTAGTCCCAGTCGAACCTTGCAGGAACCTCCGATGATAACAGTTTCAGAAACCGATCCTGGCAGCACGAAACTTGAAGCACCAGATCAAGAAGGGAAGAGAGAACGGCGCGATAGTACTGGGCAAGCTGGGAACCGCTCAAGCCTGTACTTTCCCCGTCAAAGTGCTCAGCATTCACCCAAAACAGCCAAACGAATAGCCAGGCGCAGTGCTGTTGGTGGAGAAGGTGAATCAGTGAGGTTTAGATCGAAGTCTACAAAGTGTGATAGCAAACATCTCAGTGTGGACGCAAATGTTGTTGATGACGATGACGAGTCAGATGATGAAGACCCAACAGCTAATTTACCATGGTTGAGCGCCGTCATCCAGTTAAATAGCTTGACTGCTTTCCTGTGCGACCATCAAGGGGTGTGCCACCTCAACTGCCATCAGCGGCAAAGCCGCAGCTGTACTCGAATGGTACAGGCGTTGAAGACGGTTTACCGTTCTCCAAATAAGGTTGACAAGATCCCTGAAAGAGGTTTGACAAAGGTAGTTAGCAGTGCTTTGATCAGTGCACCACAGATGGGATCAGCAGAGCAGGTCTCCATGAAGCAAAAGGATGATGAGGAGATGACAACGTATATATCATCAAACGTAAGTCATGACATCGACGTTCCTTGCAGTAGGTTTCTCCAGTATATTTGTCAATTATTTCAAATCGGTCGGAAAACTCCGAGTGTCCTTATCCCGCCCTTGCCCTTCCAGACATTGGTCTCCCATAGCTCAGTTGCGAGAGTGTCCATCTGCAATGTCATAGAGTCATCTCTCATTTGGAATGCTCAAACCGTTTTCTTTAAGTATAACAATTTGACCACACCATGGATAACACCATGGATACTCCGAGTGTCCTTATCCTACCGTTTCCTTTCCAGACAGTGATCACATATAGCTCAGTAAGGAGAGTTTTATCTGGTATCTGGAATGTCATAGGGTCATTTCCCATTGGGAATGCTCAAAACGTTTTCTTGAAGTGTAATATTTTGACCACACCATTTCGCACCAGGGATACTCTGATATTCTCAGTCCCACCCGTGCCCTGGCTTCCAGGCAGTGGCCTCCCATACCTCAGTGGCAAGAGTGTCCATATGGAATCTGGAGTGTCATGGGGTCATCTCCCATTTGGAATGCTCAAAACGTTTTCTGTAAGCGTGACAATTTGACCACACCATTTCATATAAGGGATACTCTGAGTGGCTCCATCCCACCCTTGACCTTCCAGACATTGGTCATTCATAGCTCAGTGGCTAGTATGTCCATGCGATGTCTGGATTTCCATGGGAACATCTTCCATTTGGGATGCTCAAAACTTGTTCTTTAAGTGTGACAACTTGACATAATTGCTTAACACAATTAAGACTGTTTTGTTGTTATTCAGATTTCCAGCCTGACCCATTGTCCTTTCTCAGTGATTGCTAAGGCCGGCACTGTCATTGAAACAGAACATCTGCTGGAAACACTTCCTGTGGCATGGGAACTGCTACTCGACGAGGACCAACAACTGGTCTCATCTGCAGGTAGGTCAATGGTAACAGGCAGGAGAGGATAAGAAGGAGGAGCATGATCCTCCGGTTGATCGTAGTCCTGAATAGGACTTTTGTTGACAGTGATTGACGTTTCGACAATCCTCATCTTTGATCTGAAGATGACTACAGCACAGGTTGTCGAACGTCAGTCACTGTCAACAATAATAGTCGTATTCAGGATTACGGTCACCCGATCGACTATCATGCTGCTTCTACTTATGAAATGACTCCTGGGCTCAGACCTTTTACAAAGAGAGGTTGGAAAGACACAAAGTAGAGTTAAGGTTTTTATCTGAACACAACACTTTCAGTCTCTAGTGGATACACAGAAAAAAAAATGGAAATCTCACAAGGCTGCGCATTTGTTTTTCGTTTCTTTGCTGTAATGAAACTCGCTGTTGAAGAAGTGTTGTCGTACCCTCTTGTTTGCCAACTTACATTTCTTTTATTGGGTTTAGCTTCAGTGTTTCTCCTGACTGCAGTCCGTCTCAGAGACACAGTAGAACAGATGTTACACAAAGAACTTGTGTGTGCAGATGCCAATGACCGAGTCAAGTCTCTTCAGAGGTAGGCACTTGTAGAGTTTTAGGCAAAATTTGTTGCCACTGAGTTATCTCTCCTCTTTGGCTTTGGATTTGCCTTCTATCTCAAGAACAAAAAGGATTATTATTGTATACAGCTTCATTTTGAGTGTGCCTACGAAACCCTTCGCATAGGACTACTAAAGTGAAAGGTTTTCCATAACACAGCGATTGAGGTACTAATTGATCAATCACAACACGTGCAGAGAGTAAGTAAACCAATCAGATCTAAACAATCAAATTTAGGCGCCGCCAAGCGCGGGAAAACGCTCGTGGACAAGTGACGATTGGTTTTGAATTTCTTCTGATTGGTTTCAGAAGTTGCGTGATATATTTTAGCCAATAAAAAGGCGTAGCAGGGCTTAAGGTGGCTCCGTCACTAATATTGGAGCATTTAACGGTGACAAATTTTCCTTCATAACTTTTTCGTTTTTGGAGCGATGGCTGTGAAACTTTGCAAAGAATAACAGATATCATTCGGCAATAGTACGAAATATTCCGATTTCATAGATGGTAAATATTTCTTGAGAAATTAGCGCTTAAAAGGACCTTAGTGTTCAAAGAAAATCGCTTCTAGTAAAAAATTTTGCTGATATTTTTTACTGAAATTTCTGGTATGGGCTTTCATTGACATAATAAATATGCCGGAGAAATTTCAGAAAAATCGTTGGAGCAGGAGTCCGTAACTAAAAGTCGCTCAAAATTCAGCTGTGAAATTGTTTTGGAATTTCAAAAATAAATTAAGCTCAGGTAGAAGAAGCCACCAGTTTGAGTTTTCAGGACAAGTAAATTCGATGTTTGCCAAAAATAAAAACAAAAGCTGATTGCCTATCGTGCTATTCTTTAAAAGGTACTTTTTAGTTTTAGAAGCACCATAAATTGCTCCAAACCTTGCTCTGACGTCGAATGACTTGTTCTTCGACATTTTTAAAATATCTCTCGGCAGTTTTGGTTCAAACTCCTGCTACAAACATTTTGTTGTATTGCAATGCATCCTCAACGGCTTTTTCTGCTGAACGTTGGTTCCAATTCAGGAAAAAGGTGTTGGGATTGTGAGCTACCTTGTTCGAAGCTCAGATAGAACTGTCCAGCACCTTTGTTTATGACCAGAAAATGCGCACGAGCGGCAGCTCTGCGAGGAATTCGCACCTCATCCAGGGGGGACGAATGACAATGATGCCCATGTCTGCGAACCGATCTGTATAAACATGTATTGCAGAGCAAACATAATAATCAAGAAAAAACTACCCATTCATTGAAGGAAGGAGTAACAGAAATTTCAGAGTTGTAAATTTATTCACGGGCATTATTCTTGCGACAATTTTATTTTGCAATGTGATGTAATTCGGTTCACAGGCAAGGGCAACAATGTCGTTAGTCCCCCCCTGGGTGAGTTGCGAATTCCTCGCGGAACTGCCACTCGTGCTCATTTTGTAGTCATAAACAAAGGTGCTGGACAGTTCTATCTGAACTCTGATACGAGGTAGCGTCCAATCTCAATACCTTTTTCCTGAGTTGGAAGCAACGAACAGCAGTAAAAGTCGTTGAAAATGGGTTGCAATACATCAAAATATATGCAGCAGGAGTTTGAGGCAAAACTGCCAAGGGATATTTTAAAAATGTCGAGGAACAAGTCATTCAACTTCAGAGCAAGGTTTGGAGCAATTTATAGTGCTTCTAAAACTAAAAAGTACCTTTTAAAGAATAGCACTTTGGGCAATCAGCTTTTGTTTTCAGAATTAGCAAACATTGAATTTACTTGTCCCGAAAATTCAAACTGGTGGCTCCTTCTACCTGATAGTAATTTATTCTCGAAATTCCAAAACAATTTCACAGCTGAATTTTGAGCGACTTTTAGTTACGGACTTCTGCTCCAACGATTTTTCTGAAATTCCTCTGGCATATTTATTATGTCGATTAAAGCCTATCCCGGAAATGTCAGTAACAAACATCAGCAAAATTTTTTACTAGAAGCGATTTTCTTTGAACAGAAGGGTCCTTTTAAGCCCTAATTTAGAAAAATATATTTACTATCAATGAAATCGGAATATTTCGTACTATTGCCGAATGATACCTGTTGTTCTTTGCAAAGTTTCTCAGCCATCGGTCCAAAAACGAAAAAGTTATGACGAAAACTTCGTCACAGCTAAAAGCGCCCGTATTAATTACGGAGCCACCTTAAGCAAACCCATCGTACAATTTCCTCTTACTCAACGCAAAACCGCTACCAGAAAACCCGCAAAACTACTGTGTCGAATGCATTTGTTTGATGATAGATTTGAAGTGTTGTGGCAGTCAAGGTATCATGCCTGGCCAAGACTCCAAGAAGGAGCAAGGTTGATTTTAAAGGTATTTTACGAATTATGTAGTTACCAAATAAGTACTTTATATGCAGACTCCTGCTCAAACGTTACTCTCTATAAATTTATCTTGCGATTGATACGTTCGACATATGGGGGACATAAGTCCGACCCTGGCCCTTAAAACAATAGCATGTATTTTTTCAAAGGCCAATGAAAATATGGGATTCTGGGAGCTTCTTGGTCTCAGCCCTTTCCAGGGGCGTTTTGGTTCAAACCCCACCCTATCACTTTTTCAATTTTAGCTTTAAAAAGGTCAGCTTACGACGATACCCCGACCAGGATATTTAATGACCACTGGCTTTCCATGCGTTTTCCCAAAACGCGTTTCTCACTCCTTGATCTTTGTGATTGTCGGTGCAGGTGCTGCCACCTAAAATTGACTTCACCCTCCCTTCCCCTGCGGTGGGAATTGCCTCGACCCACCCCCCAGACTGCCCGTGGGATGGACGTCTCCTGTTCCCAACACTGATTCTTCACTCCTTGATCTTTGTCATTGTAGGTCCCGCCACCTAAAATTGACTTCACCCTCCCTTCCCCTGCGGTGGGAATGGCCTCGACCCATCCCCCAGACTGCCCGTGGGATGCACGTCTCCTCTTAGAAGAACAGCAGGAACAGAAAAAGAATGATACAAAGAAGGTTCGTGACAGTGGAAACGAGCTTAAAAGAAAACAGGAAAGGGTTGAGTATCTTATGAGAGCTGTACCAGTGTCCATGGAGGCAACTGTGGGAGTCAACGTTGCAGAAGACGAGAAGGGTAAGTCTTTGAAGAAGGCTTCGGATCAGTTAAGGTTTCTGGGAAACTGCCCACCTACCCCTGCCCTAAGCCATCATTTTGCCCAAAGTGAAAAGTAAGTGTTAATGTTCGCTTAGGGGAGGGGTACGTGGGCAGTTTCCGAGAAACCCAAATTGATCTAAGGCTTCATTGCTTTGTCTATAAAGGAGGTCTGACGAGTTTGCATGAAAATCCAAGGTAGCTGCCAGTTCTCCTCTGTTGTGGACATTGTGTTAAACAACGGTATCTGCACTTTGTACCCAAGGCGAAACCCTGTTCGGTGACAAATCATTGCACCAATACTTGTCAATGCTAGCGCAATACAGTAAAAGCTAACATTTCACTCGTGTCACCTTTCAAAATGATGGTAATGAAAATACTCAAATCATACGTTTGTTGTAAATGTATTGAAATATCGGATGTAGTCACGTTACTACTCTAGAACCTAAAACAAAACTTGTACGATATATTATCATTATTGTGTCAAAGTTACTACACAAGCCTTTGTTAAACATTGAACATCACTATTTTGCCATTTTATGAACTCTTTTCTCCTGATCTCTGCTTCGCTCCGTATGATTTTGAGATTATCTGTGTTTTTTATCTACCTTGCCTTTTTAACACAATATTCTTAAAGATAACTTTGTCTCCAGGGTAATGCAGCACTTAACCACTCACGTTAATTTTGAGTTTCCACATTGACACGATATGGTCAAAGCCAGCTTTGCCCCTATTACGAAGAACTGCACTTCCATTGTTAATAGCACTATGATTGTGAGCATTAGTGTTATATGCATGTCACTGCCAAGGAGAAACTTGTCTCCATCAATGTTAGTGAGTGTGACACCATCACAAGCACCTTTATTAGCACCAATATTGGCACCCTTTTGACAAGCAAATCCTTCATCATTATCTTTGATAACGTTACCATTACGAGCACCGCTAAGGGCATCAACATTGGATCAGTGTTGTTGTGGTCGCTTGGTATCACTGGCAATAAAATCGCCATCTCAAAGCTTAAAAGAGGCACTAGCAAACAAAAGCATTGAAGGGCACAATACAGGATTACAATCGCGGCCAAAGTTGCACGTTTGTCATTGTTGATGCTATGAGTGTCAACATTAGAACATTATTGACACTGGTAACCTTGTGCCAATTACTTGCAATAACGTCACCGTCGCAAGCACTAGAAGAGAGCACCCACAAACTAAAGCAATGAAGATTAAATGACAGGATCGCACTTGTGACGCTTTCTTGCACGTCCATCGATGTTGATGCTAAGACAATCAACATTAAAACATTGTTAAAATTGGCAACTGTGTGCCAATCACTTGCGATAACGTCCCTATCGTGAAGGCTAAAACGCACGAGTTAATTGAAGCACTACAGACCACAATCATTACCAAATGATATACGTCCATCACTGTTTTCTTTGTGCTTTTTTTTTCTTTGCCGCGGGACTTTCAGCGGAACGATTTGCCCGCTTAGGAGTTTGGCATTATCATTTGGAACCGACAGAAAACTCAGCTGAAGGTGGAATTGATTCTGCAGGTTTGAGCTTTAATATTAATAAACATAATGCTTTCTTTTTAATGATTTAATGCAGGTTTAACCCTTTTGCTTTGAATAGTCACACCCCACAGTTTCTTACATAGACTCAAAAGTTAGAACCACCATGTACAACATAACACACAATACCACAAGAATGTACTACTTTCATATGATCGTCACACTTACAGAAACTTTCATATGGATGGTCACACTTACGGGTTTCATCCATGGACTCAAAAGTTAGAATCACCTGATTTAGCGTAATAAACAGTACCAGAGGAAAGTACGATCCACAGACTCCTAAGTTCGAATCACCTTATCGAATCCACCCCATCAACTCGGCTTCTAGAGTTCTCAAGACTACTCGCGCCCTCACAATCCTTCTCGTCCGCCATTGTTTTTTGCCACACAAACTTTCGCGCATGCTCATTTCAATCAAAACAAAGATTCGCCTATACAGCATAATCAACAGTACCTTTGGAAAGTACTACTCAGAAGCTTTCATATGAATGGTCACACTTGCGGGTTACATCCACAGACTCAAAAGTTAGAATCACCTTACACAGCATAATAAACAGTACCGGAGGAAAGTACTACCCAGTAGCTTTTTAAGTTGCTATTTTTCTCTCCAATTTGAAAGTTGTAGGGAATTTTAAGGTTCACCCAACAACTTAAAACTGAATTATGTCTTCTGTTAACAAGCTGAGCAGTGCTAACTATAACATTACTAACTGAGTGTTAAGCCTTTTTCTCTAGTGGAGGTTCCCTGTTTGATCACTTACTTTGCCTACCGCTGCTTTAATTGTTCACCTGGATAAGTGAAAAAGCAATATTGTTATAACCCAAATACCACGCAACTCTTTGCCCGTCGCAAAATTACTTCCTCTCCTTGGGTAATATTTACTTTTTTTCACCGAAGTTTCTGCATGGCTGAAGATGGATCCACGTCGAAGTCTGTTATCGATGAAAGCAAATTTTATTATTTAAGGAAATAATAAGAACTTGAGCCCAAATCTGCTCCTGGTTGACGAAAGACAATGTGGATCAAAGGATCATCTCAAGAATCTCATTTAAATTGAGGGGTCGCCATTTTGGTGCGATTTTCGCTGCGATTGACCAGTCAAAGAAGTGGTTTCTCTTGGGGAACAACTGACGTAACCTCCCTACAGAGGGTCAATGGTGACTCTTCGAAGAAAATCGCCGATAAATTACATCAAAATTCGAGTAGGTTCGAAACAAAACCGCCACTTGTTTATCTGGGTGATTTGAAATCTTAGCAAGAATTGCACTAAATATTATCGCTAGAGTGACATAGCCTTTGAGCTCGGATGTATTTGCAGTTATCGCTTCCCTCCGCCCGTAAAAATTGGGGAGAAGTGTTATCCGAGTTCGATGAATTTGATGAACACATCTCATCCTGGTTAACCTGTGACCTCATTTCCATGATCCCCAGTGCCCTGTCGCTTAACATGGCTGCAAATTGACCCTCCTGGGTAGAGCTACCGAAACAATGCTATCTCATTGACCGTCAAACTCATTTTATACAATAGACCTTGTTACATGGTCTATTTTCCAAAATAAGACTTGGTCTAACAATACCATTATTTTATCGGCTCTTTTGTATAATTGAGTCAAGGTACTCGCGCTTTACTTTGCTGCCTTCGTCATCACGTTTGGTACAGTACATAGTTACGATTACCGGCATGGTTTAGTTCTGGAGACAAACAGGGAAATGAAAAATGAGTCCACTTTGCAATATCATTGTCGATTGAGCGTATTACGGACAGTAACGTCGCCGTAAAACATAACGAAAATAATATACGGAGCCAAGGTTAACAGCAGAAAGGACTCAAAGGTTTGACCAACATGAGGCAGATTACCGTTGTCAAGTTCTAGTCTTTCCTTTATAGCTAAGAAGTAAGGGATGTGTTCTTTCCCCACATGCGAAGCACCACAGTTTGCTTAGAACTAAGCCCTTTATTCCTTAAAGGAGTGGGCACCCTGCGAACAGAGGCTATCCCCCTCCCTGAAATATCATAATGTTTAGGGGCCAGGGTCAATTCAGTTCTTCAACTGACTTGATCCTCTTAGCAGTTTGACCCGTGTTCAATCCGGCCTGTTGTTCGTATTAAAAGTTTACTAGCTGATGTTATTTCATGTCCATTATCCAAGACGTTTCTCTCCGTTTTTCAATTGTCCGTAAACCCTAAAACTTCCTTGAACCTCAAACCCTGGAACGTCAAGACTGGAAGCGAAAGCTTTCAAGACGGCTAGGACTTAGGACCAGCCAAAAAAGAAGTTAGTAACCCAACACCAAGACTTCAGATTCCGAGTATGGAATGCAACTGAACACACAAAACAACAACAACTTCAATACAAATCAAACAGATAACAAGGGGAAAAAGTAGACTAAAAAGGAAAAAGGGAATATTTCACGCAACTTGGAGTGCTAATCAAGGCGGCGGTGAAGTGGAGAACAAAGAAAAAAAAAAGAAAAAAAACAATACTTTCTCAGTTTATTATTTTTTTGTTTTCACAAGTTTTTATCTCCCACTTAGACAAATTTAATTCTTAAACAGGGGAAAGCAAGAAGACGGAGAGAAGGACACTTTCGTTTTACGTTAACAAACAAGTGTTAAATGATTTCTTAAGAGCTCATAAATTTACCTTTCCGTAATGTTAATGGTTTAAAATTGACTGAATACTAAGGTGAAAGTCAACAAGTTGATGCTGAGTTATGGCCTCAAGCAGTGTCTTCTTCAATTCCTGACATCATCAAAATGATGGATGACATCATGGTGGATAGTGAGAAAGTGGCAGGTCAGTGATAAAGAAGGCAACTCTCATGTATAGCAGTGTTTTACAGTACGTTTACATAAATTTTATCTAGGTGAAAACGCCAGTCGTTTCTGAAAGTTTGGTAAATTACTAAACGTTCTGTGTTTACATTAAAATGTATAATATAGTTACAGTAAATGATCTAATAGAAGCCCCCTCCAAAATAAACGCCTCTTGTCCAATAAACTCCCCCTCTACTTTTTTAAGTTTGTATTAGACGCACCTCTCTAAAGAGAGCCCCCTTTCTAATAGACGTCCTGCATGGTAATTGGTGTAAAACGCTAGGAAGTAGAGTTAATTTAGACCAAATTAATTTCATTTGTACGTATCAATGGATACACCCAATGCAAAAATGGCTGCCAGTTTAATATTCGTTTGTTTAAATTAAAATTCGCCCAACTAGCCTCGCTTGAGATAAGGTAAACTTTCGAATTGGAGAACGAGGCTAGTTAGGCTTAATGAAATTCAAACAAAAGAATAATAATCTGGCAGACATTTTAGCACTGGTTGTATAGGCTGCATATTATGAGAATAAACGCCTCTCTCTTTAGAACGCCTCCAATCTATTAAACGCCTTACGGTATGGCATGCATGCAAAAGGCTCAGTCCTAGTTTTCCTAGGATTCTGTTACTTTTCGTTACGTTACGTTACATGGCGTTATTTGTACTGTTATGTTGATTCTCCAGTGATGGAAGTCGCCCGTCGGCTTGTGTGGAGATGTTTAGTTGATGATCCAGTCCTTTTCTTCAGAACTATTTTGGAGCAGTTTACGAAGAAAGACAAACAGGTCTGTTTAAATTGTCTTAATTGCCTGAACTCATAAAGACCTGTCTGATTTGTAGAAATTGGAATCAACTTTCAGGGACGCGAAGTCAAACTTAGAACGGTAAACTTCTTCATAAACACTCACCCCAAACCAATCTCTTAATGCTCTTTATCCTCTAATATGGAATTCACAGTCGACTATTTCTTAACGGACAGCTCTAGAAGACGGGCACCTTAGTAAAACAAACACCTTGAGTTGGTTCCTGCCTTGGCGGGTGCACGATATACCAAGTGAATAGCATGCAAGGCTCGAGTTGCGTCACAAACAACACAACAATGATCCCTAGCCCTTACACAATAACACAATAAACTCCACACAATACAACGACACAATAGTGCATATATTGACTTGATATATCGAGCATCACCCCTGCCTTTCTTTACTCCCCTTGAGTCGCTTTGACTATCGCTACCCAGCTGCTCTCGACAGTTCTTAGACACTCTGACAGGGATCTTATGTCTTTTTCAATCCGCTTTAAACAGGAAGAACATGTCTCCCTAATACGGAAATTGCTGCTGTACATCACAGAGCTGCCTCCCACGTCTTCGAGATTCCTCATCAACAATCTGGTCAGTAAGACAGATATCAACCACAGATAAAAAAAACTTAACTAACGTTTATGCCTATACCGTTATTTATGAAGAAGGCAAAGTCCATTCTTATTTTCAGTCTATTTGCCTGTTAATTAATTATACAGTTAGTACTCTGTTGTGTTTTACATGGGTACCTCCCATTTACATGAGAAAACCAGAAATTCCGGTTGGAAAATCTAATGGCTCGCGCCATTCCGTTTGGGAAGCTTCAGAAAATATGGGCCGTGATTTGATGCGATGCAGTTTTTCTACTATTTTTAGTCTCTTAAGTACTTTTGGATATACTTTGTAACAGGTCGTTCCCCCACCGCGTCAATTTTTATAGTTTTATGTTTATGCACAAGATTTCCCCTCGGGTAGTTTGTGTAAATAGTAAGCGTTCCATGTCCTCAAATTCGCAAAAGTCAAACCTGCAATGGTGTTACAGAAAGACAAATGGCAAACAAAGAGTAGCGTTTAAAATGTGAGCTTGTAAATCCCTCTAGCCTCCTCAGCTCAGAGGTTATAGAGCGGTTATTAGATGGAAAGTAGTAGGTTTTGTGTTTCTCCGGTTTGGGATTAGCTTAAAGATCACGCGCCAATTTTTCGACCAGTTAGCAGTCGTGAGTTGGTCATACGTGTTTTCCCACGCCTGGGCACCGGTTACATTTCTTGCCTCGAGCTCTGATTGGTTCATTTGATTATCTGTGCGTTTTGTGATTGGGCAAAGTATTTACTTTGTTTCTGGTTTAACTTGTGTAACTTCACAAATTTGACCATTTCCTTTTAGAAAAGAAGTAATTCTTCATAAACCAGCAAAACGTCGAGAATTCCCTTCAACTCTCGACCCCCATGTAGAGCTTTTTGCGGTGATTGCTGCTTATATTTTCAACTTTCGCCCCAAGTAAGGGAATCCAAGACAGTCTTGGGTTCTGGATTCCTCGCTGTGGACTCTGGATTCCGGATTCTCTCTCAATGGAATTTCCATTCCGGATACCAATCGTTAGTAGGATTCCGGACTCCTTGAGCTGTATCCCGGATTCCACAAGCAAAATTTCCCGCATTCCAGATTCCACAAGCAAAATTCCCGGATTCGGGATTCCACAAGTAAAATTTCCCGTATTCCAGATTCAACAAGCAAAAATTTCCCGGATTCCAGATCACACAAGCAAAAATTTCCCGGATTCCAGATTCCACAAGCAAAAATTTCCTGGAATCTGGGATCCGGATTCCCTTACCTGAGGCCACAACTTCGTCTCTCCTTCGAACAATTTTGTGGGTGTGACAAGAAGAATTTCTTTTGCTATTTATTCCCCATAAAATAACCTTTATTTTCCCAAATCTTTCTGATTTTAGATCGGTGTAGCAATGTACTACGCAAGGACAAATAAGCCTGGGACCCAGGACTCTCTCGCATTGGTGCTATCGCTGTTGTGGCAGGTATTGTCATGCCCATTATGTCTCTGTTCGCACAACAAACTGCGTTCACATTTAAAAAAAAAAGAAGAAGAATTTGTTTGAAGCGTCTCTCATTCCTCGAAGCCGCGCAATGAAAAATAAACCTCGTATGCGTATGTCTTCCGTTTTTGTTTTTTTTCGGTGACTTCTGAAACTATCTTGTTTATTTATTCATCCACTCATTAAAGTATTTAAATTCAAAAGCTAAGTTCTAACAAGAAAGACAACAAATTCGGAACAACGAAGTTTTAAAAGCAGAGAGGACACGGGACACCGCAATAGTAAACACGGATTCCCTAGAAAGTTCAGGGCAATAGAAAAAAAATGACAATACTGAATTGGCGATGATGACTGGAGAGAAAAAAAGTTAGAACACTTGTGAGTTGACTTTTATAATCGGTGTAGTCTTCTCAAATTGCTTTCTTAGTCTTGAAGCGCACGCCTGTTGTTTCAGTGTAAGTTTATTGCTAATTTGTAATACTGTTTTTATGGATAGGCCGTACCAAGTGTTCGTGGATTTTTGTTCAAAGATCTCAAGCAGTGCCTGAGGAAGGAACACTGTGATGTAAGTTGTTGTAGTTATTGTTATCGTTTCTCAAAAGATCTCCAAATGGTCAATCTTAGCGTTTTATGAGTTAACGATGAGGCTGCTGATTCGATTCCTTTTCACTTTTTGTTTTTACCATTAGAACGCACTGCGTGTCAGCTCAAATGTTCCCGGAGCAAAGGTAAATCATTTTTATACCGTAAATCAGTTACACGAAATGTTAAAGCTACATTTTATGTACTACTCATGAAAGGGGCCATAATTAGTTTTACTATACTTCTCCATTCTTAATTTCTTTGCTAACCTTACATACATGTAGTTTTTGTCCAAAAACTTTGTATTAATTTATATTGTACAACTGATGTATCGTTTTTTTATACAATGAAGTAAATACAAGCACAAATACAAATACTCGTGATAAAGTTAAAAATCATGTCAGGCAGCGAGCAGAGGCAACTGTTTAAGCACCGTTCTGTACTTTTGTTTTTAGAAACTCAGTGTAATCCTTCCTGATCAAGACAACAATGACGAAAACGAAGAAGATCAGGAGAAAACTAAAGAAACAGTTCCTGTTCACGATGTAGGTTTCTTTCTTTTTTGTCGATTACTTTAGCAGGAATTCTGTTGTTGACGTTATTACATTATTACTAACGATATAGTTTAGGCTTGCATACCAGCCAGTGCCGGATCCAGGCCTCGCTCGAGATAATTGGAGGCCTGGTCATCCAGATCCTGAGATAAGAGGGGGGGGGGGGAAGTGGGCGGGCCCCTCCCCTGGATCCGCCACTGCCGGCTACGGTTTACAAAATATCCCTCACTTTGCGTGACACAACGTGACGTTAGGGAGTTTAGGCAACGAGAACGGAAATAGGTTTAGATGAGCAAAACAACAACTTTGCACGTGCATTACGCTTTTATGTACATTTCTTTGCCGTCACTGCACGACTGCGACGTGAAAATACCTAATTTCGTGTTTTGTTTTTGTTTTCGCTTTTTTCCTGAACTTCGATACAGTCTTTTAGAAATCAACTCCAGAAGAATTTGCCAACATTTGACGAACTGAACGGGGTAGAATAAGCGCGATAACTTTTAAAGCCACGCGAATTCACTTTTCAAGTGACGTTTTCGTAGTCGTCGCCGTCGTTGTTGCTTGCCAAGGCTAAGAGCGAAGCGTCCGTTTGTTTGCTTTTAATCAATTAAAAGCAAAAAATTAACTAATTTTAAAACAAAACGAGAAAGTTATGAATTAAATCCGATCACAGTATTAGTCTTGGAGAGATTCTTACCCCTTTACTGTAAGTTACAGTTTTTGTTTCTTCTGGCGAAAAGACCCAGGAAGATTGATAAGATCATAATTTTCCTTATGAATAACCATAATTTTGCTGTCTTTTCGTGTTGTCAAAATGTTGTGTATTTTATTACGGTTAAATCGGCATAAACTTAACAACAATATATAACGTATTCCAAAAAAGCGAAGTCGCTTTTTTGCAAATTTACGATTCTGTCCGTAAAATAATTGCTGTCGTATTTCATTTTGTGGCGGCAGTTACAGAACACGATAATTTTCAAACTTAACTGAAATGTAAAGAAGGCTTCAGTTGTCGGCAAGTAGCCCCTTGGGGAACAAGGGATGGCACGGTGAGAAGAGCGCTCGCCTCCCGCCATTGTTGCCCGCGTTTAAATCCCAGCGTCGACGCCACATGTGGGTTGAGCGCCGCTATTATCAACAAAATAAAGTTCTGTTTAAAAAAAATTCCCAAAGCAATATCCTTTTTCTAGTAGCGCCACACAACTTTGGCTAAAAAGGTTTCTTGTAAAACTCAGAGTCAGCAAGATATCAGCACCAAAATCATTTCAGGAATGTTATAGTGTTTAAAGGAAACAGCTTTATATCTGGCGTTTGTGGATTGCTCTTATGTCCTAATCTTTGCTGTGATTGCTAACGAAATGTTTCAGGTGTTCACAGTTTCTGTAGTCTCCTACGCAGCGGTTGTTTGTCTCGTCACGCAACGCTCGTGGCATTAGCCCTGAAGCTGCGTGACACGGTTACCCTTATTAACCAATAGCTCTTGTAAAACTTGCATTTAAAGGAAATGACCTTTGGTAAGGTGCTTGAATCATTCAAATCACGACTCCAAAGTGCAAAAGAAGATCAAGAATTATACCTTATTGACAAGAAATCAGGTAAGCCAGGGCACATTTAGTGGATCGAAACACTAACGATACTACCCTTTCCTCCTTTCCGAGAGGTTCGCTAAGAAATTCTTTTTGGTAAGGGTGGTGGGGGGGGGGGGTATGGTAGGTCAATTTTGTAGTGAAAATAAAGTGGAATTTCCTAATGGGTGGGGATGGGGGGATAAGAGATTCGCAAGAAGAGCTCTCTTCTTCGCAGTAAATTGATTGATTTAAAAGACTTTTACTAGAGCCGGTAGAAACCTACAGGAGTTTAAACCTCTCTTACTCCCTAAAAGGATCATATTGTAGGCAAGCAAAAGGGGAACTATGTCACTTATATTTGCAAATAGAGAACACTTTTTAAGATGCCGAATTGGCGTGTCGAATGTTTATAGCTGAAAATGCATTTTTGTGTTTTACCTCTTTTAATTTAATCCAGTGGATTATTTTGCAATCCAGAATATATTGAAACAACTTCCTCTGGCATTTTAGATCAGATACTTGAAGAGAGATACCACGTTAGAGATGTGTACACTCAGCGTAAAGGGTTTCCTAGCCCACTGCTGTTACTAGAATTCCAGGATCCAGAAGTTGCGTTTAACAAGAGACAGGCACAGGTATACCAATAAGTATTTCAAGGGACAAACACAAGTATACCAATAAGGATTGCTAGAGGCAAGCACAGGTATATCAGTGATAGATTTTACACGAGACAAGAACAGCTCTATCGATAAGTTTAACAAGAGTTAAGCAAAGGTAAACCAATAGGTTTTAAAAGGGACTGGCAAAACAGTATACCAGTAAGCCTAGCAAGAGACAAGTCCAGTTATACAAATAAGCTAAACTGGAGATAAGCAACGGTATACCCATACGGTTGTTTTCCAGAAGCATAAACTTATCTCGTTCAGTTGCTTGTACAAGAACTTCGTTTACTAGGTTTACATAGAATTTTTAGGAGTACCCTCCCTTAACTCCGCTACAGACATAAGAGTTTCATCATGCACAGACTCAAAAGTTTTGAAGCATAATAAACAGTACTACAAGAAGGCAGTGCTCAGTAACTCTCACATGAAGTTTACACTTTAGGATTTCATCTTCAGTCTCAAAAGTTACAGCCAACTTGTACAGCATACCAAACGATACCACCGTAAATATTGTTTCTCTAAGAAGATTTCACCTACGAAATCAAACTTAAAAACCGCAGATATAGTAAACGGTAATCCAAGATATATCACATGCAAACATCAAGTTCCAACAATAACTTTTGGAAAGTAGGAAGAGTCAATTCGAAAAGTCGTTAAAAATTTACCTAAGCTAACCACAATATCGTGTGGTCTTCTAGGCCTTCACAGCCAAGATAGCTGAGATTGGTCGAGTTCTGCTGACGTCATCAATGCTAAATGCTTTGCCTAATCAGGTAATATTTTGCCGACGATATTTGCTTCTAAGTTTCAAGCCAATTTTGTTTCCAGAACCCTTGCTCTGCCAGGCTGTTGCTGGGGAGACTGAAGGGTTAAGATTAATTAAAACAGTGATGAGGCACGCAAATTTGGGTTGAAAAGTCTATCTCGTACTCAACGTAGTTCTTGTAGAGTCCAATATTATAAATACCTATTGTTTTTCTCACGATGTAGTAGGAGATCAAAAACAAAACGCATTGCGTAATCAGTTGACCTCGTCGCCTGAAGAGCGGAAACTTGTACCTGCCAGGATAAATGACCAAAACCAATTCCAGTACATGACTACCCATTGTTGATCTGTTAATCGGTATCTCAATTTACTTCTAGTGATGGTTGTATCCCTTTTTCTTTCTAAAGTTTCTTGATGGTTTGATTCCACTTTTCTTTTATATTTTTGTTCAGAAACACATTTCGTTTCTTCATGGAGAGTTTAGTCGCCAGATTTCATTTCCTCGTAAAGCTCTTGACTGCGATTTCTCTTTGTACGCTGGAGGTTCAAAGGGCCGGGTAAGTAAAACTGTATACTTTTCACATCAGTGGCTACCTTTTTTGGCTTTTTGCAAGAGCGAAAAATTTTTGTAAAATTATATTTATTTATTTGTTGACTTACCTAATATTTATTTATTTATTATTGATGGGGCATTCATAAGCTGTTTTCTTTTGACTGATAATGACAGTCGAGAATGTCGAAACGTCGTCATACTTAACACATTTTTAAAAATTTCTTAAAATGTTTTAAAGAAAAGTTTTATCTCAATTTTTTTATAGCTAAATGTTTGAAAAAAATCACTTCTTTTAATTAATTGATTAATTTATTTATCTATTTATTGTATTTATTAGTTTTGGCAACTTTTGCAGGGTAACCGCAACAGAATAAATCCGATTACTGCAGGTCCCGCCCGTAACAGTAACCCCCCTAATCCGGGTTCTACGGCCCATACTTCTCTAAGCTTATCAACTGTTTCCCCACCCCCTCTCCCCCCTTTATACCGTACCGGAACAGGTAGAAAAGGTAGTGATTTGTGATGATCGTTTATTTTCAGGAACTTGCAGCTCTTGATGTTATTCATAAAAGTGTCTGGGTCAAGGTAAGTCATTCGCTTGGTTTTCGAGCATGGTTTGATTTTATACCTGTACAGTTTATAATGGTAATATGACTGTGTGTTGTCCAATACGGTCTGTAATCTTACAGTGATTAACAAACTCGGACGACCTTGTTGCGGGAGTCCGATTTGTTGTGAATCACGAGCCTAGTTACAGACCGAATTGGACGACACGAATCCCGTTTTCCAATTAATCATAACCATAACAATTTCCGAGAAAAAACAAATCCATTCTTTTTAGGGATAGAGCTTCTTGCTTTTCTTTTTTTTTTTGTCGAGCTTGCTTCAGCAGCGAGACTTTAGAAATGCAAGCGTTTCTCTTTTTTTGTTTTTCGTGTGTGCGCGCCAAAAGGGAAATCATAGTCCCAGGCGTTCCTAGCGGTGACCGTGGAAACTGAGGATAAATATCGTGACGTGGCGAACAACATTATTCAAAATATTTCGAGCTTTTCCGCAACGGGTCGGTCCACGAAATCTATCGCTTGAAAGTGTTGATTACTTTAAAACAAGTGAATACCTCAGTGGTCGAAGAAAAGAAGAATCTTTATGAGCAAAACTTCAGCCAAGCTTCGATGGAGAGGCTAATTGGTCAGGTGTTGTAAACTTTCATTGTATGCAAATGAGTCTTGTGAGGAGCATGCGGTTTTTTTCGGCGATTATTGAAATGACGTGCCATGTTCATCAAGTTTTTTCTCTTTGCAATGATGTAATTTCTCCCGATTTTCGTGTATTTATACACGTGCACTCAATCAATTCTGAATACGATATAACAAGTAAATGTGCTAAAGAATACTCGACCGTCGATAAAGTAGGGCTGCAAAACGTTTAGCGAGGAATTTCCGTTTCGTGAAGAAGCAATTGTCTCCTAATTTCTTTTCTAATCTCCCAGCACTAAGCTCGACTTATGGCTTTTTAAGAGCGTTTTTTGGGGGTATTAAAATACCAATTATCCGAAATTAGAGAAAATATCACTGGCGGAGACACTGTCTAAAGTTACACATTTGTCTGTGTCGGGAAATCCTCAGTTTGGTAGGGTAAATGGCTGTTGTTATGCTTATTGTGATAAATTCTGTGATTGGTGGATTTAGCTGAGTACTCGTAATATGATTGGCCGATGTAATTGTCCGATTACAGCCAACTGCCTGATTACACTGTCCGATTACAACCGTATACAATGATTGGTGAAAAATAAAGCAGTTAATGCACCAATCAAATTTGAGGAAATTGCAATAGTTGTGATTAAATCTGTTATCGGCCTTATGACCTATAAACTGGTATAGTATTTATAGTACGTATCATATTTCATTTTCAGTAAAGGATATTTAAATGTTGTAGTGAGTTGGCACGTTCAAAAACGATAACATTTTCTGGAATTTCTAATGATTTTTAAGAGATTGTCACTTGCACAGTGAAAACTTTCCGATAAAAATCTCTCTCCAACTATAAACCCAGCCCCATCCATAAATAAGAAACGCTTAGTATTCGAACACCTTTTTCTGTTTAGGCTCAATGACAGACCTTATTTGTTCTCTCAGAGATTTTGTGCGTAGCCTTAAAAAACCTTTGTTTTCACAAACTTTTCCTCTCCATGATTGGGGATTCAGAAGCCAGTAAAGGCAAATGCTTGTGTCCAATTTTTTCCTCATTTTCACACGCTTCTTGCTATCTAATCAAGATACAACATGCCTTTTTCAAATATCGTTCAAGGTACGAAATCTTTAATATACATGGTGTTTTAAACTTAGAATTTTACCAACAAGGTGTGGGTTAATCTACAGTTTTGTCACCCTGATTGCTGAAATTTTCTTGAAAAACTCATCAATAATTTATACGTGCCCCTCAAAATTATTGTCACGCTTGTCACACATGCTTTTCCGTCTTCTTTCCCCTCCCGATCTGTTGCGTAAGTTCACTAATATCTGAGGACAGATGACGCCTTCTTTTAGCGGGTGAAAGACCTTTGAGTAGAGGTCATGGTATTGAGTAAGAGCCTAACATGAAATGTTCTCTTTCCAGCTGATTACATCACTTTTCCAATGCATGTCGACGGATTTCCCATGGGGCTCTGCGGATCTCAATCTGTTTCTGAACGTAATCAATGGAGCTATCTTACTTCATTGCGAAGATGCCGCCGTGTTGCGTCTGTGTCTTGCAGCTTTCGTAAACATTGCTGTTCATTTCAGTAACATCTTTGCTAGCAATGGGTAAGATTGAGTAGCAGTCGATTTATAAAGATAGTTGTCATTTGTTGGATGAGGTCAAGAACCGTAGCGATAATTATCAATGCTTCGGTTTGTATAATTTGAGTCCAACTTTTTTTTCTTTTTGCAATGTTAACCAAGAAGTAAACAACAACTGATACTAAACGGCAAATCAACATTCCTCTAACCTTTTGACAACTTTTCCACGCTGTAACAGTTTCCGAACCAACCTTACAAATTTGGTTTTCGAAGCTGAATTCAAAGGCCTCTGGTTTTTAAGAAAACTTTTGAAAGATCTTTGAAATGACGAAAATAGTTGCTCTAACTGTTGGCAGCTTCTTGAATGTTGTTTTACGATTATCAGCACATGACGTCACTTTTGCATTCACAAATGCTATTGCTTGCAAAAATGACGTCATTGGCGTCACTTACTAACGTCACTTCTACATCTATAAAAACTATTGACTGTAGATAGTTAGCCAACAAAAGTAATGTCGATTGGTCATGAGTAGTGCGCCTGTGGCCGATCAAAATTAAGATACTGTCGGAAGTGCATAATTGTCACGTATTAAAGCTAGTTCTAACTTTTGATTCTGTGACTGAAATCCGAAAGTGTGATCTTTCAAATGGGACCTCCGTATTTTTGCAAAACGGAGTTTTTGGTAAATAATGTCCTTGCCACCTTTGGGATTAAATAGCTTCTCAAATAAGGTGCTGCATCCCTTCGGTAACAATGGGGCGCTTCTTCTTTCTTATTGTTTTGTGACTGGAGATGTCCAAAAATGTTGAGAGCTCATATAACTAACGTTGCTATTAAAAAGCGCCGCTGCTCTCTTTCGAGGTGACCAGTATTTATGGTACGCAAATGTATTGGAACGATAGAAAGTGTTATCGTAAGAAAAAGGATCAGCTCTCACGACAAAATTTTATTTGTCTTTCTGAACCTAGATAGGGAACCTAGGAATTCAACTCCAAGGGGGTTCGCCTACTTTTGATAAAGTAAATGGGTAGATATAATCGCGATAAAAACTGGAAGAATGTAAATTCACTTTTTAAACGACGTCTTCACTGCCATCGCGTTGTCGGATCGTAAAGTCCCTAACATGGCCAACGTGCCGTCTGGTGATAACGTTCTGTACACATACTTTAGGCTACGTTTTTTTTTTTCGTCATGCTGTTGTTTGATATCCCAGCAAACGCCGCGCCCCTGTTTGGTAAGAAACGTTTAAGGAGGAAAAATTAACATAATATTTTTGCAGGTATCAGTACATCTTTCCCTCCCTGCTCCAAGTCTACTCACATCACGAGACAAACGAAATGGTTACTACGGCAATTGAGGTAAGCTGACGGACGGACGGACAGACGGATTTTCTGTTCAAAGCAAAATTTGATGAAATTGAAAGTACCTCGATCGGCTTAGCTTTCTTTAAATGGTTAGAAACATCTTCCCATTTTGTTAACCAACTACAATCCTGGTCAAGATTAACAGTTTTACGCTGTTTGACTGGATAAGAACAACCACGCCAGTAAGAAACCAGACCAGCTAAACGTGACTTGCTCCTACTCGTTTTTCCGCGTTTTCGACACCGCGTGTTTAGTTAAAAAAATTCTTACCATCTTTTCAAGGAAGACGTTAGATAACAATGAGCTCAACCAGGTTGGCGTTCAGCGGTTTTAGTGAAAACAAGGGTTTGGGTCAAGAGGTGCTCAGTCTAGCGGGCTCATAAAACATGGTCTCGGTCCTCGTTATTTAAGGATTTTCTCTTTTCAACAAACAAGAAGGTAAACGCAAATTAGTTCTGAAAATATCCTTGTTTGTTTTCCCAATTTTTTTGCTTCCACGCTTATTTGTTTTAAGTCATAACTAATTAATAGTAAGGCCCCTTAGGTATCACCGTTTGTGCTCTTTTTGTTGCTATTTGTGGCGCTGTAGGTTTTTTGGTCGAATACGTTATTGTTTTTACTTAGTATGATTACAGTAGATGACAGCAAAATCGCAACCCCCGTAACGTCTTATTTCCTTTTTCCTCTCATTCACAGTTTGCCATGAAGCAGTTCTACATCCTTCATCAAAAGCCTTGTCTTCTGCAGGTAAAAGTTACTTACAACTTAAATGATTTTGTCGTCACATATTTCTTTACTCTACTCAGGTGATTAGGAACTTCTTGTCTTTTAGGCGTTCTAAGTATCACATAAGGCACTAAAATAGCAAAGGTTATTGAGTAGATGTAGTTTGCAAAACTGGTGTACACAGTTTAAGCGTCTATCGGTCCTCGCGAAGCCCTTATCCAAAAACATTTCCACATTTGATAACCCTGAAAGAAGGATTGAATTGCTGCAGGAGAGAGTCACTAAATCTAACTGCAACAAGACTTAATAGGCATGAACTGACAACACAAGACCCACGTTGCCGTGCAATACCTAGCATCTTCAACACCGTTATCGCCTTTACGTCACCGTACTTCGAAAGTGTGTAGTCCTCGTTGACTTAAAATGCGCTTGCAGTGTTGAAGATATGATACTGGGTGTCGCACGAGGAGGTTGGTCTTGTGTTGCTCAAAGAAAGCCTGATGTTTGTTTTTCTGTATTTTGTAGTTGTTTGCTAGTGTGGCACCGATTCTTCTCGTTGAGACAAGGGCAGATGGAGATGAAGAGGAAGCCGAACTAGAGGATCTTAGTGGCAAGGTAAAAAGCAATCTTAATTATTATCATATACTTGGGTGGAATATGACAGTTATGGAGAGTGCAGTGCAGTATTGGACTGTTGTTGAGATTTACTAACTAGCTCATTTTTTATCTTAATAGATTTCCTTGGGCCTGGGCCAAACGTAGAACTGTTCATGAGACGACCTAGCCTCTGTACAGAACCCTTAGTAGAAGGGGGGGGGGGAAGGGTAGTTTGTACACAGGCTAGAGACGACCCAAACTTTGTGAGTTAAGTTCAAGATTAGTTCGACGTCTGGCTCAGTTAAGTTTATCTGAATGAGTTTGGATCGACCAGCACGTTCTATCCGTCAGACAGATAGAACGTCTGAACATCGTCTCTAGGACATACGTCGTTCTTCACGTGCGACGAACTTAACTGATAAAGTAAAACTTTGTATGATAGTGTATATTTAACCTCTTCCGGGAGAATTTTTTTTTACTGATCTGATTCAGTTGATTGGTTCGACGCGTCACAATACAGGTCGACCCAAATTAGAGTTGGGTTCGTCTCGTGAAAAGTTCGACGTTTGGCGCAGGCCTTAGTCCTTTGGTTTTCCGGAGTTTTGACACCTGTTTGTTAATTATTTATACGTTTATAAGTTTTTTTTGTCTTATTCATCAGATCCCTTCTAAGTGCCTGTTCTCCTTACTGGCTTCACTGGACAGACCTTCCCCTGACAGTTTAGAAGTGTTAGATCTGGTGCGAGCTGAGAAACCGCTTAAACCCATGGTAAGAAAGCTGTCTGGGCTTTATGAACATTTGCTTTCGTTGTTGTTGCTGTTATTGTTTTTGTAGGGTTCAATCTCTTGTACAGCATTGTAGATTTTTACAACAAGTTGACACATGTAGCCGTGTAAGTTTGGCGTTTTTTGGTTGCCCATTGCAAATGACTGACAAATCAATACGAAGCTCTAAAGTTGGCTCACTTAAAAAGTGTCGTTAAAAAAGACTGGACTAAAGGCGCGTTTGAACATTGATTTAACGAGCGTCAGAAAAGTGAAGACGCAACTTGTTATATGGTCGGGAAAACAAGCAGTTAGAATCGAGTGCTGGAAGCCGCAGTGAAAATGCGAGAAAACCTTCAGACAGAACCAAGTGGAAAAATTGTGCACCGGTTAATTGCGGGCGACAGGAGGAGCCCGCAATTCTAATCTCCGGGTTGTTATTACGCATGCGTCGCATGTATGTAGGCAGCAGTCGTTTGGACTTCCATTAAGAATGAATGGAATGCACAGAACGTACTTTGATGACGCGCGTTTGGACCTTCTATCACTCGTAATCTGGTCACGCCTGTTTTGACTATCTGTCACGTGAAACTCACGCAAAGCACAGCGTTCGAACAAAAGCGTTTTGACCTTCGGTCGTTGTCGCGCGCTCTCCGTAACCTTTGGCTATTACTAGTAATAATAATAAAGTCCTTTGTTTACCGTCGGCAGTATTTATAGCACTAATGATATTGGGACCAAGGAAATGTCTGAAAGAAATAATTCAAATCATATCTAACAGGGTTAAGAATCCCAACTGGCCGAAGGCAAACCAGCTGGCTATTTACAAGCGCGATCGAGAATTTGAACTTGAGACTACCGTGAACAAATGCAGCTAGCGGTCAGAGCGGAACTTGAACTCGGGGCCTCCGAATAAGTCCAGCGCTCTAACCGCTCGGCCAAGCTGCCCCCACAAAGAATCAACTTTGTCTACTTCCATCGTGTGCGAAGCTCTTTGTTGGTCTTGTCGAAGAAAAAAAATCTCCAATTCGAAAAATCTTTAATTAAATTGGAATAAGGAAGCAAGGATGTTGTATTGGAGATATCACTTGCATTCTACCATTTTGGCGAGGGTTCAAGTCCCTGAGGTGACGTTGTCTGCGGGTCGAGTTGGTTGTTGATTCCCGCCGTTTCTTTGAGAGGTTTTCCCCTTGATACTCGCGTTTTCCTCGGCCTATCGCTTCCAAATTCCAAAACTTAAGGCCAGGCTCTGGATAGCTCATAATTAGAGTTTGGTGGCTAAAGATATTGCATGTACGTTTGCATTTTTGGTCGCCCATGATCTGTTTTGGCAAAATTGATAGCTCTAGTCTTCCTTGTGAGTGTTTTAACACTTTGCCAACACGTTCGTTAAAGGATCAAATACGCTCTGAGTGTAATTCATTGTTTGCGTCCTGTTTTTAACTTCTTTTGCTATGGTTTCTTTATTTTAGGACTCTTGTTACGAAAGTTCCACTGACCCTCCCGGGGTTAGTCAAGTTGACACAGCAGTCCGTTTGTGTGTGACCGTGGTGAACTTTGCTCCTGAGTCTAAAAGAGCCGTACAGATGGTGGTATGTTTCACTTTTCTTTTCGTTTCTTTTCTTTTTCATCGTCATTGTTCCAGTAGATCGTTTTAACTTAGCTGGTCAACAGCTGCGCAAGTTTCTTGGAACATAAGACAGTTTTTACATTAGAAAAGAGTTCAATGCCCACAGGATCCCTGTTGGTACGTGAACATGGCCGCCGTTTCATTGTTTTTCATAACAATATGGCGGCGGTGACGTCATGTGAAAACGATCTACTGGTTGCCAATAGTCCATTTGCACGATAAGATAAATTTAATAACTACCACAATCAGAATCCTTCGGGGTTTTAAATATGAAAGAAGAAATGAAATAAATTCTGGTCCTAGTGGTAAAAAGACGGTACAGTTAAGATGGCCTATTCGCCACTTGCACATCTCCCTTAATTCACCATATTTGCCCCCCAATTTTGCATAACCTGTGTTTTTCATTTTTCTTGTGTAATACAGCCGCCCAAGAGAAACTGAAAACAATTCTTCTGCAATTTTTTTTTTTTTTCTGGGGGGGGGGTGAGGTGCATTATGGGAGATGTGCAATGGCGAATAGCGGCCAAGTGTTAAATTTTGTTTAGCCTTATAATCAATTTTTTTCCACAAGAATTGTTTCATCTATATCACACGAAACTGCCGCTCAGTTGCTTGTAAGTTAGTGGTCAGACTTTTAGGGTTTCGTCCACTGGCTGAAAACTTAGAACTAGCATTTGATAAAAGACGTAAACAGTACAACAGGAAAGTGTTGCTCAGTGGCTTTCATTCGAATGTTCGCAGTAACAGAACGTTTCAACTAACTCGAAAGTTAGAACCACCTTACGCCGTAAGGTGGTTAGGTTTAGGCTTTTTTCCGTAGAAAAAGGAAACATAAAATTTTCTGATTCAAACATGTGATGTGAGCGTAGGGATAGAGAATAGAATTTGCATTTGAATTTTCGGGAAAATAACTCTGAAGCCCTTGTAATTTCAAAAAGACTCAAGTTCCCCTAGGATGGCCGAACAGATATAGCGCCGCTTAGAACGCATTTCTAGAGATCTAAAAGTACTCTGGATAGTGTAAAAAGTGTTTTCAGTGTACGTAGGAGGAGACGGTCGTTGTTGGGTCCCTGTTTATAAGGCCCTCCGAAAACTCCTTTAATACGAAGATGCTTAAACCCCAGCTTTATAAGGGGCAATTTACGGTGTGTTCCCTTTACAGATTGTCCTGTCGGCCATTCTGCCTCATTACCTTGCTTACCTGAAAACGGAGAACAGCTTTGGGGATAACGACGAAAAACTCAAGACAGAGTTAGCGGCTTTGACCTCCCTTATCACATCGATTAACGTCCTTGTGAAGAGCTCGGAGGTACTGACAAGGTAAGGCAACTTGTCTTAAGTTCAATGTTTTCTTGGAGCTGTCTTGAATCTAAAAGCAACCCTAGCGCCTTAAGCAAATGATAGAAAATGTGAGGAATGCATTCGAATTGGTTTCAATTGACCTTCACTTACCAGCAAAGTCAGAACCACTATTTATGGAAAAATAATCAGTACAACAGGAAGTATCGTATTGCTCTGTTGATTGTTCGCGTTTTACTTTTATCCCCTGACTCAAAAGTTAGAACGACCTTGCACAACATAATAAACAGCACCACAGGAAAGTACTGTTGAGCAGCTTTCATTGAATGGTTACACTTAAGGATTTTGTCCACAGGCTCAAAAGTTAAAACCACCACGCGGGTATGATACAAAAAACAACACTGCCCGCAAGAAGTACTCAGTAGCTTTCGCTTGATTGGTCAAACCACAGGATTTGGTCGACACTGATTCAGGACTTAGAAATAGCAACATGATAAACTATACCACCAGAAAGAATAGGCTGTGCCAGGCTCTCAAATAATTGGGACGACGCGAAAATAAAACAAACGCGCGCGATCTTGAGAAGTGGCGGTGGTGTGAAAAAACAGCGTCCTCTCTCTCTCTCCCTAGCCCCCGCGCTTTTTTGCATCACTTTTTACTCCACGACTGCGCTACTATCTTGGAGTGGAGCCTGGAACAGGCTAAAGAAAGTTCTGCTTAGTAACTGGGATATGTCTGGGGCGTGGGTTACGTGACTTAAGAACGAAATGATTATTTTTTTCTTCTTCTTTTTCTTCTTTTCCTCTTTCCAGGTCGTTTATTCACTTTCAGAGCTACAAATCTATTTCTGATAAATCTGGAATTTTCCCAGATCTAGCTTCCACCACGTCCCTCATGTTTGGACGAGGAAGCTTTAGCAGTGTCGACGCACCCAGTAATGCAGACGAAGTGGAGTTGGGTTAGTAGGATTTTGCTCCTTACAGCTTTCCGCTAAGGCCAGCACAAACCAAGGGTGGGGAAAGGGTTTTTTTGAAGGGTCAATGTCCTTTATGTGACAATCACCGTCGTAATTGAATTAAAAATTCCTGTCGCGTGAACAAAATTTTGCTCCCGAACATGTTGCGCGTGATAAAAGCGGCACGAGAGACATGTTGTGGCAAAGAGACGTCAATACAAAACATCCCCCTAGTGTGTCCCTACATTATGTTCAGACAACATGTCCCCAGAACATGTCCTTCTAACTTGCCGTGACAACATGGCCCCACTACATGTCCTTCTAACTTGCCGTGACAACATGGCCCCACTACATGTCCTTCTAACTTGCCGTAACAACATGGCCCCACTACATGTCCTTCTAACTTGCCGTGACAACATGGCCCCACTACATGTCCTTCTAACTTGCCGTGACAACATGGCCCCACTACATGTCCTTCTAACTTGCCATGACAACATGTCCCCACAACATGTCCTTCTAACTTGCCGTGACAACATGGCCCCACTACATGTCCTTCTAACTTGCCGTGACAACATGGCCCCACTACATGTCCTTCTAACTTGCCATGACAACATGTCCCCACAACATGTCCTTCTAACTTGCCGTGACAACATGGCCCCACTACATGTCCTTCTAACTTGCCGTGACAACATGGCCCCACTACATGTCCTTCTAACTTGCCATGACAACATGGCCCAACTACATGTCCTTCTAACTTGCCATGACAACATGGCCCCACTACATGTCCCTACAACATCTCCTCGCAACATGTCCCAGCATTATGTCCGCTTAACATGCCCCACAACATTCACCACAAGGCTTTGTTGCGCTAAACATCGTCGTTGTGAATTGTTCTGAGAAATATCGCGTTAAAGCTTTTGCTTTCTGGACGTTATGGTTGCCGTCGTCGTCTTGCCACCTTCATCAAAATTTTTGGTACATTTCTCTGCCGTCCTCTGCATAACCACGAGATAAAATTTCGTCATGCAACATTTTACGGAAGTTACAAATATACGGCGAAGAGTTTTTCCTTTTCCTCATGCCTCGTTTTACAGAGGTTGCAAATATGCCGCGAAGATTTTTCCCTTCTTTATTTCATTTGAACTGAAAATTTCCCAAATTTGACGAATTTAGCGAGTTGTAATTTTCGCGTAACAGTTTGAAAGAATGCAAAATAATTTTATGTCTGTGTTGTCGTTGCCATAGTTTCGCCGAGAAGCTTCTCAAAGTCCAAAGATTTAACAAGTCCCTTGCCCGCTATACGTCCGTGCACCTGCGGGAGAGTTCTAAAAAAAAACTTGGCCAGTTTTTTTTTAGTGATTTCGGTTTATGCTAATCCGTCTCTTACCTTTTGAAAAAATTATTACTTAAAACGCGGCTTAAAGAGGTTTTTTTTTTCACAACGTTAACACTTCCTGTATAGACAAACAGACGAGAGCCACATGGATGCCTTTCGTCCTAACATACACTACGATTCTTGACTAGTTCAGCGACTCTGATATACTTTGACTTTGCCCAGTAATAGGGACAATATACATTTAGTGAGACTGTAGTCCAGATTATCGTTATTTTTGTAGGCACGACCTTATGTAGCATTTGGACCGTAGTTTGTATTTGGTGGAAATTATTGAAGTTTGTTTTCTTTTGGCTTAATGAGCATTCAATAGATTTCATTCACAGATCTCCAGCTCGTTTTTCAGTAACACGCTCATATTGTTTGTTTTTGTTAACATCGTGACCTCGCAAATTTTTTCAATCAAAATTTTCTGTGGGGCTCAAACAAAGTTTTTGTTTTATGATCAGGGGCGTTTTGAAATTATTGACGGTTTTGAGCAAGAGCAGGTACTGTATACTTTCGAACTAGTGCCTTCTTTGGAGAAAAACAGAGGTAAACGGCAGAAATAAGGCGTAGTATTGTATTCAAATAAGCGCCCTTCTCTTAAAAAAGAATGCGGCGCTTATTTGGAGAACTTAAACTCTAGACTGTCAGTTCGTTAAGTATTGTAACGCGAAAAAAATGCAAATAAACACGTTCATTTGACGTGAAAAAGGAACATCACTAAAGAATTTGTTTTGCAGTGGTGACATTCCTGGAGAGTTCTTAGTAAATGAAACATTCATCCTGATGGTGGTCTGACATATCGTTTCATCTCTTGTTTTTGGATTTAGAGAAGAGGCGAATTTCTTGAATCTCCGCCATCTCGCGTGCAACTTTAATTCACTTTAGTTGGGCTGTCTATTATATTGGGGTGGTATCCCCTTTAGCGTCTAACCCTTAGATCGGGTGTCTACTTTCTAAGCTTTCACCTATCTTCTGTGGTCAAAGGCGATTACATCTTATGGCAGTCCTTCCTTGGAAAACTCGATCCCTTTCAATAGTGCGTGCCTAAACAGAGTGGATTTTTACTTTTTTAGCAGCAAGGATGGCACAGTTGGTGGCCTTCGGTGCGCGGGGTCCGAGTTCGATCCCCAGTGACATCTCATCGTTGTTTTGACTTCTCTCTTTTCTCAATAGCTTTAACTTGCTTTAATTTCCCTTAAAACGGAGCGTTCATGAAGAGAGGGCTTAAAAATAAGCGCACAGCTCAAGTTTATCAGTTGAATTACTGTCACGAGTTATCAATGTAAAATACGGTTTTGTTTTACGTGTTTAGTTGCCGAGTATGTAAACCGTTTTACACACTTGATACTTTTTACAGCCTGTTATTTTTTGAAAAAAAAATTAACTGTTTAACTTTGGTTAACGACAGCGACTCGCCTCAGTTTACGAATAAACACCTCCACCTTAGCTGCACTGAGCTGCTTCAACTTCTTCAAGGGATAGAATCTAAGCCTAGTTTGGTTTTACTGATTTTAATAGTCCTGCCTTTAAACTTCGCTTATTGAGGTTTAGCCTTTTAGTACATCATAATGCGTCGCGATATAATTATTGCCTGCCACGTTGCTGATGTACGTAATCTAATTGCCTAATCTGTTTGTCTACTTGTATTTTTATAGTACAGCACGCAAGCACGCATTGCGGCCTCTATTCGAGCAAATGACTCTTATTTCGCAACTGAAGTTGTAATAGACCTCTAAGCGCAAGTATTAAGCTTGTATGTTTTGTTTTTCCAATGAAGGTCTCAGAGGAGTTTGGCTGATGTTGTTTCTTAAGAATTCACGTGCATATGAACGTAAGAGAGCAATAAGACGTAGTTCCTTAGAATAAACTTCTCGTGACTTAAATTGCGAAAACAAAACATACAAACTAAAGAGGTCTATTAAGACATCACTTATCACATTGAAGTCTTTGACTTGGGTAAAAATAACCACTTTATTAACCTAAAGCAGTTTATATCAGTAATACGTGCCAAAAGATTCAAAGTAGCTCGTTTTATCTCCATATTTCCAGTGAGTTCTAATAAGTACCACACAGACATTGGCTGCATTTTCAGATGGATTAAAGAACAAATTTCTGCTTATCCAATCAGTATATACTTGATCTTCATCTTATTACAAATATTATGTAATTTCGACATACTGAAGATTTGTACGTGGCGTATTTTTGCAGAGAAAATTCGTTGAGATTTTATCTTTTTTGATAGCACTGTGCAGTACTACCCGTTTCGCTTTCCCCTGTAGAATATTTTGATCAAGTAGGTTTGTAGTGCGTTGACTTGGACTTAAGTAATTTTTTAATATTTTGACTCCACTGCACAACAGCAACAGACGTTATGCCAAAGCAAATAGGTTATTTAGGGAGGGCTTGGCTCATTCGTCAGATATAGCATTATGTCATTGCTTGTGTAAGACGCGCACATAAAATTTTTTATGGGCATCTTCCTGTTTCTAAGGGAGTAGTTAACACGGCCAGAACTTTGTTGAGTTATACAAGTATACAGGCAGGAAACTTATCAATGAATTGACCCGAAAATTAAAAGAGTAAATTCTTTTAGGAATATTTCTCCAAGAGACTGGCGTAACTTCACTGCGCGTTGTCCCGGCTGACTAGTTCTCGCTTTCTCCTTGAACTCTGCGAGAGAAAATTCGCATAGCTTAATTTATTGACCAATCATGACCCAGCGGTTAGTCTTTATGCCGTAGGCCCCAATATCTGGTGTTGTTGGTACACGCTGTGACAGAAAATAACATTGTGAGCGATGTTTATAAACAAAGGCGAGTGCTTCTCACTGTACTGCACGGGTAGTAAGTATTCGGTGATTTCCGCGGTCTTATGCTGTTGACTTAAGGTGACGACGGTTGACTTAAGGCGGGACGATTCGCAACGGCGATTTTTAGCGCAACACAGCGTTACAATATTGTTGTTACATTGTTTCAAATGGCTGCATTATTGTACCAACATTGCAACGCTGTGTTGCGCTAAAAATCGTCGTTGCGAATCGTCCCGTGTAACATCACCTTCAGGCTCTGTTTATCATAACTGAGGTATAACAATGGGCAATTTTAACAATGAGCGCGCGCATTGAGGCGATTTAGTTAACTTGCCCTCACCAATTATTGCGGGCGCATTATCAAGTTATTAGGTTAAAAGATGATAACATTGAAACTTGTGTCATCTCTTTTCAAAAAAACTGCGTTCCAGAACACACAATAAATTTACGATCGTTATTTAACTTGAATTTTATTTAACGGCACTTTCTAGTTGAGTTTAAGTTAAAGCCATCTTTTGTAAATCAGTAAATTCTTCCACTGGAATTTTTTAGTTTTTTTCGTCTGTTAAACTACGTAGTACACCTGTACTTTGTTATTCGCAAATAAGGAGTTTTAAATTACGCCGCCCGTAATGACAAGCAGTCGGACATTTTTTATGATAAGTTCTACGGCGCTTTTTCGAGTAAAAACGGTACTGCCAGATTTTTACCGAGGGTATGGCAATGGTCTGGTGAATAAGGTACCTCGGTTATGTTCTAAGGCCATTGATTCATATAATGTCTTTTAGCAAGTCAGTTTCAATTCCGTTCAGTATCGTCTCTTGATACACACTTGAAAAGGTTTGGGTTTGAGTCCCATGCCCACGTCCCCCTCTAGGGAGGGGAGGGGGCAACCGGGCGGGTTTTCAATCTTAAACTGATGCAGTATTTGAGCAGCGAAAAGAAATACTTCTACTTTGGCCAGCAGCTCACCCAGACAGACGCGCCTTCCAGCGGAGAACGGAAGGTAGCTCATCGTCGCTGGACTCACCACGTTGCCGTTCTTGTCCAGAAACCTCTCCGGATCAAACTCAGAGGGGTTCTCCCAGTGCTTCGGGTCATGATGTATGGCCCATAAATTGACTATCAGAGTTGTGTCCTTAGGGATATTGTACCCATTCAACTTGGTGTCCACAAGTGCCTTGTGGGGTACCCCCAAGGGGGCGACCGGTCTCAGACGAAGGACCTCTGCAAGGGTTGCTTCTAAGTAGGGCAGACTCTTGCGGTCTTTTAGACTTGGTAGGCGCGTGCGTCCAATTACCCCGTCAAGCTCTTGATGCACCTTGGCCTGGACTTCTGGATGATTGTTAAAGAGAAGGATCATCCATAGTAGTGTAGAAGTAAGGGTCTCCGAACCTGCAGCAAACATGTCAGCCATGCTCATGAGCACGTGGTCTTCCGATATCAGCGACTTCAGCTGATGATCGTCGTTCTCGGCGTCCTTCATCACTTTAATCAGCGCGTCAGTGAATCCTCTGATTTTGCCAGGCTCGTACGTCTCAAGCTGCTCCTTGTATTTCCGAACAAGGATTTTGTCTCTCTCGTTCACTGCTCTTTTTAAACGCCGGATGTTTTCCGAGTCGAACGGCACGTGCTTCAGAGACGGAAATATGTCGACTAGATTCCCCAGTCCCAGCGTTTCTGCAAACGTGTCGTTCAATTCCACGACTGTGCGAAACTCGGGATCCGTGGCGCTGTACCGAGAACCAAGAGTTAATGCACAGATGACATTGAGCACTCCCAAACTTATGCTGCAGTGCGGGTCGTGCGGCTCTTCTCCACTTTGGTCAAACTGCTGAAAGACTTCTTGAATCTCTCTCAAAATCACTTTTTCAAGTTTGTCCATTCCTGCGCTGTAGAGCTTTAGAGCACCGTGTGCAATCTTTCTCTGCATTCTCCACGCCGGCGAGTAATTGCCAAACGAGATGGCATGGCCATTGTGCGAGAATATATCTCCTGAATGCACACTTGGCCTACCGGCGAAATCGTTGACATTTCTCAAGAGAGCAGCCCTGGCTGTGTTGATGTCGCTCACAACAACGGCTCGCTGGCTTCCTAAGAAGATCTGAAAGATGCTGCCGTATTTCTGGCTAAGCTTCGTCAGGTTCACCAGCGGTACTGTTCCCAGGTTGTACAGGTTTCCAACAATAGGCAGAGCGATTGGACCGGGTGGATAATTCATTATTCTGTTTACAAAACTCTGTATTAAGCAATAGAGAAACACAACACAGCTCACGATGATCAAACCTTCGATAAGCATCGTGCTGACTGTTGGACGAAACGACGAGTAGACTCGTTAAAGCTTCTAAGCAAGGATAGCTTTCCCTTAAGCTTTTAATTAAACCCTCTGCTTGAGTGAAGGAGGGGCTTTTAAAGATGAAATTTCCACCTTTAATTATCGCGGAAATCCGGCAGCTTTCTATCAGTGCTTATGCAAATCTCGCTGTTAATTCATTCTATCCGCTTTCTCTATGGCCGGTATTGTCTCTTCAACTTAAACCCACGCCGCATTCTTTGATTCTATATTCATCCAAGCATTCAGTGACTCCATGACCAGAAAGTATCCGGTTTGCACTTACAAAGTTGTCATTTTTGTGGTAAGTATGTCTTGATAGCGAGCGCCAGGCTTCTACAAGTCTGAGAGCAGCTCAAAACTATTGTCTACTTAACACACACGTGCTTGGCTCGTTATCCCTTCCGTTAAATGAGGTGATTTACTTCTAAAAGTTTCTAAGATCAGTAGATCAAATCCTAAAGTTCATCATTTAGCTACGCAGAGCAATTTTCATGTGCTGCTGTTGCCTTTTGTAGCGTTTTACAGAACGTAATTTGATTTCTTTTTTTTTTTCGAAATAGGAACTTGGCCACTTTGAAAGTCAATGGTAATGACCCAAATAGGTTTACAAGAAGTCGAGTGACATGCAATTAAAGCATGTAAAGTATCCAAACAATGCGGTTACACTTCGCGCTCTCGGTTTTGACACACACTTCAATACAGTACTCAGTAGCATCCATTTTAATAGTCGCACTTAAGGATTTCATTTACAGAGTCAAACAAAAGTTAGAACCACTTTGTACAGCTTCATCACTACCATAGGAAAATAATGCTAAGTATATAGCTCTCATTTAAATGGAACGTCTTGCCTTTCAAACCATTGTACGGAAGTTCGTCATAGACTAAACTAAACTTTAAGAATGCATCCGTTGTAAAGATTTTTCGACCCAGTTTATGATGAAGTGAAGTGAGTTTACTAAAAAAAAGTCACTGAGCAGTACTTTTCTGTGGCACTGATTGTTATCCTGTACAAGGTGGTTTTAATTTTTAAGTCTGCGAGTGAAATCTGTCGGCGTAATCCTTCAAACAGAAAATCTCTTGAGAAGTACAGTTCTGTGGTGCTTTAAATTGAGCTGTACAAAGTGATTTTTACTTGATTCTAACGTGGGTGAAATGCTAAGGCAGTGTTCTATTTATATGAAATTTACTAAGCATTCCTTTCCTTAAGTGTTACCATACAAATGCGAGTTACTTAGCCCGAGTGAGTGCTTTCCTGTGGTACCGTTTATTTTTTCTTTACAACGCGTTTATAACGTTTGAGTCTAACACTGGGTAAAATCTTAAAAAGTGATTCCCAAAAATAAATATTTTATCCACATTTCACCATTCTAGTGGTTCAGAATGCATCAAGTCGGTCAAAAACATTAACTTGGGCGACAAAAAAATTGTGACTGTTAGTTCTCAGTCAATCTCAATTACATTCCATAGATTCGGTCTCCCTTTTTAATGTTGAGCAATTAATTGATTATCTAATATCCGCTTTCGTTTGTAATTTAGTTGGCAAATGAAAGGTTTTCTTTAACAAACGGGACTCTGTAAAGTGCGGATCCGGACGGCGGATCCGGACGGCGGATGCGGACGGCGGACGGCGGACGGCGGACGGCGGACGGCGGACAATAATAAAAAAATAAAAAAATAAAAATAAAATAAAACAAAATAGACGTATAAAATAAATAAACGAGATAAATGAATAAGACGGCGGACGGCGGACAATAATAAAAAAAAATAAAATAATAGAAATAAAATAAAAAATAAAAATAAAATAAAATAAAATAGACGTATAAAATAAATAAACGAGATAAATGAATAAGAAAACATAAGAAAAGCGAGAAATAAAAAAAAAAAAAGAGAAAATCATTATTAGTCGAGACATTCTCCAATCACTGTCGGAATCACTGTCGGAAATCTTCGGAGAGGAGTCAAACAGAGTGGCCAGACACGTGGCTGGCTCGGATTTCACTAGCAACTCGTGCGAAGAGAAGATCTGTTGTTTTGGTTTGCAGAATTTTGGTTTGTTGTTTTGGTTTTGCAAAATGAACAAGAGAAGCTACGCTGATGTAGTATCTGGAAGTGGTAAGTTCATCTTTGCGCAGTTGTCTGTTTTATTTGGTGTTTGGTGTTTGCCGCAATGCTTTATATCTCTTTCAGGGTCATCGGAATCAGAGTCAGAGTTATTGTGCAGGCAAGTAACCTTTTTAACCCTTTTAACCTTTAAAACGCGGACTTTTAGTGTAGGAAATTTGGTTTTGTGGTACAAAGTGTGGTAGAAAATGTGGAGTGTGGAAAATGCGAAGTGTAGAAAATGCGAAGTGTGGTAACTGCAAACTGCACTGCAACTGCACTGTAACAGCAGTGTCATAATATTTACAAATTGATCAGTCCGGCCGGGAACTGTCACAAATGGTATGCCGTTTTTCTGATTACAGCGCAAAAACAGTGCCGGATTCATAGTGGAAACAAGCGGACGAGAGCGCCATATGTACACTTCAGAAAATAATTATTTCTTGTAAAAGTACTGAACCATGCATATGTCAAACGACAGGACATAACGTCCTGCCTATTTTTAACTCAAGTGAGCATATGTTATGGGTGTTCTAACACCCTTAAACCGGGAGGGCAGATTCCGCTTCCTCCTCATGATCTAGTCGTAGCCTCCAACATGATGCGAAGCTTCCAGCACGGAGGGCAAATGAGGAGCAAGCAAAGCAATGTATATTTTCATTGTAGTGGTGCCTGTATTAGGGCTAAACAGCCATATTTCTCTCATTGTAGCATGCCATGGTTTATACGTTCTTCGCTAACCGATCAACAGCTTGACTTTCTCAGTAAAATGTTTCCAGTTTATGCCCTTCCGTGAATTGTTATGTATTGTACGTATATAGTGCAACACCATTGGCCCGGTTATTTTTCCGATTCTGAAAACGGACGGCTAAATATCTCAATATGTACGAGTAGCGATAGAAATCTGTTGAACATGGATACGTCTTAATAAAGTTTTGTTTGTTTGTTGGACGAAGGTTCTTCTCCTCTGTTGACTAAATATAGTACGCTGCAGCATATTAACATGGTACCAGAGTCTTCGCTTTGTACTTCTTTACCGCCACAGACAAACCTAACATTTTTTGATTTTGTTTCGCTTGAGAAAAGAGCGATGAAATTGTTGGACTTAAATAAAAATAAAGCAATAGCTCTTGTGTACGTGGCCACTGGTTCCGTTTCGAGTCCTGGTTCCTTTCGTATCAGTGGACAAAAGAATTTTGACAGATAAAAGTGTAAATTAAAGTTACTAAAATTAGGCGAAACCTCGCGACATAGCCCCTTTAAGTCATTCCTCTAAAGAATAACTAAAATAAATAGATAGCTGAATTTAAATGGAATTTGAAGAGGTTTAAAGAAGGGATAGAAGAAAGAAAATGATTTTTGGAACACCAACAGTTGATACACACAAGAGCACTCCGGGTTGCTAGTGAATATTTCTTATTTCTCTAAAGTTTACAAAAATTTACATCTTTTTCTCATTATTCAGTCTTTTTTTTTCTCATTATTTATTATTTACGTCTATTTTATTTATTTTTATTTTTTAAAATTATTATTGTCCGCCGTCCGCCGTCCGCCGTCCGCCGTCCGCATCCGCCGTCCGGATCCGCCGTCCGGATCCGCACTTTACAGAGTCCCTTAACAAACCCATGTCAATATCGCTATTTGCGGGGAACACGTTATTAAAAATCGCTTTGTGCGTCCAATACAACAATACATATCAGTTCTCCTTGACCATCCAGATCGAATGTGAAAGAGTTCAATTTTGTTCGGTGCTTTTAGAGCGGTTTTCACTTGACTGTCGAAAGGGATTGGTTTTGGTTTTGGTTTTGGTTTTACTACGCCCTTTGGTTGGCTAGTGTATTTACTTTGGTTTTGGTTTTACGACAGTCAAGTGAAAACCGCTCTATGATATTGGTCTTTTTTGCACTTTCTTTTACTTTCGGTTTGTTACCAAAATCCTTGAGCGTAATATTCAAATATTCTAGGATTGGAATATAATTGGACTTTGAGGCCTTAAACAGACCGGAAGCTGTACGCACACTCTGCGAGCCTTCTTAATTTGTGTGTTTCGTATACAAAGTGATTTATCTAAAAGACAAAATTAACCCGTTCTCGGACAACCTGGCCGTGCACAAGTTAGATGAAATAAAATATATCCATGGCTGGAGACGTCTTTGGAAAGTCTGACAAGCGCACATCTGCTGTAAAGCTATCTTAATTGATGTAACACCATTCACTTCAGACTGTATTAATTTTCTAGGTCAATATGCCAATTGTCTCGCGTTTTAATTTACCAGCTCAAATTGATAACCTTTTACTAAAGCGTAGATCTCGCTGATTGCTATCTGTTTGTCTCGGTTAATCTCTCAGCAAACTGAGGCGAGGTTGAACGATCACTAAGTACTTGATCTCGATTTAATTGGGTTAAGAGCTTTGCAACAGACGTAGAATTTGAAGTGTATTTTGTCATATCGCGTTAAATTTCTCTCATCATCAACACACTCTGAACAATTAGGACTAAAAAGTGCAGCCCTCCTGCTTAAGAAATATCTTATTAATGCCCATATTTTAAAACTTCGACGATGGTAAATGACCCAATAAAAAAAGGTTTGTCAGAGGTAGATTTAAAAACCTTCTACCACCGTACTCTGTGTTTCGGTTTTCCAACATCTCTGTTATCTATTCACATGAGCAACAATGTTTTAACGGAAACAGCGTTGATAACTGTTACAACAAATTTCATTCGATTTTTTTTGTCCATCGGTCATCATAATGCAATAAAAGTCGTCCGCTCTGTTTATCGATTGTTATCGCTTTCTTAAAAATCAAATTCCGGGTCCTGGCATCAAATTTTGATCGTTCGATTTCCTGTTCAAGTTCCAGCCATGGTTCAAATGTTAATTTTCTTTTCATAATTCACTAATTGTCTTTTCAGTTGTCTTGTATTACTAAAAGGTCCAAGTTCAAGTTTTGCCCAAACAAATTTTTCTTTTAAGTCTTTTCTAATTTTTGTTTTTCCGTTCCAATGGTTTTCATCAGCCTGTCCCGCGTTTTGCTCTCCAACACGACAGCAATCACCTCATGAACTTAGGGGGCAGGCATGGACGACAGTGGACACGCCATTCGTTCAATGAAAACATCGGAAAACATTATTGAAAAACCGACTCAAACTTTCTCCTAACCTGCGATCAGGCTATTTTTTTTTTTTTTTTTTCAAGGGCGGACGAGGCGAGAGGAAAAAAAAGAGAGAGACATAAAGGGAAAATAGGGAGAGGGCATGATCTCAGGCTAGCTTTCTCCTGATTATTCTAACTCGTTCCGTTATTTATTTTCCGTTATTGTTGGTAGCCGAAGAAAGGGGACCACGTCCTAGCTCAAATCGATATAGTATAGTTTATCGCCTTGCCATTTGCGTTCCTAGGAATTGTCATATACAGAGAACAGCGGGGAAAATTTACAGAAAAGCGTGTTGCCTGTGCAGAGTGTTTTGACACGCTCGATTCACGATATGAGTGACTCAAACTATAACTTGCTGTTAGGAGTCATGTCCTGTCTTATTTGGAAGACAGAAAGTTTCGACGTAGGACGGGGTCTTACCAACTGGAAACCTTGTCCTTGTTGAAAATAACCTGCGTAGTAAGCGTTTCCGCGCGTGTTCTTCGACAAAGGTGGGACGAGAGCAAAAAGGAGGAATCAAAGGGGAGGGTGATCATGATAAGAAGAAGTTTTTCCTTTTCCCCTCCCCCCTTCCTCTCCCTCACTCCAACTTTCGCGCAATAACTCGAGTGCAAACGCTTGCTACGTAAGCTATGTTGAATACGAATTGCATGAAACTTGAAGAAGATATAGGGTAGAAATTTGGAGTCTAGATATGCTTTCATCAAGGTATAGAGCAGGGGTAGGGGCGTTAGATCTCAGCGGATAGCAGTACCCCCTCCTTGCCCCCACCCCACACCCCACAGCCACGCATTTCTATATAGCCAGCAAAAAGAAGAGTGGCCTTTCTTCCCCACAGGCCCAGTGTACGTTACATGCCCAGATTTCATCGCAGCCTTGTTTTTTTTGTAGAGTCTGACACGTCGGCACCTTTAAGAAGGCTGCTAAAACGTTTGATTAAAGTATTTTATTTTATCCAGTCAATATTATTTCTCCTATGTGTTTATCAAAATTTATCAAATATTTAGATTCCGTGTAGGTTTTGCTTTGCAATCACCAGATCAAAAAAAAACTCGTGAAGTAATAGCATTAATGCTTATGTTTTTTCTTGCGATTACCTTTCGCCTTCGTTAAATCTGAGACGTTTCAAACAGAAAATGCACGCTTCCAGGCCGACCGAGCGGTTAAATTCAATATTATTTTTTTACAGCTTGGTGATAAATCATCGTAGATTACTGCGTGTGCAGATAAAATCTTAATGTGCGATCACCAGAATTGAAACTTTTGAGGGTTTTTTCCTTCGCTCGGATTTTACCAACAAGGAATTTGTAAAGATTAATCCTTGTCAGATGTTGTTCTTTAATTTCGGGGCACAGTATGGAGAAAAGATTTGTCTTCATAATCACGGCTTATAAGTAAATCTCCTTATACGTTCTCTTAGCAAAGTTGTCTTAAGTTTCTTGCACACAAAACCTCGGCGTATAAGGATAACTAACATTTATTTCTGCTGCTCATGCTTGTATATTTTTTTAGTTCCGGAATTTTTCTGTCAGTTATTTCTTCACTTTATAAGTAGATTTTGATTTTACTCTGTTCTGTTTTTCGTTCATGTGCAGTGAACCACGGAAATTCGTTTTAATAGCGCTCGTGTTTTGCAAATCTACTTTCTGTTGTGTATAAAAACAGTTCTCAGTCATTCCGGTGATAGATTGAACACCCTACACGTGCCCATTTTTCCGTTGAATATTTCCCTCCAAAACCACTTCCGATCCTCAGTTTGTGATAAATAAAGCAGTTTTCCGTTGCTTCTACTGATCCGGAAAAGCAATTATTCGTATTTTAAGTACATGTAGCTGCGGTTTAATGGGCTATTTCCTAGTTTCACTGAAATTCCTTGCTTTTTTCCAAAGTGGGGCCAAGTGTCTTAGCGAGTTCAGTTTGCATGGAAATGAATTAAATGTTTTCTTATTGGTTTGCACATACCCTCGTCTTGAAAAGGAGGCTCTGGACACGGCAACTTAAAAAGCCCAACTGAAATAAAAAAATAAATAAATAAATTATAAGAGCGATTTTCGTTTGACCTTCAAGTGATTCCGTGCGAAAGAAAAAACCAAAACAACAACAAAAAAACAAAATATAGAAATTTGATTAGTTTATCCAAAAGACACAAACGTTCGCAGTTGTTTGTTGAGTAAACTCGCAACGTATTCCCAGCTGACGAACAATGGGTGGAAACGAATTTCCATTATTTTGAACAAGACAGGGTTTCCCATTGGCAAGCGAGCGGTTCTTTTTTTTTTTTCTTTTTTTTTTCATAGGGTTCTCTTTGACGAGTACGGGTGTTTTCATCTATTTACTGACAAAACAAGTAACGAACGATTTCGTAAACCATTTTTCAAGGTAAACCGAAAATCGCTCTAAATAAATAAAGCGTTTCAATATGAAAGCAGACGATTAAAACTAGTAGCCTTGTGACTTTTCACGCGTGTAGGACCCGCTCCACCTTTTCCCGCCTTTTTTGAGAGTTCGATTTATCTCTTTTGCAGCCGTTTAGTATTATATCGCGCCTACCAACGGTTGCTTCAAGTTCTCATATTAAAGCAGTCGCCCCATTTAAACGAATTAATTTGCTTTTGGAATCTGGAATCCTAGGCTTTGGAATCAGGAATGCAGCTCAAGGAATCCGGAATTCCACTAACGATTGGAATCCAATCCAATTTTCGGCGAAAATCAGACTATTTTTGTTTTGACTGGGCCTTTTTTTGTAAAGTTTCTGGGTTCCTGGGTCGTTTGAATGTAAGGTATAATAGTAATGTCACTCACTGGTTGTTGTCGCACTTGTTGCTGCTATTCTTTTTCTTCAACAATAAGTTTAATCTCGAACCCAGATCTCTTGTTTTTTTTGTTTTTTTTGCTTTGTCAACAAGAGATCTGGGTACGAGATAAACAATAAGTTAATTTCAGAGCAACTAAACCTAGTGAGGAAAGCAAACTAAAGCAATACTTACGAGTCAGGTCCTAGTTGTTCAAAGCTGGATAGCGCTATCCACTGAATAAAAGGATATCGATTGCGCTTTCCAGTGGATAGATTTACGCGGTGGGCAGCGTTATCCGCTATCACAGTGATATGGGCATCCTTACGTTTTGGGCATTCCCATTCCCAAAACTCTAGTGATATGGGCATCCCCTGTGACCCTAACCCTAACCCAAATCGCTAAGGTAATATGAGAAGGGGATGCCCTTATCATTAGGGTTTTGGGAATGGGGATGCCCATATCACTGTAACAACGCCTTTTGAACAACTGGGGCCTCACCGTTTAAATCATCGAAAACTGCTGTTAACTACTGTGCATGAGAAAGATGATTTTTCAGAAAGTAATACAGACGGCTCGGAAGAACAAATCCGAGTGCTCGCAATGGGAGTCGAACGTTTGACCTTCTGGTTACTAGTCCAGATTCTCTAAAACTGTGTTAGTATTTTCAGTCTATGTAATCTGCGTAGAAAGCGTGTTCGATTGAGTTATTGCGCAAAAGGGAGAGCGAGAGGAAATAAAAATTGGAAGAAGGGGTAGGGTCAAAGGGGAATCATTTTCTTCTCTCCCCCTCCCCCTTCATCTCCCGTTTTCGCTCTTAATCCAACTTTGTTTCGACGAATTCCGGCGGAAACGCTTGCTACGCTGGCTATTGTATGTAAAATAGAGAAATAGGCCATTTTGACTTTGCTTTGCGCATGTTTTTCAGGAAGAGGGCGTCCATTTCTAGAAAGACTGCGGGCTCAAGAGGAGAAGGACGAAGTGATGCAGGCGTTGGATGAGTACCGTAAACCAAGAGATGCGCTGCTGATACTGGTGTCAGATTATATCAGGATATGTGCGCCGCGGCTCGAGGAACTCGAGGAAGCTTTGCCACCCCGACACACAATTCCTGAACTGCTTGACAGCATCAGTGTTAACGTAAGAGTCACCAATAAATAGTTGGTCTTTGTAAATTTTTATGACACCTCTTTGAATTAATCACGTGACTTACCTTAATTTTTCTTGTCCCAGACCCTCTCCGAGATTGTTTACTCTTTGTTGAAATTGGCTGTGTACGATCCTGTGACTTTATCCTGTCTCGGATTAAAAAGGTAAGAAGTGTTAGATAAAACAGCATCTCAAGGTAGTGCTGTCATCTAGGGTTCATTTAAATGGTCACTCGCAAAACTTAAGTTAGAACCACCTTGTGCATCATGATTACGACGGGAAGTACTGCTCGGTAGCTTTCATTTCAGTGGTTACACTTAAGAATTTCAAAAGCTAGAAGCTCCTTATACAACATAAAACATTACCACGGGAAGTACTGCTCATTAGCCTTCATTGGAATGGTCATACTTTAGGATTTCATCCACAGACTACAAAGCTAGAACCTCCGTATACCGCATAATAAACAGCAGTTGTTCGAAGGCTGATTAGCGCTTAACCTAGGGTTAAATTTAACATTTTCTAAATTATTCTTAAGAGTATCCAATCATTAACCTGTTGACCGAAAGAATAGAACTGAATTTACTTTTTAAGCTTTCAAATGGGTTATCTTAATCCAGCTTTGAACAACCCGGCCCAGAAGATTAAGTACAATTCAGTAGCTTTCATTTGAACGGTCACACTTTAGGATTTCATCCGCGGACTCAAAAGTAAGAATGCAATATAGAGCAGTTCACGAAAGTATTACCAAGTAGCTTTCTTTTGAATGGCCAAACTTTAGGATTTCATCTACATACTCCGAAGTGAAAGTGCAACATTCAGCACCTCACGAAAATACTGCTCAGTAGCTTTCTTTTAAGTAGTGAATTTAATTATTTTCATCCTGAAACTGAACTTTGGTGTCTTCAGGTACATGACAGAAGCTCTTCCTCTTCTAAAAGGATCCCCGGAGGCCCTAGAGACCGCCATGTTACTCATCCTTAAAAGAGTGAACAAAATGTTCGAGAAGCTCGTCAACAAACCTGATTTAATGGTGAGAACAGCATACCGTCTTTGAGTTTGGGCAAGCCTTCAGCTTATTTTTACTTGCGGCCGAGAAAACTCGCGAAATAGCCTTGAAATAAACGGTACTATCAAACGAAGAAATCACCACCAAACAGGATTTCATCAACAGAAATGAATAAGAGATAAAGCCTCCTTGTACCATAAACAGATAGGAACAGAGAAGAGTATCGTTCAGTAGGTTTCATTTGAAAGGTCACACGTAAGGATTTCATCCACAGTCATGAAAATTAGAATGACCTTTTACAGCGTAATTAACTGCACCGCAGGAAAATACCTCTGCGTAGCTTCGATTGATTGCTTATTGGCCACAGTGAATCATACGGAAGGATCTTATGAAAGGACCCAAACATTAGAACCGCACCACACAAAATGTAACCTTTTAGATGGCGTCAAACGGTGCGAGAAATGAGGAACAGTTTCGACTGGTGAACAATGCTCTTGCCTTTTGTTGCAAGACACTCATTTAGTAAACCTATTTTCAGTCTCTTTGTATTCTCTCAGTCATAGAGTCTTCGCTGTTTATTCGTTTCGTTTCATTTCTTTGTTAATTTAGAGGTGCATTGATTGGAAAGCTTTGGAGTTTTATCTGAAAGGTAATGTTCAGTGTTATAGCCATAATATTTGTGTTTTAGTGTATTTTCAACGTAGCGTACTCTGTGGTAAGGTGTACAGTACTGTATCATGATCGGCATTGTGAGTCGCCTCGAGTACGAGTTTTGCATTCTTAAAACTTGCGCTCCAAATATGATTTGCTTTGAATGAGAACATTTGGATTCAAAGTAGACGTAATTTTAAAACTCAGTTCAAATCATCCAAAACCGCATTGGTGAAGTTAACATAGTCTGTTCCGTGGAGTTATTTCATTATAGGGATGTGTTTCAAGTACTTTTTTTTTTTCTTACCGGCAGGTCTTTACTCGACTCTGTGTAAAAGAGCGTATGTAGCACACTCTCCTTATATGAAGGTAAAACGCTTCCCTTAATAACTACAAAAAGGCGTCAGTGCAAGATTCTGGGAAACTGCCCACCTACGCCTCCCCTAAGGCAATATTTTGTCCCAAGTAAGAAGTTTGTGTTATATAACGTCGTTTATAAGGAGGGGTAGGTGGGAAATTTGCAACAAACAGGCCATGGCCCTGGTGCGATTACTTTTCAGTGTGAAAGCAAGTTTTCATTGACTTGTGTTGTTACACTCTTTTTCGTTTGTCGGATTGTTTGGAAACTATGCCTTGTTTTGATAAGAAGCTGAAGGCAGCTCGAAAACGGTTATGAGAATCGCAGAAAGAGTCGACTTCTGTATCGAGGTCGGCCACTACAGTGAAGCACTAAAATCCTACGACAACAGTCGTTTCATCCTAGTTTCACTTTATAACTTTTTGTGTCAGGAAAAATAGACTGAACTTTTTCTATAGCATCGCTCGTAATACTAGCAGCTGCAAAAGGTGTTATAAAACCACGTGTCTCGCTGGTTCGCAACCATCTGCAAACCCTTAGGCTCACCTTGTCGCAAAGGCTGGAGCAGTTGAAAGTTTCGCCGGTTAAAAAAAAAGTTTTGACTGTTGTTCCGCAGTGCAAGGCTACTAAAATATCTTTTTAGTCACGCCTTTGCGAAGACCCGAAGTTTCAGCTTGTAACCTTATGTGTATACAGAATAAATTAATATTTAGAAAACGCTTTTTAGTAATAACGTTTATTGCTTACCGAGGCGTTTTCCTAGTCGTGCTTGTGTAAATATTTCCTTCCTCGGCCCTTTGTCATAAAGGGAATGGTTGCAGAAAACTTGCTCATTATTTTTAAGGTGCATTATGCATCTTAAGTAACCTTGGCCTTTTGCTACTTGTTATGTTGCTGCAACTTCTTTATTTATATCACGTGTTCATTCCTAGACCCTTGTTACCATCTGCATCAGCCTTGTGCTTCAGGAGCGCGCATCCGCAGCTGTATCTGTCGCCGCCAATCTACCTTTCGCGCCAATTTTATCCCCGCCTCAGTTCTTCGCGGACACGGTTATTAAGCTTGCCTCGCGCTTGATGCACGTCATGAAAGAGCAATGTTCACTTAAGGAACTGTGCGGAAACTCGATCAACTTCGGCAGCCCTTCAAGGACCGAGAAGATCTTCGTGCGCTTGATTTTGCCGACATGTATCAGGCTGGGCTCAGGCCGAACAGGTAAGTTCCAAAAGAATAATAATCTTACAAGGTATTATTTGATGCTTTCCAGCTCTTTTAGATGTAATCACTAAGGTACCCGGCTAATGAGAAGTTAGAAGTAGCCGGCGGGTTGCGAAAAGTTAGAAATAATAGATGTGGGGAAGATTCCACTACAAACAATCTCCAGTTAGTCACAAATGCTACAGAGCCGCAAACTGTTAAGCCTACCAACAAACGTTTTTGGAACTTCATCACGCGTGCTGTAGTCCTAAGTACATCTACGTGGGAGGCTGCAAACTGTTATAACTGATCAGAAAGTCGACCTGATTTATCATTTACAGTTTTTACCTCAGTTATAACAGTCTGCAGCTACATATGTTGCTCTGCTGAAGAATTTCCCTGAATTTTTCCGTATCCGTATTTCTGGTTCCTCCGTTCAACCTTTTGCTCTTTTTAAAGGGCTATTGATTGCTTCCATGCAACTTCCGTTTTTGTCTGGAATCGGTTTATTGGAGCAAGTGACATTCATCCCAACAAAAATTCTCGTCATTATACGTAAGTGTGCTTTTCGAATTTGCACAGTACATTGTATAAAGGGCTTTAGCAATACGAGGGTCCGCCCCAAAACAGTCCCCCCTTCAGGGCCCAACAAAAGTGCGGTCCTATAGTCCAGGGCTTCTACAAAGACTTGTCGGCCTTGCATTATTACGGGTTGTCCGACAGGTAGGCAACATTTGCCGAGACAAAGTATACGTTTTTGAAGAAGGAGGTTGGTAGGCCTGCACGACTACACCAGGCTACTTAACTTCAGTAACACCTTACCGAAAGGGCAGCGACTTTTTTTTTGTTTTCATTTCCTCTGCCTTTCTCAACTCTACAGACATGTTGCCTGTTATGACAAAGCTCTTTTGTTTCAGATGCACCTAAAGCATCACTGGATGACGTCATCTACGCTCTGAACTGCTTTCTTACAACAGTCACCACTAAGAAACCAGAGACTCCAAGCTCATCCCCTATGCGACTGTCTTTTGCCGATGACTTTCTGGATCTACCGCGATCCCTGACATTCGCAGTGCCCCACGAGGGGAAAACTGCATATGAAGAGATCCCCCAGAGTTTGTATTGTGCGGCATATCTTGGTAAGATTCAAACTCTAATGTTTTTGTAAAGGCATTAAGCAGTGGATCAAAGAAGTGGGAAGTGCAGTCGAAGCTGTTGTAAGCAACCACCTCGGAAATTCGAAAAGGTGGTCGTAACTATAGCTGGTCGCTTACGAGAATGAACGCAAGGTCAAAGAAACTCATTCATAATTCTTAAAGAAAAAACGAAAGAAATTAATGTTGAATGAGTGTCTTTATATCTGATATAGATATGACTAAACTTTACGTCCAATTTCTTACACCATTAGCGCAGTGTACGGTTTCATTAAAGTCTTGATTGATATGAATAACACTCTAAGGGCCTGTTTACATGGAGGTGGGGGACCCCAGATAGGTGAGGTAACATGTGGCGGGTCACGCCATTTATACAATACAAGACAATACAATACAATGTTCTTTATTTTGAGACGGTAGATACATGATTAACCCAGTAAAGAGTGGCCCTCACAATTGATATGAGAGATTACATGGACAGGTGGGTTACCTAACCTACCTTAGGTCCCCCACCTCCATGTAAACAGTCCCTTTGTGGTCGCTGACTAGTCGCTTACGAAAGCTTAAAAACAAGGGGAAAGTTTAGTTGGATAATCCCAAAAGAGGTCACGGTCGCTCACGGGAGCGGTCGCTTACGAGAGCTTTTCATTACAAAGTTTCAGCCACAGTTCATAAAGGTGGTCGTAACTAGAGCTGGTCCCTTACGAGACTGGTCGCAAGGAGAGCTTCGACTGTATAGCATTCATTCATATGGCATATAATAGTTTCAGGCCCGCTCTGAAGTTTATATTGTGCGGCATATCTTCGTAAGATTCAATCTAGAAACACTCTAATGAAGGCATAACTGCGCTTTTCACAAACATGCGAACTCTAAAGTTCAAAAGCTGCCTTCACAATTGCGTTTTACGCTGCCGTCAATCATAATTACGATCACAAGCAACGAACCTTGAAACACGGAAACACACAAAATGGATTGAAATCCACCAATCACGAATCACAAACCATGACCTTTTGAACCCATTAAAGTAAAGTTTTTGTTTCCTAAGAGGTCCGTTGAGATGATTGGCTGCAGCAAAAAACGCAATCGTCAGTTGGCTTTTGAACTTCAGAATTCGCATGTTTATGACAAGCGCAGTAAAGCAGTGGATCAATGAAAAGGGAAATATAATCTTCAATCATATGGCATACCAGAGTTTCGGGCTTGCTCTGCTCTGAATTTGGCCATTAATATTTTGAAGGGGTGGGGTTCGTCCTTGAATTTTGAAAGTGTTTTTCACAGTAAATGGCACTGTTCCTTCAATATCGTTAAGCAAACTATTTTTACCTCACAGGACTCAAGGTTCTTATAGTTTGCTTTGAAGACCGTCTAGCTACTGAATGGTATCGGATTTATCAAGCCTTGGAGACAGTGGTAGACAGTCGGATTGGTGAGAATGTCCTCTTTAGTTTTTGCCTACGAGTAAGCTTTCTGCGGGTTGGGGGTAGGATGTTACACGGGGAACTAACTTGAACCATAGCCCTATCAGTCTTCCCTGTTTTGTTTCCATTTATGTTCCCGTTCGCAGTTCCCCTTGTTAATGACATCCTTCGCCTCACAGAGACCTTGAGTATTAACCATTTTCATGAGAAAACCGGAAATTCCATCCGGTTGGAGAATAAAATGGTTCGCGCGCAATTGCGTTTGGGATGCTTTAGGGAAGATGGGCTTTCATTTGAGGCCTTGCCAAATTTTTACTTTTTATGACCTCTCAGGCTGACTTGGGTATACTTTGTAGCAGGTCCTTCCCCCGCGAGGTCAATTTTAACTGCCGAATGTTTGAGAAAGAGCCGATTTTCGACTGGATGATTTGTGTATTCCCTCTCGTTTGTAAAATGGTGAGTGGTAAGCTAACTGACCGCGGTCAAACGCGAGAAATTTGCATAAGCTAAGCAAATCAATTCATTGCTATGTTCAACGGCCCGGGGCAGCACAACTCGCCCACAAACATCAAAAATCACGGCGACACGGTTGGCCGAGATGGTTTGGTGTAATAAAATTTCAGTCCTCACTCCTGAATATTTACTTCCGTCTCAGTGGTTCCGGTCCTCGCTCCTACTTATTTACTTCCTCGACGGGCCATATAGGTGTTCACACTGCACTAAAGTATGGCACAAAACCTATTGGATATATGACGGTCCACTTTCGAGATCGGCGCGGCGCAGGCGCGATTTCTGTGACGGATGAACGACGCTCCACAATCTTTATTCAGTGTGTGTGAACAACAGCCTTAACCGGTATGGTTTGGGGCCAGCGCAAAAGCTATCCGGTAGTATAGTATGAACACCTATTCGAAATGTGACTCTTCAGTTTAGAGAACGGCGCGGCGCAGCTTCTCCCTGTTACGGAAATCGCGCTGAAAACACCGGTCTTATATATGAACAGAAGCCCTGTGATCCGGTATGGTTTTCGCGCCGGCGCAAAAGCTATCCGGTAGTATAGTATGAACACCTATCCGATATGTGACTCTTCACTTTAGAGATCAGTGAGGCGCGGCGCAGCTTCGCTCTGTTACAGAAATCGCGGTGAAATCACCGTTTTTATGTGTGAACAGAAGCCCTATGCGGTATGGTTTGGTGCCAGCGCAAAAGCTATCCAATAGTATAGTATGAACACCTAGTCGATATGTGACTCTCCAGTTTAGAGATCGGCGCGGCGCAGCTTCGCTCCCTTAACTGAATATATTGCGCCGAAATCACCGTTCTTATGTGCGAACAGAAGCCCTACCCGGTATGGTTTTCGCGCCGGCACAAAAGCTATCCGGTAGTATAGTATGAACACCTATCCGATATGTGACTCTCCAGTTTGGAGATCGGCGCGGCGCAGCTTCGCTCCCTTAACTGAATATATTGCGCTGAAATCACCGGTCTTATGTGCGAACAGAAGCCCTGTGATCCGGTATGATTTTCATGCCGGCGCAAAAGCTATCCGGTATCGTGTGAACATAGGTCTTCACTTTCACGGCTCTAAAGTTTAATGTACTACCAATACAGTAAAACCCCGCGACTAAGAACCTGAATTTTAAGAACCTGTTAGGCTAAAATGTGCCAGTTAAGTCCCCTCTATAATAACAACCTGTTTAACCTAAAATTTGAAACAGGCTCTTGTTTTCTAAAATCTATGAAAAAATTCTGTACACTTTGGTTAATAAGATAAGTCAACATTCAGAATCCTCTTTGGAGACATGGGTGCCTTATCACTCCAACTGCAATGCAATGGTATGCAGGTGTTATAGTGAGGAATACACTGTGTTGGAAGCTGAACCACTAAATTCTCTTATCTATTGTTTTTGTTTGTTTGGTTGTACGGTTTGTTTTTTTTGTTAGAAAATAAGAACCTATTTAAGAACCTAGATAGGCTAAACTTGTGCTAACTACCATTTATATTGAGAAGAACCTGTTTAGACTAGCTAGGAAAAATCCAGGTTCTTATAGTTGCGAGGTTTTACTGTACGCTGTTGATTTACTAAAGCAATTTCCTTCTTTTATTCAGGGAATGTTGGTTTCTGGGACTTTATGAACTTTTGTGTCTCATATAGAACACCTTTATACCTTTTGACTATACCGCTCATTCGAACGAAGGTAAGGCTAAGCTTTTTTCTGTCATTCTTAATATTTAAAGCTGATTTTAGGCCATCACTGGTCACAGCTTCTTGAGCTGAAAAGGGCCTTTTTACCGTGATGTTTTTTTTTTCTAGAGGTCTATCGAGTTCCACTTTCTTGTATATTTACGGACCGGGTAGAAAAACCTGTGTATTGAAGGGTATTGAACTTTATGAGAAAACGATCCGAAGCCAATTAGCTTATTATTGTTGAAACGCTGATATGGAATCTGGAATCCTTCATAACAAGACAAGTAAATCATTAGCACTTGTTTAAGGAAGTACTTCCTGTGATCCGTTGCGTGTATACTTTTTCTCTTTTAGGTAGTTCAACTTCGTCACACCAGTGCTGTTGAGCGTGCTCTTAAGCAGAGGGTGCTGGACAAGATATCGCAGCCGCCTCTGATGGTCAACTGTCGGAATACTCTCATAGCTCACTTTGTGAACGAATTATCGGCCATTAAGCAAAAGCGCCCAGCAGTAGGTTTACAGGACGTTGACGAAGAAGGGAAGCTGGAGGAAGAAGAGGAGCAAAAGGAGGAAAAAACTCTGACGCTGCAGCCGCCGCCTTCTGGGAGGGAACGCTCATGCAGTGCTCCGGAAGAGCCAGCCACGAAGGGTCAAACGGAAGAAGGAAAACCCAGTCCCATCATTGTACGTTCTGCTAGCATGAAAGCGAAAAAGTCGGTCTCTTTTTCACCCGCACCGAGCTTTGACGAGGATCAGGGGTCGATGACTTCCTCGTTGACTGACGTTGGCAAGGAAAAACGGAAAAAGCGGCTTCTGAGGAAACAGGACACAGTTGAAGAGCAGGAAACACAAACTGGCAATTCTCTGTTAGAAGTGGATTCATCGGGTGGTGGTGGGCCGTTTGGGCATCAACGGGGAGCGACCCTTAGACCCGGCAGGAAGTTATCCAAGCGCTTGGAGAAATTCCGGGCCGCCGCTGCGACTGTTATTGCAGAAAGGAAATTGTCCGCTGGCTTGTCAAGGAGCTCCTCTGTTGATACCTCCAAACCCGTGGAGAACAAATCCAAAGGGATTGTTGAGGTCTGTGAAAGAGAACGGTTTGAAATGGAAGCGTTCGTGGCAGATGATTATAAACCTGCAGCTGTTTTCGAACAAAAACAATCACAAGAGTCGTTGAAACCACCGATTGCCAAACCAGAATCTGTGAAGATTTCTCTTTCTCCGTACGGCTCTCCATTGAGACGTTCCCCAGTTGAAGAAGACGGCATGTATCCCGACGTTTTGGAAGCCATAACGCCTCTCCCTCCCGTCCCTCCGGTTAAATTTAGCTCTCATGTGGACGAGAAGCACGAATCAAATTCAATAAACGCGAGGAATGGATCGGTTGCGCCCGAGACCAACTTAACAGCGGAGTATGATGTAGAGCGTGCGCAACGACTTAGCCGGACACGGTGGTGGCAAAAAGTTTACGCTAGTGTTGACATCTCTACAACTGAGGAAGATACTCAGCGACAACACATCGCTACGTCAGATGAGCTCGAAATTCAACGCGAAACAAATGTGTGATTTTTTAACTCTAACGGACGAACTAAATACGCTAGCTGTGCAAATGCGAATAAAATCTCTTACGTAGAGTGAAAACAAAACGACCCTTTTTAAGTTAGTTTGACCTCTATTCTAAACGAGGTTCATTTATTCAGGAAAGGAGGTCTTTTTAACAATATCCTTAATCACATTGGATTCTTAACTTGTGGAAAGCCTTTTTTTTTTTCTTCAAGAGGGTTAACGCTTAAAGGTACAAGTTTCCAAGGCTTGGTGGCAAGGACCCTTGCAAGCGGCTTGAAGTGGGAATCCTGCCAGCGGCTGCTGGCAGGCATCGCATTGTCACATTGAGAGAAACTCGACGAAAAAGAAAACTCCACTTGATGGCAACACTTACCTGAATACCGTATAATTCCGCTTATAAGCTTAAAAGCCCATCTACTTGTAAATAAAAGATACATCCGGTTATAAGCCTTCCCGGATATAAGCCACCCTACGGCCCCCGTCCCCTTCCTTCCATTTATATTATAAGCCCTTCTTAAACCCCTTACAAAGTTGTATAAGCCCGGGGCTTTTATGCGGGACTTACGGTACTTATCACATAGTGAAAGTGAGGGAGGAGAGGGTGAGAGTAGTCGCGATAATTCGTAAGGAAAGCAAATCAGATCAACTGAAAACTCCCAAAAGGGGCAATCCCGCAGGTTATGTACCCTTTATCTGTGGGGACCACTGGCTGTATTGGCTTAAAAGGTAGGCTGTATATAGCCACGTAATGTATATACCTTTAGTTATAATCCCGGGTGAGACTAGCTGTTTTGCTCGTTCTAGGGATGAGATAATCAGTTTGTGAATGGTTCATTTTCTTTTTAACTATAGAGGAAGTGAAGTGAGGGAATGTGTATTGCAGACGAAGAGTTCAAGGGCTGTTCTAGTGTGTGAAATACAAGAAGCTGCTCTCCAGTTAAAGCAATTTATATTTTTGTTACGTACTCAAGAATCACAATTTCATTTTCCACCAATTTTTAAAAATCATTCTCTGGCTTCATAATAGTAAAATAAAAGTATCAATTTCCTATCCTTCATGATCCTTTAAACAAGAAATGAAATGAGAAAATGGATGTCTTAGATCACCATAGTAGCTATCTGTCATATCATGAAGTATTCTATCGATACGTGCGTGCGTTTCAAATAGAATTCAAATAAGCCATTCTCAAATCCTGGCAAGACTTGGCGCGCATCCATTCATGAGAAACTAATTTTCATTCACACGTAATTAAACTAATTTTTATCTGAATAGTTGTGCACGAAGCCCCGCTTTAGAAGGGCTGTGTCACGGCTGTCAAATTCATACCACAGCTTCTTGTCCAACTAATATACTTCCCAAGCATTACACCAAATGTTGCAAACAACGAAAATAAACTTTGAAAGACTGTTAGGCTAACATGATTTCAAAAATCCACAATTTCAATCCGTTTCAATCTTCCTCGAGTTTGCCCATCCGAGCTTTCTTTTGTCGGCTAGTCTTTGCTGTGTTGCTAGTAAGTTCCTTCTTCTAATTAATGTTTTGAGCGATTATTTTTGTTTCACTCAATTTAGTGGCAGGTCCTACTCAGTGTTACAGTTTTGTTAAAATTCGTGACACAGCTTCTTTAGAACTCAGAAATGGGCTTTTATTTTTTCGTTTCCTCCTTACGTTCAGGAACATGACGTAATATCAAACAAACTACGAGGAACTGATCGACTAGCGAATAGTATTGCGCAAGAATTTCTCACTTTCAACACGTGAATACGTTTTATACAGCGTCACGTACCATTTTTTATACGAGATTCTGTTTCTTTTGCCTTATTATCTTCGGAAAATACACATAATTCTTGTAGCTTTTAAGACTAAATGTCGTCTTGCTCGCCGTGAAGTGAATCACTTACATAGTTTTATGCAAAACTTTTTTTTCGACCTCTAGCCTTGTGATCAATGACGTCACGACAAGAGAGCTGACTTGCCAGCCATAGTCACAAGCTATTCAGGATACAGGTATCACAGCAAGTTACATTGATCGTCTCAAACAAAATAACAACCACGCAAATAAATGTTTTAGGTAAGCTACTTTGATTCCCTTCTTATTGCCAGAATTTGTAGGGTACCGTTGAATAGATACTCGAGCTGAAACATCCGTTTGTAACTCCTGCCTATATAAATAGTTATAATATATGTATTTGAGAATCAAACTGGTCGCGCACTGTACACGGCCAAACTTTGAATAGTCATGGTGTAAAAAAATGCGTTGCGCAGTCTGGAATTACAACCCATGACCAACAAGTACTTCATGCTATATTCAAACTTTTTTACGATGAAGATGATTCTTCTGACTAATCTACAATGCAAGAGCAACAATTCCTATCACAGAACAGTTTGTTCTTAGAAAGGGAAAAACTCATTGAGTTAGCAAGTGCTCACGGCAAACAGGCAAGATCTGCTTTTGAAACGAAACAAACGAAATTTACAGGCTAACTTCCAGAAATATATCGCTTTAATTGTTTTCTGAAGATTTTCGCAATCGGCGCAAAAACTCTACTATACCCTTTGGGGGGCACAAAACTATATGGCTTATTTATAAGAGAGTTTCCCTTCCCCGGGGCTCCACACTCGCTCTTGCTTGCCCTTGAACAGGTTCTTTTGTGCGGTAAGCTACCCTGAAGCGCCAGAAGACGGGCAGGTCCTAACAGCTAACTCGTTCCCAGTCGTCTGCTGTTTAGACGGCGGATTAGAGAATCGGATCGCATCTGGGGTGGGGGGTAGGGGGGAGTGGAACGCGAGAAGCAGATCTTTTGCCAGAAAACTAGTTTTAAGTGAAGATCGAGAAAAAAAAATAACAGGTAACAGGTCTTTCGCGTTTGTCATACACATACGTTTTTCCGTCCTTTTCTTTCTACCTATCATCCTGATGCTTCCTTCCTTTCACATTGTGGGAACCGCCACCAAGGGGATGAGGCTCTAACGTCACTTCAATATACATTGTCTGAAGAAAAAGAAAAGTTCGACTGAATCAATCAGACGAAATACGTCAAAGAAAAAGGTCAAAGTTCAAGAATGTGCAGTCAAACCGATTTATTGTTGTTGTGTTTGTTTTTGAAATCTTGCTTGTTTTCTTTGCCTGTTTAGTTGGTTTTTCTGTGGATATTGATACTTGTATTAATATAAATCTAGACCACCGTCCGACGTTCGCACGGGGGGCCTGGCGGGTCTTTTTGGTCATAGGTAAAGTACACCAGTTTAGTAAAATTACTACAACCCAGCAGTAGTCACAAGATTTTTAGTAACGAATCATTATACGACAAGTCTAGAGCGTAGCAATTGTTAGAGCTGGGACAACTAGGGTTATGCGCATTTTAGTCTTTCCAAGCAGGCAAGCACTTCTATCTAGCAAGCCTCTTTTAGCTTTTCAAGTAAAATTTTCTTTTGCCCTCCCACCACTCCCACGGACAGTCTTCTTATCGTATACGTAATTTGTTTCGTGTCTCTGTTTCTATTTTAGGACTTTGATCATAAGTTAGAATAAGTATTTTTCAATAGGTGTACTAGGTTTACGCGTTTATGTTTGTAATAAAGAAGGTCACACCCCAAAGTGTGTACATGTGGTGGTTTAGATTGATTTTTTTCACTGAGATCTAATGTTTACGCCCG